TGTCTCACGCAGACTTGGACGCAGGCCCTTCGAGACACCTGCCTCCATGTTTCCCTCTTTATGACCTTAATTGCCCTTTGCCTTGAGAAGCTGCTGAGCATCTGAGCAAGTCATGTTCTGGAACAATAAAGCCCTTGGGAGTTGGAGCCTTTCCATTGCCTCTTTGGCCTTTCTCTCCTAGCACATGTGGGCGTCAGGGTTAGAGTAGAGCAGACGGAGGGAGCCCGCCCCAGGCGGTGCCGCCCCGCCTCTTGCCAGGCTCTGAAAGTGCCCTTGGACTTGGCAGCGGCCCCAAGGCCCAAGGGCTGTACATAAATGGAACAGTTGCCTTCCTCAAGGCCCTCTCAGTAATCCCTAAATGTGCCACCTGGCCCCTGAGCCTGCGCGGGGGGCTCTTTGCAGTCACCTGTGACTTTCTGGAAAAGCCCCGTGGTGTTCCTGGTCCCCTGGGCCTTTCAGCCCGCTCCTCATGCGACACAAGCACTCTGTCTTGCTTGGCCTTTGGGGCCTCATGAGCAAGCCAAGTTACGTTCTCTGAGACCGCATCAGGGAGGATGCTTAAAGCCCTGAACCGAGGCCATCCTGGGGGAGGAGAAGTCTTTGTTAGCCCCACCTTGTCCGAGTTCGCCTTTCTTTTTAAAGTCCTGCCCTGAATTGCTCTTACACAAAGTGGTCCCTCTCCAGCAAGTCCTTAAAAGAATGATGCGTGTGGAAAACACAGAGAAAATTACTGCCCTTGGGTGCTGGCTCCCTGGGTCTACCCCACCACACCCTGCGGGTTGCCCCTTGGGCCCCGCCCTCCTGTATGTGGAACCTTCCTGGCTTTCCCTTTACCTTGTTCACTCGTACACTGCCTCACGGTTCTGGGCTCGGCGGCCACCACAGTGAACAACTGTCCTGTCCTCATGGACCTGACACCCCAGGCAGGGAAACAGGCCCAGAGTCTATCAGTGCCCTGCCAGGCAGCTGCCTCTTGGAAGGGCGCATGGCAGGCCGAGAGGGAGAGAGCCACCTCACAGTCTCTCTGGATCTAAACCTACAGTTGCAATGAGGTGCACAGCAGCCAACCCAACTCCCTCCTCCCTGGTGAATAACCTTTCTTCAAACATCCCCGATGAATGTCCTCTTCGTGAGGCCTGGTGGAGATGGGGCCTCAGCAGAAAGGAGCCCTGAGAGGCAGGGGCTGCCCAGGTACCTCCAGTCCTCACCCAGGGCCCAGCACCTGGAGGCTGTCCTCCATCGCCGGGGATGCTGAGCAAGCGAGTAGAAGAATAAGGCCACTGTTGGCTTTAAAGTACTTTTATTACGCTTTTTTTTTTTTTTTTTTTGCTAACTTTCAGATCATAGTTTGAATAAAACAGCAAGGATGTGTGTCCCTAACTCTAACAGAATGTGGCATTCGCTTATTTCAGTATTTTGAATATGACCAAGTTGAAGGCCCTCTGTCCTGTGCACTGTTGGGAGCTCTGCTTGCTCAGCCTGGTCCGGTGCCTGCCTGTGGCTGCTACCCAGGAGTCACCTTTTGGCTTGTGCCTCCCTGGTCTGCCTGAGAAGGTGGGAAGGAGGCTTGACCTTCCTGTGTTTCTGCTGGGCCCATTTCAGAAATGGGCTCTGGGATCAGAGCTGGGCGTGCTGGCATTGGGGAGAGAAGGGCCTGAATTATTGAGTGCAAACTGCATCCAGATGTCCCATCTCTTTCTGTGATTCCATTTTAGCGATGGTCTATTTTTGGCCCTTTTAACGCTACCTTCTCACCCTTTTGGGTTTCAAGTTCTTGTGAGGCATGTTGCCAGCCCGCCTGGTTTGGTATCCCAGCCCTGCCTCTCATTAGCTCCGCAGCCTCCAAAATGCGCTTAGCCTTTCTGTCCTTAGTTTCTGTGATTGTGGTGGGGGTGGCAAGGATAATATTACCTTTTTTGTAGGATTGTTTTGAAAAATAAAATGGGCTGATCGGTATCATGTCCTCTGAAATGTCTCGTTACCTATTGCTATATAACAAACAGCCCCAAAACATAGTGCTTAAGACAGTAATACCATTTATATGGTCTGCAATTTGGAATGGGGTCTTCTCTGCTCCATGCGTTGGCACTGACTGGGATGGAGGATGGGTTGTTGAGATGGATTGTCACCTGACAGACCAGTTGCTAGAGGCTGTGGGCCAGGAGTGCAGCTGGACCGTGGACCACAGAGCTTGATTCTTCCCCACTGGCTTCTCCGACAGCTGCTTGAGCTTCCTCACGACATGGTGGCTGGGTGCCTAGAGCAAGTGTCCCAAGGGGAAAAGGTGGACTCTTTTCTATGACATCGACTTGGAAGTCAAAGGTGATACAATTAATAACTAATCAGAAGAAGTAAAAGAAAATGGGCCTCTCTGGTGGCCTAGGGGTTAAGTCTCAGCACTGTCACTGTGATGGCCTGAGTTTGATTTCTGGCCAGGGAGCTGACTCACATGGCACGGCAGACCTCTCCTGTCTCCCCGCTGCTCCCCTCGGCAGTAGATTTCAGTAGATCCAACCATTCTGCTCCCCACTCTGTCTCTGGTAAATCCTCTCACCTCCCTGCACCTCTGGCCTACACCCCAGTTTTTCTATGCCAAAATAAATAAAAATCTTACAGTAAAGAAATAATTCTTAAAAAAAAAAAAAAAAGATTTGAAGACATTTCAAGGAAGATCCGCAAATGGCAAATAAGTTTGTGGGAAGATACGCAGTTTATTTATTTTTTTTTAATGGGAAACGGTTCTTGTTTAGAATTAGCCAGCTGGACTCAGGTTAGAGGACCTCAAGGTTGTTGGCAGCATCAAAGCATTGTAGTCAGGAGCCAGTCAAACAGGGGACTTTGCTCCGTGGAGTCTGATCAGGGAGCTGACCTTGGCCTTGTCAGCGTCCCAGAGCTTCTCCACAGCCCGTGTGACCCGCTGCTTGTCCTTGACATCCACCGGGAACTCGTGTGTTGCTGCTCTGTCTCCTTCGAGGCTGACTCAGTGGTCGGGGGAGCCTGATGCCGTCATGAGGGTCAAGCTTGTTTCTCCTGGGGGTGCTCTTCCCAGGATATTTGGGGTGCCTCTGGAGCCACAGTGTCTTGGGCTGTTGAAAAGGGGTTGACATGAAGACCTTTTTCTTGTGGCTGTGGATGCCTTCCAGCCCCGCTCTCTTGGCCTTCAAAGCCTTTGCTTTGGTTTCACTTCCAGAGGGGCAGGGGCTTCCTTGTTTGCTTTTGGTGTGTCTTCATGAGACTCCACGCTCAACATTATTAGGCATCAGGAAAATGCAAGTGAAAGCGTTGCCTTGAAAAACAATTCAGTGCCCATCAATGCCTTTGAGAATGGTTATGATTAAAAAGATTGAACTTATGAGTTCTTGGTGAGGATGTGGAGGAACTGGAACCCTCTTATAATACTGGGAACCCTCATATACTACTGGGGGGATGTACTTCACTTTCTGAGGTGTACCAAGTAAGGGTTTGGGTGAGGGCGTGGAATTTCTCTTATTCTCTGTACAACATGGATGAATTTCAGAATCATGCTGCCGAGCGGAAGAGCCAAACCAAAAACACATTCTGCAGTTCTGTTCTATCAAATTCTAGGTGCTGCAGAATCAGCTAATAGTGACAGCGGATCTGTGACTGCCTGGGGATGGATAGGTAGGGGGCTTGCAGGGATGACAGATAAATTTTCTGGATGGTAGTGATGGTTTTACAAATGTGTACATATGTCAGAACATCAGCGCGTGCACTTGCAATGTGTTCAATTTATTGTATGTCAAACATACCTCAATGAATATGTTTGTAAAATTGGGTGGGAAGGAGCTTTGCAGATAGATGAGCCATTTGTCCCGTCTGGCAGTTCAAGGTCAGAAGAACCAGTTGTGACCCACCATCCCTGTGACCCCTGCTGGTTCCCCCCCTTTTCCTGTTCAATCGTGAGCTTTACACATTTGCTTCCTGCCAACTCTTTGATTCCAAACATTTGATTCTTTATCCTCCTTTAGAGTGTGGATTACAGGGAACCCAGCTCTCTTCCTAGATTCACTTCTTAAATTAACAAGTTGAGAGTCATTTCTTGGGCCATCGCTGCTCAGAAGAGACAGCCGAGTGTGTGACAAGCCCAACTCAGGCTTAAGTAGGAAAGGCTCTCCGCTAGCGTTGGAAACGCTAAGGGTGATTTCCTGCTCAGCTCTCAGGGCTGCGGCAGTGTGTTCCCTGTTACTGGTTTGTTCTCCACTGGCTTCCTTGTCAGGCAGGCTTTCCCTCCTGGAGCCAGCAGCAACAGGGAGCGAGCCCCCCCCCCCCCCCCGCTAACTAGCCCAGGGACGCTCCATCTCGGGTAGAACCACTCACCCACTTTTGCTGATCTGGGGCCATCGCCCTTGTCCGAACTGGTCCTGTCCAGGAGAGGTCGGGGGCTCTTATAGCGTCTGGGTCGCCTCCCTGGACAGCTGGGGTGGAATCAGCAGAGCCAAGGACTATGGATGGAGAGGAAGGACAGGTTGTTGCCCAGGGCAACAAACCGGGGTGGCGACCATGGGAGAAAAGGCTTGAGCGCCAGCAGAGAAGAGCAATGCTGGTTCCTGCACCACGGGCCCACCCAGCTGTTCCTGGTTTTTAACTGAGGGAACATTAACATGCTTGCAAAAGTCAGAAGTGTACAAAAAGATCATTCCCTCTGGCCGTCTCCAAACCCCTTGCAGGCAACCAATTTCACTGAGTTTTATTATCCTTCCTATTTCTTCTTGTAAAGATAAGCAGGTGTCTGTGTTTCCTTGCTCCTTCCCCATTGCACCCAAGAGATGGCATAGCTTTGTGTGCTCTTTGATTTGCTTGTTTTCACTTAACAAGATGAGGAAAACTGTTGCTAACTAGCCAGGCCAGCGCCTGCTGCGCTCAGGCCTGAGTGTGGCTGCGCAGGTGGTGAACGCGACCTATGAGCAGAGCGGGCACGGCAACGGTGTCTTTATCCTCTTAAGTCTGGTGGTGGGTGACCCTCTCCTCTTTCAATGCAGACGGAGGCAGCTATGCCATCCACGATGCCCAGGCTCCCAGCCCAAGCTCCGGGGACGAGGGCTTCCCCTCGAGCCCCACCGGACACAACTGGGAGATGAATTACCAAGAGGCAGCTGTCTACCTCCAGGTGAGTGTCTCCCCTTCAGGACCCCACTGCTCCTGGCACCGTGGGTGGAGGGGGTGGCGGGGGCTTTGCTTCCTGTCCCTGCTCTTTGTCCCTGGGCTGGAAAGCCAGCCTGGCGGTGCCTCCATGGCGGGATTGTGTGGGCTGGTCTCCGGCGCCCGCTTTGTGGCTCTGCCTGCCCCCAGGATTCCTGTCTGGCCCCCTGGCCTGTCCTGCCCTTCTCCCTCTTCTCGGGGGCACACTGGGAGCCAGCAATCGGGAGGGACTTGAGAGGGGGTGGTGGGTATTGGGGGTGGGCCCAGTGGTGGTCACCCCCTTCCTGTTGAGCTGGCTGCCACTGACTTCACCTTTGCTCTCTCACGTTTTCATTTTCTATGTAAGTAAAAGTAATATTACACGCGCATTACAGCAAGCTGAGGTACAACGGAGATGTGGGAAAAATCTGAGACACTCGCCATCCACATTGTGTTAAGAATGACACATGGGTCCCGGGGTGCCCGCCGCTGCACGGTCTGCCTTTCCCCGTGCTGTGTCAGTCACCGCGGCGTTTTTCTTAGGCTGTTAGAACTCTTACAAGAGCTTCAGTGACTTTATCATCATACCTGGCAAATGTAGCCTCGTTTACCCAACTATGCTGTGAAGGTGGAGCGTTCTCCCTCCACATGTTCCCTTTATCCTGCACTGTGTGTTTCCCCTGGTACAAAGTGTAATCCCAGGGCGGTCTGGAGCTGCCTCCAGAGCAGTAGTCTGGCTGTGGGGAGCCTGTGCTGGTGTGTCAATGTGTGCATGCCGGTGTGTCGGCGTGTGTGTGCCGGTGTATCAGCATGTTGTGCCGGTGTGTCGGCGTGTGTGTGCCGGTGTGTCAGCATGTGTGTGCTGGTGTTTTGGAGCGCGTGTGCTGGTGTATAGGCGCATGTGTGCCGGTGTGTCACCACGTGTGTGCTGGTGTGTCGGCATATGTGTGCTGGTATGCTCCGGTGTCCAGCCCCTCGCTGCTGTGAGGTGTCTGACGCCCTCCCTTTCCTCCTCCCAAATCTCACCTGTGGATTCACTCACCCCAGAGCCTCTGAGACAGCTCTGACGTAGGGTGGGCTTCACCCGGGAAGAGGAGAGCAGAGACCCGAGGTCACCCACTCCTGGCTGCCTCCTTATTCTTCCTCATCGGCTTCATGCTCTCGCCGGGCCCCGAGGCTGGAGCACCTCTGGGGTTCACATGGGTGGCAGGGGTGATACTTCGCTATGCCCTGTAGGGGGGGCAGCTCCTCCTCTGTCTCCTCAGGGGCGATTCCAAGCCCTGGTGTTCATCTCTGGGCCCCGCGTGGGTGGCTTCCTCTAGCCAGACCTTCATCCCTGGCAGTTTGCTCTAAGGAACTACCCAGGAACTACATTTTGCAGTCTTCCAGCCCAGGAGTTTCCCAGGCCGCCGTGTGTGCTCCCGGCCCTGGTGGCACGGAGCCCGGGACTGGGCTCACCCGCACCCCTCCTCTGGGCCGCTGAGACGTGTCTCCATGACAGAGTGGTACGGGGGGTTGTAGCACTGTCCCTACTGGGAAGCTCTGAAGCAAGGGGGTGCACCCGGGTACTGGCCAAGCGAGGACATGCTCGTGGGGGCTGCCAGCTGGGGCAGCGAAGCCTTGGAGCTGCTGAGGTGGGTGACCCTTCCCCTCTGCTGTGTTTTCTCAGGAAGGCGAGAATAACGACAAGTTTATCACCCACCCCAAGAATGCCAGAGCACTGGCGGCCTACCTCTTCGCACACAACCACCTCTTCTACCTGATGGAGCTGTCGACGGCCCTGCTCCTGCTGCTGCTCTCCCTGTGCGAGGCCCCCGCCGTGCCTGCGCTGCGGCTTGGCATTTACGTGAGTGCTCTGGCAGGAACATTTTGGAAGGGCAGACATAGCGAAGAGATTTAAAACAAGGCAGCCCTGGGAAGTGCTAGAGGTGGCAGGGAGTGGGCCTAGCTCGCCCTCTTGCCTGGGGTCCTGCTGGAGCCCTGACTTCAGCCGGTCTCGCTAGTTCTGCTCACAAGAAAACTCCAGGGTAAGCCGCCCTCTGAGTGCCTGACTCTGGCCCAGGGCCTGTGCCCTGGCTGCAGGTGGGTCGGGCACCTGGCTGGCTTGCAGTTGCACCGCTGGCTCCCACCTTGGGGTGGCAGCAGCTGTGGGGGAGGGGGGCAGGAAGGCAGGCAGTGTTGCCATGGCCACACCATCTGGTTGCAGGTCCACGCAACCCTGGAGCTGTTTGCCCTCATGGTGGTCGTGTTTGAACTCTGCATGAAGTTGCGGTGGCTGGGCCTCCACACCTTCATCCGGCACAAGCGGACCATGGTCAAGGTGACGTGTCCATCTCCGTATAGTGTCATCTCCCGTGTTGCCTTCAAGCCCGTACCTTCGGGGTACTTCCCAGGCTTGTGAGCGTGGCCCGTCCCCCCCAACGCTGTTGCACTGTGTCACGTGCTACACACGCCCCACGTGATTCAGAGCTTAGGGCGGGCATGGTCACCCTGAGAGAGGCATCTGATGGGCGCTGCTGTACACTCAGCTGGAAGAGAATGGGAACTAGGTCCTGGCAGCTGGGGTTCACACCCCGGGCTGTCCGGCCTCCAGGCCCATGCTGACCCGCAACCTGTGTCAGAGAGGCACTTTGCAGTGTAAAGTGTGCACCTGTATCGGGAGATGTACCCCAGAATCGGAGGGCACAACGGGCACAGTCCTCAGGGACCCCGCACTCCGAGTGAGGGGCTCCCGGGGCTCTCCTCTTGGGCTCATTGTCCTGGGGCCACATGTTTGTGCCAGCAGCTGCAGCCCCTCTGGGGGCTGCTTGATGTTGGAGATAGGAGAGGGCCGGCGAGAAGAGAAGGGCCAGAATGGGCAGTATCTAGCCGGCCCTTGCTTCGAGGTACTGAGGAGGGGCTGGGTGGGGGCTGACAGTGCCTGTGCCTGCCCCCCCCAGACCTCCGTGCTGGCGGTGCAGTTCGTTGAGGCCATCGTGGTGCTGGTACGGCAGACGTCCCATGTGCGGGTGACCCGGGCGCTGCGCTGCATCTTCCTGGTGGACTGTCGGTACTGCGGCGGCGTGCGGCGGTAAGGCCTGGGCAGGAGCCTCTCAGACAGTTGCTGCCGTGGCCTGGTTGCCCCCCTGGGCCGGTGGAGCAGGACCCAGTGAGTCAAGGACCTATCAGACCCTACACACTGGGAGGTTCTCAGCACACTCTCCGCCCTCTGCTGGCGGCCCCCCGGAGAGGGAGGTGTGCTGCACCCAAGGCGCGGGTTCCAGGGTCTCACCTGCAGCCTGCTGGGGCCGGCTTCGCTCTCTGATGCTGGTGTCTGCCTAAACACTGTGGCAGCTGCAGTGCCTTGGCCATGTCTGCGTGGCCCCAGCAGGCTCTCTTGATGCCACTGAGCCTGGGGGATGAACCTAAACCTTCGGCCTAGAGTTAAACTTACCTTGAAGACCCCATCTGGAAAATCTCCAGACTGGGGGGATGTTGGTGAGGGTGGACTAGGGGTCGGTTGTTGGCCCTACCCTCAAAGCTGGACACTGTCCTGGGATGAGGAGGCCCTGAAATGCCCCTGCTTCCCACACCTGCTGTGGGAACCATGGCCACGGCCATGCGCTTGGTGCCCTGCTGCTCCCCTACTTCTTTGGGCTCTGCTAGCACTGGAGGGGCTGTGCTGACCCACCCAGCTCGCCTTCACCCTCAGCGCAGTCTTCCAGGCAGACGGGAAGCCTGGCACAGGGGTGTTCAGTGTTTATGGGCTGGAGACCCCCACCACTATACCCCGTGGGGACCTCAGGCAGCGTGTCCTGGGGCCCCAACGCCTCACCCGCCTGCTGTCTTCCTCCCCAGCAACCTGCGGCAGATCTTCCAGTCCCTGCCGCCCTTCATGGACATCCTGCTGCTGCTGCTCTTCTTCATGATCATCTTCGCCATCCTCGGTGAGCCCCCCCAACCCGGGCCAAGGCCGTGTCTAGGTGCACATGTGCGGGTGTCGGAAGATGGACCTGGGCCGGTTTAGAAAGGTTTTGAAAGTGGTGTCAACCCCACCATAGGAAACGAGGTATTAGAAATAAAATGGAAGCTGCCTCTGTATCATTTCAGGCTCTCAGTCCCCCCATCCTCCACGGCCCCCTGTCCTCGTCTGATCGTTGCCATGTCTGTCTTTCTGATTTTAATTTATAGTCACGTTTCCTTCAGCAACAAATAGATGGCGTTGCTTCACACATCAGAAAGGTTTCTGTAAATGGTCACGTAGTAACTGCATCCCCTGCTGAGCAGCTCAACATTATGGTTTTAAAGCTTGTTCCCCTTGATACACGCAGATGCAGGCCACCAGCTCCCCCATCTTCCCACCCACCGCCTCAAGCTGATAGAATTTCCATGTGCTCCACGGGGGCCGACATCTCCTAAGGGTGGAGTTTCTCCCTTTTCCCATTCAAATCACAAGGACTCAGGGAACAGTCCATTCTGAGAAAGGGGACACTGAGTGGTATTTCTCCCCCTGGGCTGCAGGGAGCAGGGGATCAACGGGGTCCCTTTGAAATTGCTACTTGTCTATCATGTTCTCAGAACCAAAGATTGCAAACCAACAGTCTGGTTTTCAAACACAGCCTACAAATCGATTTAATTTGGCTTGAAAATGTTGAGTGAGTGTTTTAAAATTAGACACTTAACATAAAAATGCAGCTATCCAGCCTTGTTTAATAACAGACTTGAAGGTACTTGGGTCACTTTCTCAAATGACAGCATTTATCCGATGCCTACTAACATTTGCTCCCTTTATACAGAGCAGGTGTTCTCCAGAGTGCCACAGTCCCCACCACTCCCTATTGTCTCTCGGTACACTGTACTCATGTACATTTATTTGTCTAATCCTTTTGAGGGTGCTAGCAATCGATTTATTGTCCCCACCCTCAATGCTGGACACAGTGTGCTAGGATGAGATGACCCTGAAATGCCCCTGCAGCCCCCATCTGCTGTGGAAGCTGTGCCCACGGCCATGCGCTTGGCCTCCTGCTGCTCTTGCCTGGGGTTTGGGACCTCTGCTCTAATCCTCTTTCCATTCTGTTTTTCTGCCACCTTCCAGGTTTCTACTTATTTTCCCCTAATCCTTCAGACCCCGTAAGTAATCAACGTTGTCAGTTTCCTCCTTTATGTGAGGGCTTTCTCCTCAGGCCGGGGAACTGGACTGACCCTCCCTAGCCAGATTAGGCAAGGACACCCTGCCTGGCCTCTCGTCATGGCTTATGGCTCCTAAAAGTTCTGGACACCTAGACTTGAGCACTGAGGGAGTCTCTGTCCTGTCCTTAAGAGAGCCATTTCCAGAATCAGATTTGGAAAATAGGAACATTTGAGTGGAGAAGAGTGAAGCTGGTTGTTTAAACCCGATTCTCTGGGAGAACAGGACAACGTTGGCTGTTTCTGCTAGAAGCATCAAATTCAGGAAGGTGGAGCCCTGGACTCCACTTCTGCTTGTTTCTCTGCCATCCCTGGGGTTCCTTGGGAGGAGTTGGTGGGGTTCCTTGGGAGGCACTGGAGGGGTTCCATGGACAAGATGGTGGGTGGGAGGGGGAAGACTGGTGTGTGCCTCGCGGGCGCCAAGGCCCTCTTCCTCTTCCTCCCGCTCCCAGTACTTCAGCACCCTGGAGAACAGCATCATCAGTTTGTTTGTCCTCTTGACCACAGCCAAGTAAGTCTGGGCTCTGCTTTGGCTTCTGCCCTCTGCTAGTGTCCAGGGCCTCCTCTTTCCAGCCGAGAATGTTCCACATCTTTGTACAGGCAGGTGCTGGGGCCCTGCAAGGATGGGAGTGGTCTGGTGCTCTCAAAGCCGTGCCCTGAGAGTGGTGGGGGGGTGGGGGGGGCCAGGAAGGCAGGAGGTGTCCTTCAAAGAGATGGGGACAGGCAGACGGGGGCCCTAGAGTAACCCTCCGCAAATGCAGTTTTCCAGATGTGATGATGCCCTCCTATTCCCGGAACCCCTGGTCCTGTGTCTTCTTCATCGTGTACCTCTCCATTGAGCTGTACTTCATCATGAACCTGGTGAGTGGCCTTGCCTCGGGCTCTGGGGTGCAGAGTTGGGGGTCCCTGGTGTGGCATGGCAGGGAACTCCTCAACTGGTTCTCAGCCAAGCAGCCTCCTGGTTGGCGACACTGCCACTGCTGCTGCTGCCACCGTAGAAGCCAAGGCCTCGCTGCCACCTTTTCACTCCCCTGGCAGACACAGCAGCTATAGAGACTGGCCCTCGCTCCATCTCAGCTGGGCCTGGGCAGAGTGCTCTGTGCCTGAGGACGACCCCCATGAACACAAAAGCCCTGGGAGTCCAGAGATGAGTCTTAGTTTATAGATGAGGACACAGGGTCAGGCTGCCTGAGCGGCTACTCGGCTGCACAGCCTGGGCAGTCAATGAACCCGTCTGATTCCAGGGCCCTGCTCTGGTCACCTCCATCCTGCAGCACCCATGGCCTAGGAATGGCCTGTGTGTTTCCACCCCATTTGTCACGCCCACCGGAAAATCCAGCACAGAACCTATTCCTCTAGGAGACATGGCTCTCCATGCACCCGGAGACTGCGGAGGTGTTTGGGGGCAGGCTGGCCCCCAGGAACTTTCCTGATATCAGCAGGTCGCCCCTGGGGCCCCCCACATCAGCATCATCAGGGAGAGGCCCCCAGCAGGTCTTATTTGTATGCTCCCGTGAGCTTTCTCATACTGGTCGCCATGTCAGGCCTGGTACAGGCCTGTAAAATCTAAAAAAGTTGAAGTCTTAAATGCTAAAAGGGGAAAACAATTTTAAAGAATCTTTTTAAACTTTCTCAAAGCCAAAAGGAAGTACGTTGGCTCTCTCCTGTTCATATAAGAGCTCCTGCATGACTGCTGTTAGTTTAGAAACATAAATACCTACGATATGTAATTGACTTGCTTTAATTTGTGAGATATTTGCAGCTGTGGAATCTGGAATGGGGCTTGGCAAGGGACAGCCTGGGGCCCAAGCCCGACCCACTGTGCCTGTCTTTTATATAAAGTTTATTGGCACACGGCCACATCCAGCTGTTTATGCCTCATCCGTGGCTGATTTCCTGCCACAATTGCAGGGCTGGGTAGTTGCGACAGATACCATCTGGCCTTCAGAACCTAAAATATTTGCTCTCTGGCTCTTTAAGGAAAAGTTTGCTGACCCTGGGCCAACAGGGAAAAAAGAAAGGGTGGGGGACCGATGTGACAGGGTGGAAAGGACAAAAGAGTCTTCCTTCAGATATTCATAAAAGAAAGTGTTTCCAGAAAGGATTCTTTTGCCCTCTGCTTCCACCCTCTCAGTGCCCTCCGAGAGCACAGACTGTGTCCTGCAGGCTGGCTTTGGTGAGAGGTGGTTCCAGAATGTTGTGTCTGGTGCAGGCCGCCTCATTGCCCTGACTGTGGGGGCCGTGCCTGCTGCTGGCTCTCCAGGAGGGCGTGGGCAGAGGATGCAGCCCCAGTGTGGCTCCCTCTTGCTCTGAGGATGGACGCACAGACTCCGCGGCCCACTTGGGGAGCTGACTGGGCCTGAACCCGGCATTCCTCCCACCACTTCCTTCTTCTATGAAGCTGCCTGGCCAGGGGTGCGCAGTGGGTGGGAGCAGAGGGAGCTGGAAAGTGTAGACGCAGTGTCTCCTGTATCTGAAGCCAGGAAATGTATGCATGGCCACGAGCGCCCTTCCTCTCTGAGACTTGGAGACAAGCTCCCCACACCAGGAGGGCAGCCAGATGGTCTGTCCCAGCCCCCAAACCTCGGGGACACCCTGCCTGCAGGGGGCCAGTCTGTGCTTTCCCCTCACAGCTTCTGGCCGTGGTGTTCGACACCTTCAACGACGTCGAGAAACGCAAGTTCAAGTCTCTGCTGCTGCACAAGCGAACCGCCATCCAGCACGCCTACCGGCTGCTCGCCGGCCCCCGGGTAAGGAGCAGCGGCTGCGCGGGGGTAGGGCTGGGCCTGCTCTCCCTCCTCTGCCCTGAGCAGGCATGTGCTGGGCACCTGGCAGCCCATTGAACTGGGCATCAGAGTGGCCACCCCCAGGGAGGCGCTGCCAGGCTGGGCTGGGCTGCACCCCCATTGCTGCCCTCCTCTCCCCGCAGGAGCCCGGCGGCATCTCCTACAGGCGGTTTGAGGGCCTAATGCGCTTCTATAAGCCCCGGATGAGCGCAGGGGAGCGCTACCTTACCTTCAAGGCCCTGAATCAGAGCAACTCACCTCTGCTCAGGTAAGAGCAGGCCCCAAGGTTGGCTAGTGTGGCCGGAGATGGTCGGGCAGAGGGACTTGTTAGAGACTTTAGTTTTCTTCACAGAGACGAAAGTCCAACCCAAACTCAGTACAAGTCAACTTAAGAAAAGAGCATATTGGCTCATGAATGGACCGGCCCAGCACTCCCGCCCCCAACCAAGCGCAAGGCCAGGTTCTCCCACAGGAGCAGATGCATAGAGGGGACACCCCCACACCCCCCAGTACGCACCGGGGACCCCCACAGCAGTGTCGGTCTTCTGAATGGCTCATAACCAAAACCCTTCTCTTCGATTTGGAAAGCAGCAGCCGCTGGGGACAGGAGAGAGCCCGGGCTCCGTCCCGATGGTCCCGTTAAGTCTCTGTGAACGAGGCTCCATTTCTGTTGGTCTGTGGGTGATCAGAACCGGGGGGCTGCCTCTCCAGGGAGGTTGGGGTTGTCAGGGCACAGTCGGCTGATGCAACGTCTGTGGTACCTGGAGGGAGGAAGCGATTGATGACCCACAGGTGCCCTGCTGCGCTGGGGTCCCCTTAGAGGGTGCACAGGCAGGCACGTGAGCGCTGATACTTGGTGCCAGCGTGCTCACTGCTCTGCTTTGCATGTTGCTCGTGACAGCCTGAAGGACTTTTATGACATCTACGAAGTCGCAGCCTTGAAATGGAAGGTGGGTACTCTTGAGAGATGGGAGGGGTGGGCAGCCCCAGTCCCACAGGGTTTTGGAGGGCGGCATCTAGCCCTCCCTGCTGGGATTGCTCAGCCCTAGGCTAGGCACCCTGTACCTCAGGGCTCACTCCCTACCCCAGGGCCTCTGGCCTTGCATTTGCCTGCACATTCACCACATGGTGTCCTGGTTGAGAGCGCCAAACCTGTCACGTCCCGTTTTCACCTGTGGTGTCAGGCCAGTGACCGAGCCTCCCAGTGCTCGTCACACCGGGAACGCCACAGCGACCAGCCCCACCACAGTCGCTTTCAGGGTCATGTACAGGCAGAGCCATGCATGGCACATTCCGTGCTCAGTGAACACTGCTGGCGCCGCTGCTCCTAGAGTGAGTGTTTCCATTGTTCCCCACGTTAGCCGGGGGATCGGGAGCAGGGAAGGTGCACTGGCATCCCAGCCCCGAGGGCTGGGTGCTGGTCTGGTCCTAATGCCCTCTTTCACATGGCCCTGCCCTGGCCAGGCAAAGAAAAACAGAGAGCACTGGTTTGATGAGCTTCCCAGGACAGCGTTCCTCATCTTCAAAGGTAAGGCCCTCTGGTGGGCGCCTGGTGCTGGGCACACACAGAGGTTCTGGAGACCACAGATGAGCATTCAAATAGCATGCTCATGTGTGTGTGTGTAGAAAAGAAAAGTGTGGGCCTCCCTGGTGATGCAAGGGGTTAAGTCTCAGCACTATGAAGCTATCAGCAGCCACTGCATCATGACTTCGATCTTTGGCCAGGGAGCTACCCACATGGTGCAGCAGACCTCTCATGATTCTCCCGCTGCTCCCCTCAGCAGTGTATTTCAGTAGATCCGTCTGTTCTGCTCCCCGCTCCGACTGGTGAATCTTCTCACTCCCTTCCCCACACTTCTGGCCTGCATCCCAGCTCTTGTATGCATAAATAAATACACATTTTAAAAAAAAGAAAGAAACAGTGTGATTACCCTAGCGGGGAAATAAGTGTTGGACTAGGAAGGAAGCTTAAAAACCAAAGCAAAGATGCTTGTAGAATGAATATTCATTCTTTGAAGAAAATTTACAAAGCCCAACAATTAGAAGAAAACAAAAAATCATTACACAGAGATAACCACTGTCACTCTGCTGTGTTATTTTTCTGGGCATCTTTGAAACAGGATGACATCATACCCTCTGCCTTTTTATCTGATAATGGATTTTGGTTTCCCTCCTGATGGCATTGATGGCCTGATCTATGGGTCATGCTGGCGTGGTATAAAATTCAGATTTTAAATCGGGATGCCTGTATTTATTTATTTATTTACTTTACCAAATAGTTGCCTCTTCACTTAAGGCTGGTTTTGAAGCTCCACCTGGGAGCATGGGTAGCTCAGCACCATCATGGGAAGCTTCAGGTCAGGCTTCAGAGAAGGGTGAAGATGCTATGGTCACTCTGATTTCTCCCCGGCGAGGCCTCTGGGCACTCGACCTTAAAGGAGTGTCCACTCCACGGGCGACATCGTTCAAGTGGATGAGTAACGGCGCTTTCGCTTCCAGCAGCCGCCAGCTGACCTTGGCTCGGCTCCGTCCTGCCTCGGGTGCTGGGACCCCTCAAACCCCTCGTCGGCACTGTCCTGTACCGGGGCATCCCTCTGAGGTTGGGGGTCCCTTTTTATCTCCGGGCAGCAGCACCCTGGTTGCTGGCCCGGTGCAGTGCCAGGTAGGGGAAGGGCCGTGGCCTCTGAAGATGTCAGCACGAACCTTTCTTCTCTTCCAATAGGAATTAATATCCTCGTGAAGTCCAAGGCCTTCCAGTATTTCATGTGTGAGTATGAGAACTCAGCTCTGGCCCTTTCCTCCTACACCTCTCACTGTTCCAGAAGGCGGAGGCTCAAGAGCTGAGTCCCGGGGTCCCGCTGAGCCCGTGTAGAACAGAGAGCGCAGCGCGGCCCACGCGCCGTCGCCCGGTGGCACTGGTGCCCGCCACCTCCCGCCCGGGCTCACCGTCCCCTCCCCAGACCAGAGTTTCAGAAGCAAAATCCAGAACCATGGAGTGGTTGGTTGATAACGTCGCTTAAGTCTATTTTATTCGGTAGATTCCTCCTCGTCCCTTCCCCTCTTTCTCGAGGGGAGGAGCAGATGGCTTGCCCTTGAGTCTTGTTTCTTTCATTTCCCAGGAGGAGTAGTCACATCTAGAGTGGTGGCTGTTTTCATTTAAACTGACTTAAAAAAAAGGTTTCAGCCCCCCCCCCCCACCCCGGTAGCCACCTTCCGCGCTCAGCAGCCGCCTGGGCTAATGACTCCGGAAGGGGCGGCGTGGAGGAGCCCCGTCCACACAGTGGCATCTCTTGGGCAGTTGAGCTGATGCAGGGCTGGGCGGGGTCCAGTCCATCCACAGTGCTGTGGTTCCAGCGGGCGGGGAGCGCTGCTTAGAGACCCGGGTCGGACATGCCTGTGGGCTCCTTATTTGAAGTTGGCTGTTGTTTTTAGGCCTTTCCTCCGCCGGAGGTGGAATGTTCTTTTTTACGATAAACTATCGTGAGTCTATCCCGCGCTTTCTCACTCAAGCTCAGGACCACAGGGTTTTCCCTAACACCATCACTCTCACTTATCCAGAGTCCCCGCCTTAAAATCCTGATTTTCAAGTGTCCCAATACTTGAATTTTGGATTTTGTTCCTCTTTTACACCAACCTGAGCTAATCGGTGGAACTTACTGGAACTTCACTGTTATCTGAACAGTTTTTAGCAGCCCCTAGCTGTGTTCTCTGCAAAGCCGCTGGTGGCTGTAGCTCGTGGGACAGGCACTAGGTGGGGAGAAGCGTCTGGCCTGTGGGGGTGGGCAGCCCCGCTCCGCTGCATGCACCCCCCGCCCCCCACCCCTGGAACCGCCCCTGCCCGCACTCCCGCATCCCTCATGGGCCTGTCTTTCACAGACTTGGTGGTGGCCATCAACGGTGTCTGGGTCCTGGTGGAGACATTCATGCTGAAAGGTGAGCCCCGCCTGGGGGTCCGGCCGCCCCGTGTGCACTCCGCCCACCTCTTGAGCGGCTGCCTCTCCTCCCCGTGTAGGTGGGAACTTCTTCTCCAAGCACGTGCCCTGGAGTAACCTCGTCTTTCTCACGAGTAAGTTGCCACCACGGCTTTGCCGAGCTCGGGGCTCTTCTCTCTGGCTCTCGCGATGGAGCAGAAGCTGAGTCTGCCCCCCTTTCCCTGATTAAACTCTCTCAGGACGCCCGCTGCCGTCAGGGTCCAGTCTCCGCCTTTCCAGTCATAGGTGGTCCTTGCATGCCCGTGCCCGCCCCTGACCAGCGCCCTCCCCTCTCACCTCTGGGCCTTCGCGGGTGGTTTCTGTGCCCAGTGCCCTCGTCCCTTGCAGCCCCTGCCTCAGCTCCGCTGCCCAAGAGGCCTCAGTGTGCTGACGGGGGCTCCTCCAGAGCCCGCTCTCAAGTGCGGAGCTGGGGGTGACGCAGGGAGGACACTGAGCCAGGGCTGGGGTGGGGGGTGCTGCTCACTGCCGCCCTCCTCTTGCAGTCTACGGGGTGGAGCTGTTCCTGAAAGTGGCCGGCCTGGGTCCCGTGGAGTACCTGTCCTCCGGATGGAACCTGTAAGTGCAGAGCGGGTTCCTAGCCCTGTCTGAGAGCACATGCCCTGTGCCTGCGTTGCAGGAAGAAGGTTCAAGGCCTATGGCGGGGCCAAGGCCTCGGTCCCCATCGCAGGTCTGCCTGCCCTGGCTTTACCTCACTCCCAGGCCACCCACACTGTCCCTCTGGACATGAAACCAGGCAGAGAATAAACAAGTTAACATTCACAGAGCAGCGGCTGGGCAGAACAGGCAGCCCCGTACTTGCTGTTTTGGGGTTGCGATGTGTGTGGTAGAGGAGGGGTCCCTCTGTCTAAGCAGAGCTGCCCCATCTCCCTGCAGCCCTGCCCCTTCCTTAGTAACTTCATTCTGGTTGCCGGCCCTGGTTAGTCCATCGCAGAAAGGACCCTCAGGAGGGGATTTCCGAGCTTTTCTGCCCCATGGGTCAGAGCCCATGACCTCTGAGCTGTAGCGGGGGCCTGGCCCATCAACCTCAGGAACCCGACATGACAGGAATCCTCTCCCAGGCTGGCTGCAACGGGCACCATGGCGCTGTCTCTCTGGCCTGGCTGGTGGTGGGCCCTTGAGTGGCAGCCGGGACAGCAAGGCCACGAATGGGACCAGCCAGGAGGGTGGCCGGGTGTGCTGAATGAATGGCCGGCCCGTCCCTCTGCCACCAGGTTCGACTTCTCGGTCACGGCGTTCGCCTTCCTGGGACTGCTCGCTCTGGCCTTCAACATGGAGCCCTTCTACTTCATAGTGGTCCTGCGCCCCCTCCAGCTGCTGAGGTGAGTTGGACAGGCCGGGATGGGGAGGGGAGGCGGGCAGCGGGGAGGGCCTAGAAGGCCTTGGGGTGGGCTGGGAAGTGCCCAGCTGGAGCAAGGAGACTCACAAGCCTGGGGTCAGAGCCTGTCACTGTTTCCACCCTGCGGGCCCCTCACATCACCAGACCCTGGTCACCCTGACTGTGGACACGGCTCAGTTGAACTCGGCCCACGGTGGGGGCAGCTGCAGCCACAGACACATAGGCTCACAGTCATAAACCAGAGAGCCGCATCCTCTGAGGGCCAGGAGGGGCATTTCTGGGGACCGCTGCCAGAAATCCACAGGGCCCTGTGCAGATGGAGGTTGCTGTGTCTTCAGCAGCCGGGTTTTCCTCCTGAGGAGAGGTGGAGGTAGGAAGGCCGTGCAGACATGTCTCTCTGGAGAGCCTGCTGCCATGTGCCCCTGGAGGCGAGGTTGGGCCTGCCAGGCAAGGGTCTGGTCCCCTGACCCCTGCCTGCTGCTCCTGCTCCTCGTGGGCCTTCGCGTCTGTCCCCTCCCCGCGGGGGTGCCCCAGTGTCTTGAGCAAGGCCTTGCCACGATTCTCCGGCTGGCTTTGTAACCCGTGGAGAATAGACTGTCCTCACCTGAGTGAGGACTGAGAAGACACGTGCGGCCACCTGGCCCCATGTCCCAGGGCGAGTACCTGGGCGAGTGCCGGGCTGACTTGGGGGATGGAAGCAGGCCTAGGTGAATGAGCTGCGGGCCCTCAGCCCTTCTCGCTCACGGGGCTGTGGCCAGCCACACAGCAGCCACGGGTGATCTGGAGCCGACCCGGCCTTCTTCCTGTGCTCAGGTTGTTCAAACTGAAAACCCGTTACCGCAACGTGCTGGACACCATGTTTGAGCTGCTGCCCCGTATGGCCAGGTAAGGCCCTGCCTCTTGGCCCCCAGGGCCAGGCACTGCGGGGCTTGTGCCCCAGGAGGGTGGGGGCGCTGCTGGGGGCGGGGAGAGGAGGATTCCCGGAAGGGACTGCCCCGCAGGGTCGGCGGGGCTTCAAGGAGACCGGACTCTTGAGCACAGAGGTCTCCTCCAGCACTTGCTCCTCTGACCTGCCTGAGACACTGAGTAGGGAGGGCAGGGAGCTGTCAACTCACTTCTCACCTGTGTCTACATTCACAGGTAAGGGGTCACCTGTGAGTCTACCTTCACAGGTAAGGGGTGAATCTCAGGTAAAGGGGCATCTGTTAATAGAGTCCTGATCGAGCCATTTCTGACCCCAGACCTGAATCAGAGGCCCCTTCCCTGCAGGCACTTTCCAGTTGGTGCACCTGGCTAGGGGCATGCCTGTCCACAGTGAGCACAGAGGGTCCAGCAGGCCGGGGCTGCGCAGGAGCCGGTCCCTGCCTGGCCCTCAGTCACCCTGTCCCTTTTGACCCTCCTCCCCAGCCTGGGCCTGACCCTGCTCATCTTTTACTACTCCTTCGCCATCGTGGGCATGGAATGCTTCTGTGGGATCCTCTACCCCAACTGCTGCAAGTGAGTGTGCTCAGCCCACTGCCCGCAGCAGCTCATGTTCCGGAGGGCCTGAGCGCGCCCGGTACACACGCCTCTAGCCCTGGAAACCCCTGCCTGGCTGCAGGGAGGGGCCTGACGCAGGGGTAGTCTCTGAAGTGAGGACGCGAGCCCCCTGCATGGGCTGGGACTGCACTCCCATTGGGCCTTGATCTGCTCGCCCTTTGAGCTGAGGCCGGAGGCCCAAGTCCCAGCATCTGGGACCTGACGCATCAACAGGGTCCGCCTCTTAGGATAAGACAGACGCTAGGACGGCCCAGGGTGGGCTGGATTGCTGGGAGCACAGCCTCCTGACGGCTCCCTCTCTCCTCCTCCCTTCTTCCTGGGCCACCGCTGTGGAGGGCTCTGCCGTCACTTCACCCTGCAGTGTTCTCCCGCAAACCGGCCCTTGAGGCCTCAGCAACATTTGGAGTGTTGAGCTCAGCCTGGAACCAGACCCCAGAGGGGTGGGTCACATTTGAGGGTGCATCAGAATCACCAGGGGAACTGCTCAAAAGCACAAACTCCAGACCCCACCTCGTGTGTCTGAGACAGGCAAGAGCCTTCCTGACACGCTCCCTGGCGGCCCAGGAGCAGCCACAGAGACACTGGCATGGATTTTAAGAAATCAGCCATAAAGGGTTGGAAAGAGCAGCGAATAAGACCTGAGAGCAGGGTCAGCCGTTAGAACCCTCCCCAGGTGCTGCGGAGAGCCACGCCCCCTCCCTGGGGTGCTACCTCAGCCCTGGCCTCCAGGGCGAACGCCGGGGAGCCCTTGCCTTCTGTTCCCCTCCTCCCTAGCAGTGTCTCCCTTGGGTGCCTGAGGGGGGGCCTAGTTGGAGCAGAGAAATGCCGAGAGAGGTCAGCAAGGGGGGACAAGCTGGGGATTCCGACCAGCACCGGGCAGGGACCGGGCGGTGGCAGGGCAGAGCTTTGTGGGACATCCCTTGGTTTGCTTAACCCTCTTCCCTGCTGCGTACCCCCCCCCACCCCCGCCAGCTCGAGCACAGTAGCAGATTCCTACCGCTGGCTCAATCACACCGTGGGCAACAGGACCGTGGTGGAGGAAGGCTACTACTATCTCAATAATTTTGACAACATCCTGAACAGCTTTGGTGAGTGACATCATGGGCAGGCGCCCCGGGCCGGCTGCCTTTGTCGCGCAGGTCCCAGGTGTGGTGGGCGCAGCTGTGCGAGGCCTCCCCGTCCCAAGCCCCCGGCCACTCTTGGGGCCCTCTGGTCAGGATGGAGTGTGTGGTTTGTCTGCCTGAGAGGTGCAGTGTAGCCCAGATCCCAGGGTTCTCTCAGGACCCAGGTTTTAGTCCAATTGCTGCTATGTTTTCAGTATCAGGAGCAGAAGAGCTTGGTGCCTGTCGGGGGGCGGGGGGTACAGCCTGTACTATAGAAACAACTCCAGCCAAGGCGGGGTCAGCCGCTCAGCCTGCCCCAGTGCCTTTGCACGGCCCCAGCTCAGGTCCGTACAACTCTGCTCCTAACTCCCATGGAGGGGTGGAGGAGAAGGGCTGTGGCTCTACCAGACGCAGCTTCTCCAAGAGGAAGGGGGAGCCCCTCGTGGCATCCCAGATCCTCACCAAGTACCCCGTCCAGCCCTGCCCGGCACAGGTTATCGTGGCCAAGGGTCTGCCCTTTTGGTCACAGTGGCAGCAGGCCCTGTAAGCTGGGCATGCGGCAAGGGCCGTGGCTGATCTCTTGAGCTGATCTCTCGAAGCTGGCAGATGAGGGTGCCATCATTTAGGGGTGTGATACCCAGGATGGGGGAGAGAGGCCCCTTGAAACTGACTTGGGAAAGTGGGTCTGCCTGAGATGGTTCTCTTCTTCCTGTTGGCAGTGACCTTGTTCGAGCTCACAGTTGTCAACAACTGGTACATCATCATGGTAAGGACCTGCTCGGCTCCTGGGTGTCTTCCCACTATCCCGGGCAGCTCCAGGCCTCCCCTCCCCCAGTGTGGTACACTGCCCTTCCCATGCCCTGCGGGCTGTAGGTCTTGGGTCACAGGTTGGGGCTCCGCAGCGAGGTCACAGCGTGGACCTGACCCAGGAGCTTTGGGCCTGAGGATCCACCCCAGCCCTCTCCAAGTCTGCTGGACTTGGCTTTTGTCCCTGCACACGCCCTGGCAGCCAGAGATGCCGGTCGGCCTCTGGCCGCCACTCACCGCTAAGCGAGTGACTTCAGTCAGGAGCCTGGCCAGGGTTGCTGGTTTGGGGTATTTCCTATTCTCCAACCGCTTCCAAGTGCTGTGCCTCCTGGGGACACAGACCTGGGAGTGTCCAGGGCTTGTGCACCTGGAGGAATTTCTAGACCCAGGGGAGCAGGCCACCCTCCGCGTCTCCCTCAACCCATCGGAAAGGGCCAGGGCACAGGAGCCGCTGAGCAGATAGCAACCAGCCCCCCAGGCCTCCCTCACTGGCCCTTTCCCTGCCTCCAGGAAGGCGTCACCTCTCAGACCTCCCACTGGAGTCGCCTCTACTTCATGACCTTCTACATCGTGACCATGGTAGGCACCGGGAGCCCCGTCCTCCATGGTCCCCAGCTCCTGCTCACCGGGTGGTGGCTCAGGGGCCCGGGATCCAGGCTCGGAGGTGGGGCCACGGCCGCACCCTGCTCACTTTCGGTCTCTCTCCCTGCCGCCCCGTGCCCGCAGGTGGTGATGACCATCATCGTGGCCTTCATCCTCGAGGCCTTCGTCTTCCGCATGAACTTCAGCCGCAAGAACCAGGACTCGGAAGGTGAGCAGGGAGCTGGGGCGCACGCCGGGCGGCGGGCTGGCAGCTCAGCTGCTCTCTCTGCCTTCCTAGACCTCTCATTTGCACTGATTTCAAATGTCTAACGACAGAAAAACACCCGTGACATGTCACAGTTTAAGAAAGATCATGCGGTGGAGATGCTAATGTGAACACAGCGGCCTGTGCCCCAGAACCCCCCTCCCCACACCCCGGCCGCCTCTGCGGTTTCTGTCTCCACGTCTCTGAGTAACACGCTCACCTTGGTGTTCAAGGTGTGAGGGCTGTCAACCGCGTTGCCGAGCGGCCCTTCCCTGGGCCTTCATTCTTTCCAGATTCTTCATCAAAACTGTCCTGTACTTATTGCTGGTTTCCAAATCTCTATGGTATTAGGCTGCCTGAATGTTTTGGGGGACCCCCTCCAACCCTCGCTGTCCCCTGCAAGGGGCTGCCTGCCCGGCTCTCTGGGCCAGGGGGGCCCTGCGGTGGGAGGGCAGGGCCTGTGGGGCTGGCCCAGGTGTGTGCCCGCAGGGGCAGCAGGAGAGTGGCTGACCCCCACCCAGCCAGAGGGGGACCCCAGGCTCCTTCCCACGCTGCCCTCCCTCCTGCAGTTGACGGAGGCATCACCCTTGAGAAGGAGATCTCCAAAGACGAGCTGCTCGCCATCCTCAAGCCGTACCGGGAGGTGCGGGGAGCCGCCTCCGACGTCTCCCAGCTGCTCAAGATCCTGTCCCAGATGGAGAGATACGAGGTGAGGGGCAGCAGCCCGACCACGGGAGGGGGGCTGTAGCTGCCCGTCACCCCGCCCCTCAGCTCCTGGTGACACCTTTGGGTGGCACGGTGACGAAAGCCAGAGGAGCGGGTGAGGGCTCGGCCTGGCCCTGCAGCCTCTGCTGTTCTTCAGCAAAACACCGTGGTGTTCCTGGGGCGGAGATCAAGGACCAAAAGTGACCTGAGCCTGAAGATGTACCAGGAGGAGATTCAGGTGGGAGCGCCCAGGCCACCCTGCCCAGCCCCTGCCTGAGAGGCCCCCAGTGCTGGATGGGGCGCCCCCCGGCCCGAGTAAGGGTGGGAGGATTGCTGGGGAGATTTGAGACCACTCATTGGGCCCACTTGCAGCAGTGTCCCGGACTTGGGTTTGGGGGGGCCCTGGGGGGATGGGGGGCTCACCTTGAACCCAGACCCCGTTCCCCTGGTAGGCAGCACTCCTGTCTGGTCTCTGCCGCTGTGCTCTCTGCGGAGCCTTGTCTCCATTTCCTGCTCTGAGCCAGCTGTGCACGTCGCGTGCGTGGCAAGAGTCGGCCGGGCAGGGCCAGGGCAGGCACGCTGGGCTGGCGAGGACTCGCTCCTCAAAGAGCAGGCCTGTTTCAAGGTCCCTCCCACGCTCCCCAGTGGGCCTGCCACCCCGCTGTGCCCAGGTCTCTTAGGGTTTTTGACTATTTGCTTTTTCCATTCTAATTTAAGAGAAAGGAGAAGTCCCCCCCTCCCCCCTTTCTTTTCCCCACACAAAATCTCCCGGCCTTTCCTCATTAGCAGGTAAGGAAAAGATCTTGCAAAGCAACATGCGGGTTGGCCACCCTGCCTTGGGGCTTCCCTTCCTCGGGGGCCCGGGGCTTGGGGAGGGTCTCCTGTGCCAGCGCTGTGCCCGTGCTGTTCTCTGTGGAAAGAGGGGTCACCAGACCATGCCCAAAGGCACCCTGGGGGACTGGCATTCTCTGGAAACACGAGCCCTGGCCAGGGTTCCGGGGCAGATACAGTGGGAGAGACATGGGGCTAATAACCTCAGGACTGGGGGTTGCTGCCAGGCCTCCATGTCCCCCCGTAACAGGGGGCACACCTAGGGCATCTCGGTGCTTTTCCAACCTCTAAAGCTCTGCGACTCTGACTCTTTCAAAGCATAGGGGGTATTTCTAATCCCCTAGCCCCTTGGGGAACCCCGTCCTGCAGGTGTCACAGAAACGGTCCAGGCAGGTGGGCCATTTGATTTTTGCCAAAATGACTTCACAGCCCTAGTGGGGGCAGCAGAAGCACCGTGGACATCAGAGGGGCAGATGACTGCACCCCCTTTATATGAGTAGGGTGAGCACCCCATCTGCTCTCTGCTCTGAGTTCCTATTTTCTCAGCTGTAAAGAGGGCAGAGTCTACATTTAGGGTTTTTGACTGTTATCCCTGAGAAAGGATAACGTGGAGGGGACCGAGGGGTCCTCTTGGCAACTAAGGAATATTATGACTACCTGGGTCGCATTGAAGAATTTCTGAGCACACTTTCCAAGGAGGTTCACAGACCTCTGATTAAGAGGGCGAGATTTCACCATCAGTTTTCCAATTAGGGCCATGTTCAGAATTCCTAGCAGGCCTGGGGGTGCAGGGACTATTCGGTCCCAGTGGAGGGGGGGCTGCCAGCCCGGCTCTGTCCCAACACCTCCCCACTGCTGCCGGCCTCGGCTGGGAGGTCACAGACGCCCAGCCCGGGTGACCCGGGGACCTGGTCAGGCCGGGGCAGTGCAGGGCTGGCTGGGGGGATGCATGGCGGGATGCATGGCCCCCTCAGCACCCTGTCGGCTCTCTGCTGTAGGAGTGGTACGAGGAGCACGCCCGGAAGCAGGAGGAACAGCGACAGCTCAGCGGCAGTGGCTTCCCCGCCGCCAGGCAGCCCGCAGGCGGCCGCCAGCGCTCGCAGACCATCACCTAAGCCCCGCTGGAGAAAGCCATCTCTTCTATGCAATAACACGATAGTATTATTTTACTACGACGTATCGAGACCGTGTGTGTGCAGGTGTACACACACGTCCCTATATATGCACATATTTATATAGAGGAAGAGGGAATGACGGACAAGATGGCCTCAGTCTGTAACCCCCTGCCCGGTGTTCCCGAACCCCCGAAGTCAGTTGGTTTGCAGGGGCCCAGAGGGCTCCTGGGAGCCCTTGGTGGCATGGAAAGCTCCAGAAGGGCCCTTCCCCAGACCACTTGTGTAGGTCCTGCCAGCGCCGCAGGGCTTGCCTTCAAAGTGGGCCAGTCCCCCTCCCCCCGGCCGCTCCAGGCCGGCTTCCTGATGCCCCTTCTAGACCCACGTCCCAGCTGACAGCCTCCTCATTGCCCCCCAGACCCCCACATCATGGGGCCTCTGTGTCTTGCTTTAGGGACAGAACCACTTAGGAAGGAAAGGCCCCACATCTTTGGGGTATTTGCATCTCTATGATCATGTCACAGAATGTCCCCCACTTCGGGGGGACCCGTGCCTCGGGCTCAGGGGGGGAATAATCCAGGGGTGTGGTTCTACAGCGAGGTCAGTTCCCAGCCGGTTCTGGGCCGCAGAGACTGCCCGGGGCACAGGCCCTGGCCCTGTACACTTCTCATTTTTGGTTTTCGCTCTTGTTGCTAAAAAATCCTAAGATGGCCTGTGGCCTCTAGGCCCTGCGGAGGAGGAAAGCAGGCAAGAGCTGCCATTCTGGACTGATTCCTGGGAGGGGGCTTTCTCCCCAGAGTCCCCTTTCCTTGCGGTTTTCCTGTGGAGCAGGAGGGCCTTGGCTAAGTCGGGTTCTGCTCAAGAGCCCGGGCCCTGCACAGGCAGAAAAGATGAGAATGGAGCAGAGGGCATGTGCCCCTGAGGGCGTCCACAGCAGCCCCAGGCTGAGCCAGCCTGGCTGCCTGGCCCGGCACCCTTCACCTTGGCCATCGCCCTCCATGAAGTGGGCTTAGCAGAGGCAGGAGTGGGGCTCCTGCTCACCCCAAAGTCCTCGCTAGCGGGAGTGGTTGGTGCAGAAGTATGTTCTGGGGGGCCCTCAGTTAAGCGCATCTGAGGTCAGTGGGGTCGGGGCAGCGCTTGGGTCTCCAGCAGGCCATCAGGATGCCAGGCCCAGGGGGCGGTGGAGGCCGCAGCGGCAGGGTCAGAGCTGAGGTTGCTGGTTGCTGGGGTCGGCTCTCCAGGGCCGCAGACCTAGCACCGTGCAGGAGGCAGAGGTGGTGGAACGGCAGGGGATGCTGCCCCACTGGGCAGCCTGGTCCCACCCCAGCTCTCCAACTACCTCCCATGACAGGAAGGCGAGCGGGCAGAGGCCCCTCTCGCCCCGACCTTCACCCAGCAGGACAGGGTTGATCCCAGGAGCTCAGTACCTGGCCCTGGCTCTCCAGCCCCTCTCCGGGCCATCTGCAATCCCCGGAGGGGTGGCTCCCCCAAGTCCCTCACCCAGGGAGCAGTGGTGGTCACTTGTTTTAAAAGCACAGCCTTTTGGGAGGACCACTGAGATTCCCACAGGGGATCAGGAGCCTGACATTATCCTCTTGTCTGGAGGGCCGCTGGCCCTGGGGAATCGGCACCGAGCCCCAGGCCAGGCCCCTTCCCTTCCAGAGAGGCAGCTGTATTTGCACAACCCGGTGCCTTTCAGCTCTTGTGCAGTGAAATGGGTGGTGAGGACAGGGGCCAGTCCCCCGGGGGGCTGCGAACCTAGGGGGCACCAGGCCAGGCGGGGTTAGGCCAGTACCCCCAGCCCTGTGTGGGGAAGGCCTGGTCACAGCCAGGGCCGTGAGGGCCAAGGAGCAGTTGTACCCACAGGCCAGACTCCAGCCGGTGGGGGGCGCCCTCGTCCGTGAGATGAGGTCAGCTCTCCCCGTGGGGTCGCCAGGGGACCCTCCAGCTTGTACACAGGCCCGTGAAGCAGGGCTCGCCCAGGGCTGAGTCTGAGTGACACGAGACATCACCCCACTCTGACGCCCTCGCCGCCCACAGCAGAGCTGGAGGGGACCCCTAAGACCAGGAGACCTCCCCCACGCTGGGGGATGCCACCTCGCCCCTCCTCGCGCCCTCCCCCACCCCAGCCTTACTCCACACCGTGAGACAATCATTTCTAGGGACAGCGGGCGTGACACTGCAAGGTTTTGTACATTGGCGGTCGGTTGCCTAGAAAACCCAGTTTCCGGATTTCTGGCATATTAATAAAAGAGTCTCTGCTTTGTAAATGCGGCTGCTCTCTGGTCACTTCTGTCCACACCAGCCGGCGTCCCTCGCGCTGGGGGGAGGGGGGCGGTCCCATCCCGCCCCAGCCGCAGCCCCTCCCTCGGCACCTGGCCCAGGCGAGGAAGCACCAGGGGAGCCAGGCGCGTGTGTTTGCCTGAACTATTTAATGACGCTTGCACCGGAGAGAGGGGCTGGACTCCCGTCGCTACAGCGGACGGCGGCGGGGCAGACAGGCCCCAGAAGGCGCGTCGCCGGCCAGGCAGAAGGGCCCGGTTTTCCTCTCCCCGGAGCTTGCGGGCATTTTGGCCCTGGCCGGGCTCCCCCTGAGGTAGGCGCCAGGCGGCCACGCTGACCCCTGGCTTGCAGCTGGGGAAGCAGGGCCAGAGCTCAGGGGTCTGCCGAGTCGGTGGGCAGTTCTGGAGCCACGTGACTCCCCCTGCTGGTGACCGGGGCCCTCGGGTTAATGAAAATCTATTTGCCCTTCATTCCACCCGTTGGCTGCGGCATTCGACGTGCTGAGGAGCGAACCGAGAACCGGGCGCGCGCTGTGCACCGTGCAGCACGGGGCTCAGCCCTCGTCAGGCACACAAGGTGTTCTGACCTGGTCTGAATCACCCCGTCTGATGCCCGCTCCCTGGGGTGCAGCCACTTGTACCCTGAGGAAGGCAGAGGGCGTGGCTGTGGGGACAGGGCCTGTGCCTCCCGAGTTACCTCCAGCCCTGAACACTTGGGGGCTCTCCGTGCCTAGAAGGTACCCCATCATCCCCTCCACCCCGAGTCCTAACCCGGAGGCTCTGGTGATAATTCTGGGAAGGCTTAGCTGGTGTCCACAGCCAAGCCCAGCGTCCGGAGCCCCACGAAGGAGGCTTAGCTGTCGTCCCCGCGCACAGCGGCAGCCGGGAACCTTTGACATCAGTGCCGCCCCGCCAGGAGCCACACTGGCCACCGCCATGCGGCCCAGGGGGGCTCCGGGAAGGACCCCATCTTCCATCGGTCCTCTGGCCGCCTGCAGTGACACCTCCCGACCGCCAGGTGGACGTGGACACGGGCTTCTTCCCTCATTGGCTTTTCAAGTGAATCACCCTAAACTCGGTGAGCAGGGCCACGACCAGGAAGCTCAGGTAGAAGAGCAGCAGGCAGCAGCCGTAGATTTTGTTCAGCTGAAAGCACTGCAGCGGCACCGAGACCAGGGAGCAGACCAGGCTGAGGCCCAGGGCGCCGGCCAAGACCCACACCAACAGTCCATCGGGCTCCAGCTGGGGAGAGGGCACAGGTTAGTCAGGAGCCCTGGGCTAGGTTTTCTGGGTCCCCCCTCGGGATGGCAGGCCCACCTAGGCCCCAGACACACCCCTGATGTTCCACTCAAGCGGCAGAGAAAGGGGTCTGAGGTCGGTGGGTGCCTCCAGCTCCTGGGTGCTTCCCCCGCCTCCAGCCTGAAGGGGTCACAGTTCTCTACGGTCACAATCCAAACTCCAGTGGAGCAGGTGCACGCACGGATGCTCACCGCTCACTGCGAAACGCCTCCGAAAGAAGACGCGTGAAGGGCCGGACAGATGGATGAGGAGGCAAATGAGGCAAGTGTTAACAGGAGGGTCTAGCGAGGGGCTGTGGTGTTCACTGTCCAAGTCACCGAGCTGTTCTGGGTTTGCACGTTAATTGAACATGGGGGAGATCTCTATATGGGTGGGAGATCTCGTGGCCACACAGCTCCGTCTGTTTAGGGCTGCTTCTGTGCCAGGCACTGCGCTAAGGCCCTCGCCAGCATTATCTCCCTGTCCCAACAATAAGTGTCAGCTGGGGGCGACGGGGGCTCCACTTTACAGATGAGGAAACTGAGGCCCTCGCCAGCGCCGGCCCGGGAACACAGGCCTGACCCCATGACCTGGGGCTGAGGCCTGCCCAGCGAAGGAGGGAAGGAACAGGCAAGGAAAAGCTGGCGTGAAGAAAGGGCAACAGGAGCCAGAGTCAGACCAAAGGCAGCTCCTCTGTGGGAGAGGGGACCACAACCCCAGCTCCAGGACCCCAGGAGCGAGGAGCCGAGGAGGGGGTGATTCCAGGCTGTCGGGGTTTACATTCCATTGGGTTGAGTAGTGTCTCCCCAGATTTGCATCCATCCAGAACTTCAGCAGAACGTGACCTTATGTGGACACAGGGGCCTCAAGGTGAACTCACCCTGGATTTATGGTGGCCCCGAGTCCAGCGCCTGGTGTCCTTTGGAGTAAGAGGCGAGGGCCCAGAGAGACGGGGGAAGGTCACGTGAGATAGAGGCAGAGAGTGGGGTGGCCACCGGACAGGGTCACTCGGGAATGGACGCTAGAAGCTGCAGAAGCAAGGAAGGAGCCTCGCGGGACCCCGCAGGGGGCCATGTCCACGGAGACTTCGGACTTTTGGTCCCCAGGACTGTGGGGGGCTGCATTCTGGTGTTTTAAGCCACCTCGTTGGTGATCATTTACCATGGCAGCCCGAGAATATACTCAGTAGTATATCTCCTGTTCCTGTACTTATTTTTCAACAACCGCATGAATGTACCACATACATATGAAAGGACATGATAGATAAATGTGTCACGCGGTTGCTGAAAAATTCTCAACATAGACAAGAGTAGGCAGAAGTGGCAGGTCCCCTCCCTGCCTTCCCTCCCGACCCAGTGTGCATCCAACACACCGAGGACTCGCTGCCAGCTGCTCTGCCCATTTCACATGCTCCAGAGCCTCCCAAGCCCCCAACATGTCAAGTGCCCGTTACTATTGTCACCAGTCCACAGAGGAGGAAACTGAATAATTAGCCAGTGGCTGAAGCCAAATTCAAGTCCGAGCTCTAAACCAAGACCCTCTCCTGCCCCCCCAGACAGGCCAGTGCCATCGCGTGGGCACACACACATCCAGACCCGCCCGCCCAGCCACACGGAGGCGGATGGGACAATGGGCACCCCAGTCTTTCATCCACAGTACACCCCGGGCACCTTGTGCCAGGACGGGCCTGTGTCACCTGCAAGCCACAGCAGGAGCATTTACTAGACTCGGCACCGGGGCTGTGGAGGGACAGACACACGCATACTCCACCAGGAACCAGAGAAAGGAAGAAGCAGGCCCCAGGGTGTGTGTGTGTGTGGGGGGGGCAGCCCTCCCATCCCTACTTGGAGCTGTCTTAGAATGGGCAACGAGAGAGCCTATTAAACCCATGAAGAGCATCAACAGAATCTGCAAACTTTTCAAGCATTAAGTAGCTGTTTGCATCTGGGCTGGCTGCTGGGGAAGGCTGGCCTCCTGCGGCTAACTACAAGTCTGCCCTTGGGTCTATTCAAGAATGTCTTGGAAAAGAGGTAGATGCCATTGTCCCATTGTCAGCCTCCTGACCGCCCCCCCCCCCAGGCTGAACCCCTGGTGAGCTTCAAACCCACCCTGGACCACAGGCCCCTCCCAGCTTCATCTTTTCCGTGTGTCCCTGAATTCCAGGCCAGAGTCCTTCGGGACAGAGCTGTCAAGATGGGGGGAAAGGCGGACCTGAGGCTGCGGGTTGAGGCTGCCGTGCCCAGGTTTCTGCTCTGAGCAATAGTTAGAAACGGTTCCCCTAGCAGTCTTGATTTCTTCTCTAGAAGAACAGAATTCTCAGGCCACAGCAGGCTCACCCGCAGGCACACACGATCCCTGTGGGGTCCCCTGGGCGTCTGAGTTCCTGACCTTGCTAGAACAGGGCCCCCACCTTCATCAGTCCCCTGAGAGTTGACTTGAACGTGCAATTTCCAGCCCCACCCCAACCCCCTGGAATGCCTGGGTCTCATGCACTCCCAGGGAATTCTTGGGGGCCCCTGAAGTGGAACCTCTGCTCAGTGTTTCATAACCTTCACCAAATGTTCCCCTGGGAAGTCTGTAGCAGATGGTGACTTAATTCTCAGCCCTGCCTGGGGGCAGCGTCTGACAGGGCCCTTAACTTCCACCCAGGAAGCTGGGGAGGAAACTGAGGCCCGAGCTGTTGTACAATAGGAGGCTTATGTGACAGGACTAGACCCAAATCCAGGGCCTTTCTAGAAGCTGCCTCTCTGGTGCTCGGTGAACTTGGAAGGACACTTTTTTTCAACCCCATATGCAAAATATATTCCAGTCTACAAACCAGACTGTCAGTAATTCAGACAAGAGCGCTCCAAAGAAGTGCTGAGAAGGTGCTGAGCAGGGAGTGGCCTCGCGGCCCAGAGAACTGGAACCGGGCTGAGGATAGAAGAGGGAGGCCCCGAAAGAAGCATGCGGTCACTCACCTTGACCTCCACGTGGCCCCTGGAGATCTGGAGCAGGCAGCCCAGCCCCACGCCCACCAGGATATCTGCAGCTGCTCAGGAAGTTTGCAGAAACAGCGCCCTTAACTTCCACCACGCAGCCCACCCCGCCTACCAGATTCATTGCCTGGGCTTGAGATGCTACTGCAACCTTTAGGGTCCATGCCCTCCCGTCCCCCTCCCTCCAGTAAAAAAGGAGAACCCCATCTGGGGAGGTCCCATCCAAGTTTAGGGCCTCTGAGGTCAGTGCCAAGTGTATACTTTGCTCTCTATCTGTATGGATCGGATGAGGTGATGCACTGGTGAGTACTTGGGAGATGGAGAAACTGAGGCTGGGCGAGCTGAGCGCCCAGCCCCTTGGGGTCAGTGATGGAGATGGTCCAGGCCAACTCTGGGAGCTGTTCAAGGGACACTGGTCCAGGCACGCTCCCTCGTTCCCAGCTCAATCTGAGAGGTCAGGAGAGGCCTCAGCCTGAAGGCACAGCTCTCCATGGACATAAAATGCCACAGGAGTCTGGTCTGACCGGGCTGGGGCAGGGGGGGTTCCAAAGGGCATTGAAGTGCCAGCCTGCAGCCCAGGCTGTAGCCCTCCCCGCCAGGCCCTGTCCTTGTGGAGAGTGGGGCTTTTTACTATTGTAACTTTATTTCCCAACCAACAATGCCTGTGCCCTCCCAGGCTCTTGAGATCATCATCAGTCCTCACCCACCCACACTTGTCTGAATTTACAGAGATGGCTGAGGTTTAGAGAGTAATAGGTGGGTGTGGGCAAAATAAAGCCCACAGGCCAATGCGGCCACTGGCTGCTCTTACAAATAAAGTTTTATTGGTACAGCGTCTCACCCACTTGTGTATGTACTGTATTGCCAATGGCAGCTTTCACACTCAAGTACAGAGCTGAGCAAAAGCATGCCTAGGGCCCACAAAGCCCAAAATAGCTTCTCTCTGGCCCTTTAACAGTTACGGAGCATCGACAGACCTGGCATCTGACCTGGCACCTCTGACGTCTACCAGCGAGAGGGCACAGGTAAGCTATGCTACAAATACCAGGCCCTGGCATTGAGGGCTGTCTTACCAGGGGCCAACCACCCCCTCACAAAACCCTCATGAGGTCAGATCCCTCAACCCTCCCCCAATATACACACGAGGAGGAGGCTGTGGCTCAAGGAGCCTGTCACTTGCCCCCGCATTACTGAGAGGGCCAAGGGTGGCACGAGCAGCCCACAGCCCACGGGGACCATGGCCCCAGTGCGCAGGGGAGGATCCCCAGGAAGGATACTGAAGATGATGCCTCCGAAACAGGCTGAGAACGCCATCCGAGGGTAGCCCTGGCGGGCTAGCGTGAAGTCCGAGAAGGCATCTGTGTGGAATGAGAGTTCTTGAGTGGCACATGGGGTCCCCACCCTCCTTGCTGGGTTACTCCTTACCTACAGCCATTCAGTCAACAGACGCTGGTGATCCCCCACCAGGTCTGGCACTAGTTAGCTGAGTGCTATGGAGGACCAGGGCATTTGGCCAGACACAAGTCCCCCCTTAATTCTTTTTACCCCATGCTCTCCAAGTGGGGAAACTTTGTGGGTATGACATGCTACCACCGATTTTTTGCCCATGCCCATGAACTGCTAACACACACAGCACCTGCATGAATTTAAAAAACGTGCCCAAAAAGGTGAGTGGAAGGAAAGAGACTATAACGCCCCCAACCCCGTGTCTGGATACTCTTGGGCACTGTACGACCTGGCCAGTCCTGCCTGGCCACTGGAGAAGGCGGTATGTGTACGTAGGTGTGAGTAGCTGCACACGTCACACACCGATGGACACTGAATGTTCAGTGTGGCTGACTGCAGTGGACTCCATGCCTGCCTGAACCCCGGGGAGCTGCCAGTTGTCCACACGGCACAGAGTGGGCTTCCAGAGTCTCTTGGCCCAGGTGCCCTCTGGGCCATCTCACCCCAATGCCCACAGATGGTCACTCCAGAGTGACAGGGCACTGAGCCCTGGCTGAGGACGGACATCCTGGACACCCCTGCCCACCTGCCACTCTGGCTGGGGAAGCAAAGAGCTCACCCCAGAGCCCCACCCAGCCCCAATTCACCTCCAATGCTGTTCCCCCAGGCCAGCAGAGTGAGCCCCAGGACGGTGTTGCTCAGGTGGAAGACAACGCCCAGGGACCGCAGGATGCTCACCACCTCAGTGGCGGCTGCGTTGATCCACAGGGCGCTGGTCAGGAAGCCCAGGAGAGCAAAGAGCTGGGGAGGGAAGAGGGTGCTGAGGGGACCTAGCCGGACCCCAGAGGGCCATGGCTCAGCCCCTCTTCTACAAAGCCAGGCCCTAAGGGTACCTACCTGGGGAGGCTGCCATGAGCACACACGAGGTACGGATGCAAAGCCCTAGAGCCGGGCACCCAGCGAGTGCTCAGCAAAACCTGAGCTCAGCAGGACATGTTGTCAAGACAGCATTCACCAGAGCTTTCCAGGTTTCCGGCCAAACTGACCAAAGGCCACCCCATGACCACAAAAAGAAGCTCCACCCCCACTAGCAATCCCCTGAGCTCCCCACCATGCCCCGCCGGCCAGCACGCCGTGGCTTCCTGCCTCTAGATTTGCCGGTTCTGGCTCTTTTATCACTGGCTCTTTTCAGCATAATGTTTGCAAGGGGCATCCATGTGGGAAGCCTGTGTGGGGATTTCAAAGGCCAGTCAGCACGCCAGCAGAAAACCATGTCTCAAAATCATCTGTGGGTGGGACATTCAACCCCCTCTGAGTTGGTACCTCCATTTGGAGTTTCTAAAAATAAAAACTACATTTTTAAATCAGTCAATCAATCCTTATAATTTTAAGTAAACTTTCGAAGAAAAACTAAAATTGCTCAGAAATTCCTGCCTACAGGTGGAGAGAATAGAAAAAGGCACCCACAAATACCAGAAAGTTCCATCTCATAAACCCAGGTCTTCCCACAGTGTGTGGTGGAGGAGAGTCTGGCAGGTCTTCAAAAGGTAAATATACAGTTGACATTTGACTCTAAGGTTCCACTCCCAAGAACATACCTGAGAACATTCTGTGTACTCATTTCCATACACAGAACGTTTATACCATGTTCATGGCAGCATTATGCCTACCATCCAAGGAGGGGAGACAACCCAAATGTCCATCAATGAATAAACGGATAAACAAAGTGTGCTTGGTCATATAAAGGAATATTACTCAGCCATGAAAGGACCAATATACCAATTTGTGCCACAACATGGATAAGCTCTTAAAACATTTTGCTAAGAGAGAGAACTCAGCCACACAAGATTATGCAATGCGCAGAACAGGCAAATCTACTGGGGACAGAAGGCAGTTTGGCAGTGGCTGGGGGCCAGGGGAGGGGAGAGGTGGAGAAAAATTGTTAATGGGTACAGGGTTTCTTTTGAAGAATAATGAAATACTCTAAACTTGACTGTGAGGATGATTGCACAATTCTGAGAATATAATAAAACTACTGGATTATATACTTCACAAGGGTAAGCTGTATGCTATATGAATCACATCTCAGTAAAATACAGTAGTTATTTAAAAAACAAAAATGAGAGAGGAACTTGAGCAGGTAAAAGATCCTTCAAAGGTGGTTTCAAAGACTGGTCATTATAGAAAGTGGTTACTAGCCATGCTGTCTCCGAAGTATAGACAGGACATCTGTCTGAGAGCCCTCAGTGTCCCCGCTCCCAGCTGCGAAGCCCAGGATTCTTACCCAGTGAAGTCTGGGGGGTTCACTGTTGGATGTGGCAAAAAAGGTCACTGCAGCCAAGGCTGTGCCTGAGATCACCACCACGGCCCAAACGGGAAAGAGGCCACCTATCTCATAGACACAATCTGCGGAGAGACAAGAAAGGGAGACTGATGATCCTCTTCACAGCTTTGGCTTAACACCTCCTCCTGGAAGCCCTCCACCCCAGCATGGTTGGGACCCATTGGTAAAACCCACCTACACTTGATTGTTTGCATATAAGGAAGATACCTCCTGTGTGCCCAATCCTGTCCCAGGCACTTCAAGAAGGAGAGAAAAATGAAAGACACAGCCTCTGCCTTCAAGCTGGTCACATGGAAAAGAAAAGACAGATGGGTGAAAAACAGACCGTCTCCAGGAACCAGGATGGGAATGGCTGAGACTCTGCACCACCATTGCCCTCTGCCACTCCCGTGGCAGACATCACTAATCACTCCCAATGCTTCCGAGCTTCAAGGCATTATCCTCCAGACAAGCATCAGCAGTGGATGGCATGGATCCACAAGAACTATCCAGTCATGCTGGCCCGCTGACCCGAGTGCCCAGCACTTGCTCTCTTGATGGGCCACTCCTCATGCCAATCCATGAACAAGTTATGAAGGTTTCAGGGGCTTCTTATTAAAATACTAAAGGAAGGAAATCTGCAGGCAGAGCTAGCGTTCTCCACATACCACTAGTCAGGACAGGACTTGACGGTGGTGGGTGGGGAGATTTTTCCCCACCCAAGGATTGGGGGAGGGGGGTTTTTCCATGACTTGGACTCAGCCATGAAAACTTCTGTTTTATCTTGAGTCTGACTCAGTGGCTCTCAAATGTCAGTGGGCCTAAGACTCACACCTGGGACTGAATCTGCAAAATTGTGTGCCGATACCTAGGGGGGACTTTTGTCCTGCGGTGATGGTTTTGGGAGCTGATGCCCAGTGAGAGGCAGCCTATGCCCAGGGTCCATAGTGTTTGCCCAGCCTATGCTAGAGGAAGTTTAGGTGGTTCCTCTTGGGGGATGGGGTGGCCTGGGGATTCAGTGGAAGAGGGGAGAGATTGAGTGGGAAGTAACTGTGGGGACAGCTTCCCATATGGGTCAGTTAGGCATTTCTCAACAGGCCCACAGAAGGCCTCTGGTCACCCTGGAGGACAAGATAGAGGTCAGTTAAGGCCCCTGAGCCTTGAGAGGTCCATTAATATTACTTAGACAATGCAGATTATTTTGCTTTGAGAGCAGGAGGGCCCTGGAGGCTGGGAGAAGCTTGTGGTCTTGTCTAAATCCTTGGCTCTGCCCTAACTGAAGCAGAGCTAGTCTGTCTGAAGCTGCCCGTTTCCTAATCAAAAAAGCAGTCACTGGGCCTCCCTGGTGGCACAAAGGATTAAGCAGAGCACCGTGAAGCTATCCTGCAGGCACTGCAGCACAAGTTCGATCCCCAGGGAGCAACCCATGTGGCACAGCACAGACCTCTCCTGCCTCGCCCGCTGCTCCCCTCAGCAGTATATTTCAGTCAATCCGCCTGTTCTGCTCCCCACTCTGTTTCTGGTGAATCCTCTCACCCCCACACTCTGGCCTGACACCAGTTCTTGAATGCATAAATAAGTAAAATTTTTTTTAAAAAAAGCAATCACTGCTCTCCCTTTTATGACCTAGAAGAAGGTAGTTTGGGTTTCCCATCCAGTTCTGGGTTTATCAGTGAACATGCTAGGAGTCTCATCTTTATTCTCAAAGTAAAGATGAGGTCACCCCCTTTCTTGCCTGTCATGTGAAGTCTCCCCTTCTCTGTCCTTGAGGTCCCGGGTCTTAAAATGCAGGTAAATATTCCTGGTCTGCCCCATTATTTAGAATTTACAACCATGTAAATTCTCCATAGGTATGTGAGTAACTGATTGTTTTTCTTTTGCTAGCTTGTCTGGTGCTGTTTTAATTACTCGCAGGAGTACGGGATTCCTTTCACACCTCTGCAGGTGTGACCAGGCAGGCTTGGGCCAGGAATAGCAGAAAATAGTGGCTGGCGCAGAACCCCAGGGATCTCCCATGATGACAGGGGAGCCTGGACTTTTCCAAGAGGCACTAGGGAGCCATGGGGGGTTTGGGTGGAAGGGTGACCCAAAGTGTGAAAATACACTTTAGGCCACCTGGGGGTGGCCTAGGAAGGAGGCAAAGGGTTGGTAGGGAGGTTGGGAGAATCCACAGGCAGACAGGACACCCCCCCGCCCCTTTGAATCACAACAATCCTTTGTGCAGAGAATTGAATCTGGGGACTCTACACAGTGCTCAGCCCAGGAGGGGGTGACAATGCTTTAGACAGGATCAGCCTTTCCTGAGTGTGGACCTGCTACGACCAGATGCTGTTGGGGCCTGCGGACAGGACCCTGCCCTAGGGTCCCATCTCAGGAAAGGGGTCACACAGTTAGAGGAGAAAGTCTCCGCTGTGGGCTAACAGGTCTGTGACACCTCCCATACTAAAGGCCTTTGAGCAAAGGGGACTGGCTTGGGTCTAGACTGGAGTGTGTGTATGTGTATGTGCACATTGCCACCTCCACTTCCAGGTGATGCCCCCGGGTGAGGGGACGGAGCCCACTTCACTGAAGCAGCATGAGATACTCAGGTTAGACAACAGGAAGAAACCCGGGCCAGAGCAGGCCGAAAAGGAAAAGGACAGCCTGGGGCGGCAGGGGGCCCGCCAGGACACAAAGGAATGAAGCAGGCCCAGCCCAGGTGGCCAGTGTGCAGTGAGGGGCTGAAGGCTCAGCCATGGAGGGGAAAGTGGGGGGTCTTTTCAGCTTTCGTCTTCAGGAATGTGGCCCAGGTCTTCTTGAGATGCTCACACCTGGATTTGGATATGAAACATCCCAATTTTTGAATATGGGCTGATAAGCCAGAGGGCTGGACTGGGTGCCAGGGGCCCCAGTTTACAGCCTCCATCTACTGCCAGCTGAATGGAAGGCTCCGGCAGGAGGCTGGTGTCCTTTAGGGCACAGCACCAACAAAGTGCCTGCTGCATGTCAGGGCATGTGGGGAGTGGGCTGGGAGAGGGGGTACTCACAGGCGCCCGACTGCAGGGTCAGGACCAGGAACAGGGGACTGATGGCCAGGTGCAGGCAGTTGAGGGGCCGTTTCCAGTTCCTGTCTTCCTTGTCAGGGTCCACGACAGGGACTGTGAGGAGCAGCAGGAACTCCACGGGCAGCTGTCAAGAGTGGGAGACCGGAAGGTGCTTTGCTGCAGCCCGGACTGTGCAGGCCAGGGGCTGAGACCCTGCCTGAGGCCTGCCCTGCTGACACAAGCCCTAGGGGAGATTTGTGCCTTGCCTTCCCCAGCTGGGAGGGGCTGCCTGCATTCCGGGGACAGCCTGAAAACATCCTCCCACCCCCTGCTAGGTCCACTCTGCAAAGACTTGCGAAAGAAAGAAGAGGCTCCATCCCGCAGCCTCTGCAGGAATCTGCTGCCTGAGGGTGAACCAGCCTTTCCCCCACTCATGAGAAGGGGCCAGAGAAAGATTTTACTCTTGGGGGCCCAGCCTTTGCACCTCCAGTGTCTTCTTTAGAAATCAGGGATTAAACCCCAGGCTCTGCCCTCCCCTGGGCACAGGCAGCATTTCTTTAGGTCAAGATAACAAAGGAGGCCTCCCTGGTGGTGCAGGGGTTAGAGTCTCAGTGGTATCAAGCTATCTGCAGCCACTGCAGCACTGAGTTTGATGCCCAGCCAGGGAGCTACCCACATGGCGCAGCGGAGCTCTCCTGACTCACCTGCTGCTCCCCTCAGCAGTGAATTTCAATCTGCCAGTTCTGCTCCCCACGCTGTCTCTGGTGAATCCTCTCACCCCCTGCACCTCTGGCCTGCACCCCAGTTCTTCTACACATAATTAAATAAAATAAATCTTTAAAAAAATTCACTAAGACAACCACTCCGGAAAAAAGACTCTATCATTATCCCCCTTTTATAGGGGAGCGAACCAAGGCCTGGAGCAGCGCCACGACTTGTCCGAGCCCAGCGGCACTGTGGGCTGCAAATTTATTTAAGATTCTACTCTTGGCACTGAAAAAACCTAAGATGTAGACACGTTAGGTTTCCGGCTCCTCTCCAGGAGACAAGGGCGATGGATGAGGGGGGAGCCTGACATTATGGTCCGGTGGGTTTGAGGCAGCTGTAGCTGTGCCTCACGGGAGCCAGCCTGAGGCCCCGGCTCACAGGCCCACCTCAGATTTAGTCCCGGCAAAGGTGGGTAATCGAAGGACTAGCCTGGTTGTCACCCCCTACTCCAGCGCCAACACTTACCCTCACCCAGTCACAGGGGTCCTGCCTCCTCGGTCCATACAGATGCTCCCCAAGGCTAGCAGAGAAGCTCTATGACTCAGTTTCCCAATCAAGTCCCAGGATGTCTATTCTGACCCTGGCCACTTGCTCTCATTGAGCTGGAGAAGGTTGGGCGGCCGCTGTCCGTGGTCACGAAGCCAGGAGCCCAGCTCCAGGTCGCCCCTCGCCTTACCTTGAACACCTTGAGGACCCTCCAGGATGCCGATTTGTTCCTCCACGTCCGGTAATCCAGGGGGTTGAGGGACCGGGCCAGGATCTGGGCCGTAGTCTCCTGATGCAAGAACAGAGGCCGGTACTCTTCACCTGTGTTTGTAAGAGAAGGGACAGGTGTCCGAGGTTGCCACCACCTCCAGGAAGTCCTCTTTCTCCTCTCACCAGTCCTTTCCCTTGGGAAGGAGGAAAAGCCCAATGCCTGGCAGAGCACGGGCCACCGCCCCAGGGCTCAGCCACATACAGTGAGATGGGGTTGGTGTGCGGCCTCATTCTGTGGTCTGAATGGTCCCAGTCACCCACCTATCTACCAGCCCTGCCCGGGTTCCCCCCACCAGCTGGGCAGAGAGCTTGGACTCACCGTAATCATAGCTGTTGGTGTTGGAAGATACCCTTTCCTCCTCGGAATCCGAGAGCATCTCTGCAGGAGGGAGGCATGTTTCACACGGGCCCAGCTAGGGTACCCAGTCACCCACTCCCCTGTTCTCAGTTAGGGCACCCCAGCTCAGGGCGGGTATTGGGGGACAAGTATGCAGGTCCTGTGTATTTGGGGTTTCTCAACAATCACCATGCATACTTGGGGATTCTTATAGTGTGAGAAACCTAACTCATAAAATATTTTCAAATGAAATTCAAACAGTTTTTCTCTGTTCTGAACTTGAAACCTATCATATGTTTCTTTTCCAGCCTGAAACTTGACTTGGGAGTCTCTGGCATGCTTGTCAGCTTGAGAAGAGGGGCCTAAAAGGAATATGGCCTGGTTGGAATTGAGGAGTCAGTGCAGAGCGGGGCCCTAATTCTGTCTCTGTGCGACTTTGAGCCCTCTCCAGGTCTCATTTTGCCCTTTGTTTGTGCTTGGTGATCTGAGATGGTCAAAACAGCATAAGGGTCATGTGCACTGAACTTTGAAAGTTCAGCTGACAAAGTGGGGAGGGGAGGAAAAATCATGGCAGACTTCCTGTAGGGGTAGTCACAGGCACCTACGTAGGGCCCCAGGGATCTGAGAGGAAATGAGATATAGTTCCACCCTCTAGAATCACGGTCTAAGAGACAGACATACAAGCAAATTAATAACAGGATGGAGAGATAAAGGCTGTGCTGCAGTGAGTCAGAAAGCTTAGAAAGGAGACCTGGTTTCATAGAGCTCCCTAGCTCCTAAATTTTTCAAAAAGAAGGGCAAGCCAGGGAGAAGGGACAGCACCTGCAAAGGCCCAGAGAGAGCATCACGCGTCCAGGGATGTGCGGGTGGCTCCACACAGCTGGGGTGTGAGATTTGGGGCATGAAACACGTCTGGAGAAGAAAGCTGAGATCTAGCACAACAGCAAAAGATCAAGGGCACGTTTCTCAGGCTCCAACAGTGAAAGGGGCCAGCATATCAGAGGACCAAGTGAAGCAGACTGTGTGGAAGAATTCTGATGTCCTAACACCACCAGGTCTGCTACCCACCCCTTTCCATATATGGGGGAGACAGCAGAGAGTGTGGGGGCTGGGGCAAATTGGAGAACCACGCGTTGCCGAAGGGGGAAGCCTCATTGAGCTCAAATCGTCGTGCCAGAGGCCAGCCCTTCTGATGTTTCAAGAGAAGCCCAAATTTAGGGGTTTTATAACAAATCTTTTCCTTTTAAATCTTGGCCTAATTTTAAAAAGAATACGCTGGCCACACACACACAAAAACAACACTTGGTTACTAAGAGGTGATCAGCAGGTTTCCAGTTGTGGCCTCTGGCACTGTGGGTAGGGGATGGCCTTTGGGGCCTGGGGGACCTGATTTTGAGCCTCAGCTCTGCCTGGTGAGGACTTGATCTCCCTAAGTCTGATTCCTCATCCTTAAAAGGGGGGTCACACCAGCCCCCACCTTACCATCTCACCAGAGAGTCAGTGCTTTGGGTTTGTATTTGGTATCTGTGTGCATGTGTGTGTTATGTCTGTGTATTTGTGTACGTGCATTTATGTATGTGGGGGTGTGCTGGGTATGTGTGTGCATGCGTGGTATATGTGTGTATGTATCCGTGCACATGTGTATTTGCAATTACATGTGGGTATGTATTTTGTCTCTGTGTGTATGTGAGTCTGTGTTTGCATCCACTGTGCATGTGTGTGTGCATACATTTGTGTTTGTACGTGTTGTATATTGAATATGTTGTTTATGTAGCTGTGGCCGTGTGTGCTGTGTTTTATGGGTGTGCATGTGTCTGTACAGACGGATTTGGCCCCGAGGATAGTGGGGAGCATTACAGGCTCTGAGAGGGACTACTCTGGTCCTGCCTCAAGGAAGTAGGAGGGGGTGGAACGAGCATCCCCGACAGGCAGGGGACAGGCGCCACCAGCACCAGCAAAGCACAAAGGCCAGCGTCTGGTAGAAAGAGCAGAACGGGTGTGAGGAGGAGACAGGTGCTGGCCGTGGCCCGAGAGAGGTAGAGCAGCAGCGAGGGGCACAGAGGGTGCCCGCCCCGCTGTTCCCCTCCTGCTCCATTCAGACCCTACCTGGCGTGCCTGGCATGGAGTAGACCAGGGATGTCCTCCGCTGCCATCGGTAGATCCAGGTGCAGAGGACCACAGTGGCCACATAGAACGCATACAAGCCGAGGTAACCTGTAGGTGGCGCCGCAGGCCGTCACCAAGGGGCCCCCTGGCAGCAGGGCCCCAAGAACGGCCAGCGCTCTGGCCCGCCATGTTCGTGGGGGCTATTCTATGTGAGTCCAGCCGAATGGCAGGTCGAGGGCCATTTTCTGGAACCCCCAACCCCCTCGCCTGCCTTCCTGGCCATCTTCCCTTCTTGATGCCCCCTCTCAGCCTGGCACAGACAGAGGTCTCCAGGGGTTGGTGTGCTGCTCCGTGTCCAGGGCAGGATGGCACTAAACCCCCTGAGCTCTGGGGGGCCTGACAAGAAATCAAAAAGTAGTGAAGAGACTTCTTCCCTGCTCCCTCCCGCCTCTGGCAAGGCCTGTGACCCGCTATGACAGTTGCTGATGCTGGGTGGCACCAACTCCAGGGCTCAGCCCTCACCAGGCTCGTGACCCCAATCCCTGGTTTTATGGGGCTCTCACTGTTGCTGGTCCCTGGGTATCTCTGCATCGCAGTGTGCCTTGTAGGTTTCCAGAGCCCCCAGCAAGCTGACCCTCCATCTGTGCCCTTGGCCCATCTGAGTAGCCCGTGAGACACTGATGGGCAGCGAGGGGGCTGCTGAACTGCTGGTTAAGAGTCCAAGTTGTGGCTCTTCTCTAACTCACCCCTGGCTCTGCCCTGGCCCTGGGGTTATCAAGCCACAGGCCCCTGTGTTTAAGCTGGCTTAGCAGGCTTCCTGTTACTTAGAACTGAAGGTGACTGTGCCTGCTGGTCCCCACTCCTGTCCCCAGGATCATCCCACCCAGCTCCGCGACGGCTCACCCAGGGCCCAGGCCAGTGTGACCCTGCGGCAGTAGAGCACGGTGAAGGTCAGGAACACGGCCACCATGTAGAAGATGATGTCTCTGAGGAAGGGCCTGGAGGCGGCCGTGAAGGGGTGCAGGATGGCGATGCCCCCTGCCACCACGGTGGTGACCAGCACGCCTGCACCTGGAGGGCAGGACACCAGCTCAGCCCACGCCCACCCTCCCACTGCACCCCCCCAACTGCTGCCAGGGCCGCACCTACCGAACAGTGCCCCCAAGGCCAGGCCAGCTGTGCGAGGGTCCGAGAAAGCCACCAGGGCGCTGAAGATGTCAGGGGCCCCATTCCCAAATGCCAGGAAGGTGACGCCATGGGGAGCATGTCAAGGGGGGGGTCAGCACAGAGGTCCCCGCCTGCCCAGGCCTTTCCTGGGCCCTGAGCTGCCATCCTGTCTCTGACCACCTAGCCCCCGCCACCCCACAGGGACAAAGGATACAGCTACGTTGTGGGAGAGCTTGAGGGTGGTGGAGATGGCTGACAAGTTTGGGCAGAAACTACAGAGAAAAGGCAAAAAGTGAGTATTTCCACAGTGGAGGCCCTGCCCCCACACTGCCCCGTAAGCTGAGGGTCACCCAGATGTCAACCCTCTGAGCCTCCATTTCTCCATCTACAAGCTGGAGGGGACCCCAAGGCCAAACTCACAACTTTGCTGCAGTGACTCCCAGAATCAGGAACAGGTAAAGCAGCCAGAAAACCTGGGTGGGAGATGGAGAGGGAGGGAGGGTGACTCCCTGGCTGCGCGAGCCACCCCTCTCCCCAGCTCCCTGGGGTGGGACCTCACATAGAGGATGATGGCCAGAGGGAAGAGGTTGGGGGGGAAGTGACAGAAGATGCCTTCAAGGTAGTCCAGGTAGCCCCCGTGGCTGTGGCAGTCAGGGGTGGTCCGGATAAAGTTACAGCGCTCAGAGACATTCAGGCCACACACATCAAGACACTGCAGGAAGGGAGGAAGGGAGAGGTCAGGGGGACCAGACCAGGCCCATCTGCGATCTGAAGGTCGCCTCCTTCAGCCTGGTTGCTAAGTTCCCCATGCCCTCCAGGTGCCAACCGCACGCTTTAATTTTTAAAAACAAACACGTGCTTGAAATTAATGCAACGAATTTATAAATGTGCTTGCTGAGAATAAAAATGAATACAAAAACATACAACATTATTAGGTTCCTAAATTCCCCCTTCTCATCTCTACCCTCCATCACCTCACCTCTCTCTAGAGGTTCCACCATGATCACTCTGAAGTGTACCCTTACAGACATTTCTCAACTCAGTGATATCTGTGTCTACAGTCAGGCATGTTTTGGGCCTCCCCTGGTGGTGCAGGTGGTTGAGCGCAGTGCTGTGAAGCTGTCCGCAGCCTCCGCAGCGCAGGTTCGATCCCGGCCAGCCAGCGAGGGTCCCACATGGCGCAGCAGACCTCTCCTGTCTCGCCCATTGCTCCCGTCAGCAGTGTATTTCAGTCAGTCTGCCTGTTCTGTTCCCCACTCTGTCTCTGGTGAGTCCTCTCACCCTCCCATGAATCTGGCCTGTACCCCGGTTCTTGTATGAATAAATAAATAAATCTTTAAAAGAAAAATAAAGACAGGGACATGTTTTGAGAAATGCAGCATTCGGTGATTTGGTCACCGTGCAGGTGTCCCAGAGTATGACTGCATAGCCTGGACAGTGTAGCTTACTATGTACCTAGGCTATATCTAGGAAGTAGTCCACCCTTAACCGAAACATCGTTACGGGATGCATGACTATAGATCCCACAATATGGTTTGTTTTGTTTTGCAGAAATGGGTCCTCTCTAAATCTTGTTTCTATGATTTCTTTTACCATCTCACATACACGCCATCTGTTCTTATATTGAAACACGTGATAATGGAGAGGATGATAAAAATCCAAATATTCTGAGTGCTTTCCATAGACCAGACACTGTGCTAGGAGATGAAAATGTATCTTTGCACAACTACCTGGTGAGAAGGTCCTCACACGTATGACGAGAAGGCTAGGACCATGGACAAAGCTCCAGGGAGCATCAGGGTGGAAGCCAGGCAGTCTGAGACTCTAGCTCCCCAATTCCTACTCAGCACACTCCAGCTGCTCCCAACTCACTGTGGTCTTTTTTTTAAGACTTTTTTTTTTTTATTTATACAAGAGCTGGGGTAGAGGCCAGAGGTGTGAGAGGGTGAGAGGATTCACCAGAGACAGAAGGACTGAAATACACTGCTGAGGGGAGCAGCGGGCGAGACAGGAGAGGTCTGCTGCACCATGTGGGAATCTCCCTGGCCGGCTGGGAATCGAACCGGTGCTGCAGAGGCTGCGGACAGCTTCATAGCGCTGTGCTCAACCCGCTGCGCCACTGGGGAGGCCCTCACTGTGGTCTTTTTAACAGCTGTCTAGTATTTCATACATAATGGAGGTAATTTCCCTACTGGTAGGCATTTGGATGGGTCTAATTTTTCAGTATTACCAACCATGAATGTCCTTGCATGAGACTATGTGGTCACATGGAGTATTTTGTCAGAGAAAATTCTAGAAGTGAAAGTGCTGAGTTGGAGCATGTCCTAGCCCTAGTTCCTCCTGAAGCTATCAGAGACAAGGACTTAGAAGTAAGTAGTGCACTTGGGCAGGGCAAGCTGCCAATGAAGTCTTTGCTGAGATATCCCTTGGGTCAGCCCCCCTTAATTCCATTCATACACCAACTATCAGTGGGACCCGACTAATTCCCCAGCACTGCCTACCAAGCGTATGGATGGTTCTGGAAAAAGACAGCAACCAGAAATCAAAAGATTGATCAAAATGGTAGGACAAAGGGCATAGACAGGGCTCTGACTGTGTCTGCTGAGAAGGGAGAGGGGCTAAACAGGGCTGGATTTCCCCAAAATACCCTTTCCAGCGCGCTGCTCACACTCCGGCAGCAGTGGGGAGAGACCGGGACTAGCCTGCCTGATACGCTGCCAGAGCCCTGTTCAGGCCACAGGACGGAACCTCCTTGTTAAGTGACAAGTACCTGGTTCCCTGTGAAGCCAAGTGCTCTTTCCACGTGTTAAGGCCGTTTGGATTCTTCCTTGAACTGCCAGCTGCTCCCCCTGGAGTGTTTGCCTTTGCTGAGTGACAGAGGGCCACGCGCGCCCTGATCGATGGCTAGCAGCCCTTTGCCATGTCCTGGGTCTGCTCGAGCGATGCCCTCTGCCGTGGTGGGGCCCTTCCCCAACTTTTTGTTCAAAAGCTTTGTCAATACCACCTGATACCTATTAGGATGGCTACTTAAAACGCACACCAAACAAACAAAAAGCAGAAAACAGCAGTGCACCTACCGCTGGGCTGCTGGGCTGCTCTCCCGTCCCCTGTCTCCCACTGGCAACGGCGTGCAGAAATTGGCATGTCCTGGGATCCTGTTGCTGGGGATATAAAATAGTGTAGACATTTTAGAAGAGAGTATGGGGTCACCCCCACATTTTTTTTTTTTTTTTTGGCTAGAATGACCCTATGATCCTGTAAATCTGCTTCTGTGTTCTACCAAAAAGAATTGAAAGCAGGACCTCAAAGAGATCTCTGTACACCAAGGCCTGGTGGCCACCCAGGAGCCCATGCAGGATGGATGGGCGAACAAGGGGGCACATCCCCGCAAGGGAATAGAACTCAGCTTGAAAAAGGGAGAAAATGCAGGCCCTGCTGCCCCGTGGATGCCTCTTGGGAACACGGCGTGGAGTGGAACAGCCAGTCCTAGAAACACAATTCTGTTTAGCACTATTTATACGAGGACCTGGCATAGAGGGCTTCAGCAATCGAGAGCAGGATTATGGTGACCAGGAGCTGGGGGTAGGGGAGGAAATGAGGAACTCTTGCAACGGGTTAGGAGTTCGCATTTTCCTAGACATTCTAGAGATGGTTGGTGGTGATGGTCTGTGAAATAAGCCATTCTGCTCCTGTCCCAGGGCCTTTGCACCTGCTATCTCCCAGATCTTCCTTAACATTCAGTTTGCAGTCAAAACATCACCTCCTGAAGAGGCCTTCCTGATAGTCCAGGGCAAAGCAGCCAACCTTCCGCATCTTACCCCATCCCACCCTTGGTCTGTTTTCTGTATCCCTCTCTACCAGGTGAGATTATCCTGCTTATTGACTCATTTTTTACCCACGTCCCAGCTAAAATGTGAGCTCCAGGAGGGCAGGGGCTATATTTATCTGCTCCCTGTTAAGCCCCCAGTATGTGTACAGTGCCTTGCACACAGCAGGCATTCTGAGCGACTGTTGACCGAGTAACTACTCAAAAGGGTTCTAGGCAAGGAGTACGTGGCCTTTCCCAGTCTGCGGGCCAGTCTGATGGGAATTCCAGGAGCTCCCTGCGCCTGTCTGGGAGGCGCCGCATTAGAGGGAAGGGAATGCTCTGGGCATGAGGCACCTGAGCTCACACCCTGCCTGGGTCACTGCCTTGCCAGACACCTTCCCTCCAGGAACCTGAGAGATAAGCAATCACATCCACCTCAGGGGCCTGTGGAGGGCTCCTGGGCTCAGTTACTCAGATTATCTGACATAAGTCAAGACAAGCCCATTTTTCCTGCCCCCAAGGGGCATGCTCCACAAGGCAGAGTCAACTTTATAACCACAGAACCCACAAACCACTTTCTACTCTGTAAAATGGATGTACGGATGTAATTACCTATCTGTCTGCCTCCGTGCGGCTCCATAAAGTAGGCGTGGGAGCTAAACACCCTTAGCCCTTCAGTTCAAGTCCATTCTCCCACAGAGGGAAATCCAAGGCCAGAACCTGCAGCTGCAGCTAGAGGGGCAGCCTGAGCAGTCCCCCACCTTCGGTCTTTTACTCCTGATCCACTCTCCTCCCCTTACAGCACCAGCTGCAAGTCCCGGCAGCCTTCTCAATGGCCCGCAGCCTTCCTGCCTGGGGAGGAAGCCATCATGCCTCTCACCCCAGCTTCCACATGGCATATCCAAGTCCACAGCACCACCATCCCCCCAGCTACTAAGGCCAGAAACCTGGAGCCATCCTAGATTCCTCCCTTTCTCCCACCATGTCCCTCCATTGAATTCATCAGTAACTTCCATTCTTTGTGCTTCCAACTTCTATCCTAAACTCCACCTCTTCTTTCCTTTCTCCCACACCACATTCGCTCACCTGGACAGCTGCAGGAGCCTCCCCACTGGTCTCCCTGCTCCCTGCTCCCACCCTCACCCCTCTCAACCCATTCTCCCCAGAAAAGCCAGAAGAAATAAATCAGACTGTGACATATCTTTGCTAAAACCCAATCATCCCACTGTGATAAAACAAATCTCACCTCCTAGCCTCAACCTATAAGGCCTTTCATAATCTGGCCGCCACTCTCTGTCCTTATCTCTTAACCTCAATCTCATTTACCCTATTCCAGTCATTTTGGCCTCCTCACTGCTGGAGAAATATAGTTTACACCCTCCCTCTCACAACTGTTACCTCTTGACCCTATTATTATCACTTGATCCTATTCTTTGCAGAATGCTAAGCATCCTACCACCTGAATGTAGATGTTTACTTTGTTCTTTGTCCTCCCTGGAGACTGATAGCTCCAAGAGGGCAAGGATTTTTGTCTATATTGTTCCGAGAGTTCAGCTCAGTGCCTGGCAGGTAGTAGATGCTCAATAAATATTGGTTGCTTGGATTAAAACACCCCCACCTAATGTCAGTTTCCTGCCTGGATACTCACATCTACCACCGGGATCTGGTTCACACATGAGGCTGCAATCGGTGGATGAATGTGGACTGCTGTGGCCAGGCCCCTGGCCCCGGACACTGTCTCCGCCATGAGCAGCACATACAGCAGACTCACATACAGCCCTTGATGCAGATTCAGCCCTGAGCTGAATCTGAGCCCTCCACAGCCTGGCCTCACGGTCTGTTTCCCCTTCTGCATTGCTTTAGTTTCAAACATCTGGCAGGCTGGCAGCTGAGTGACCTGCAGGGTGGAGAGGAGGGACAGTGTCATGGCCCCAGGATCCTACAGAGTGCGAGAACTCCCTCCTCCCCAACCAAAGGAACAGGAATATAGAAACCCACATTCTGGAAGGGGGCTTGGTGGATGGACCCACCATTGGACCTACTAATTCAGTTTGCAGATCAGCTAGGCCCTTCTTTCTGAGACCTGAGTATCTCCATGGAAACTTAGGCCCCTCCCACCCAATCTTAGACCAGAATATCGGGACTAGAAGGGAGACTGATCCAGAGATTTTTATTCTTTTTTTTTTCTCGAAGATTTATTTTTATTTATTTATGCATACAAGACTGGGGTGTAGGCCAGAGGTGTGGGGGGCGAGAGGATTCACCAGAGACAGAGTGGGGAGCAGAACAGGAGGATCTACTGAAATACACTGCTGAGGGGAGCAGCAGGTGAGACAGGAGAGGTCTGTTGTGTCATGTGGGTCAGCTCCCTGGCCAGGGATCGAACTCATGCTGCAGTGGCTGGTGATAGCTTGATCGTGCAGAGACTTAACCCCTTGCGCAACCAGGGAGGCCCTGATCCAGAGATTCTCACCTGCAAGGGCCAGCTGGGTGAGAAAAATACAGATAGTGGGCATTAGTGGGGGCTGAATTAGCCCTCAAAGCAAAGAAAACTTCTTTGGGCCACCAGTTCGAAACTACTCAACAATGCTGTTGTTCTGTCCTTACAAGGGGCCAAGCACCTAACCCAGATGACCTCATGTAATGAGGAGGTGGGGCCGGGATGAGCCCTATTTCACAGGGGCCCAACTGGGGCACTGAGTCAGGTCCATGTCCTCACTCTTCGCCACTGGCCTTCTCATCTCCATTTGGTGCTCAGAACCATTCTGGCGACCTTATTGCCACCACTGCTTTTACAGAGGAGCAGAGTTCCAAGCATGCCCAGGGTGTTGGGGCAAGACAACCACAAAGCCAGCAGCTACCCTGAGGGCTCAGAAGGAAGAGAGTTGCTCAAAGCCCCATTTAGCTGCAGAGCAACAGCCAGATGCTGTGGATCACCTGCCTTCCCCCTCCACACCAGCTAAAACCAGCTTCATTTTTCTCCCAAAGAAAAGAAAGTGGAAAGAAAAAATCCTTGACCAAGTAATTTTCTCCTTTCAGCTCTTCCCTGGGTTGTAGATGAACACGCTGAATTTTTGCCACCAAAAAAAAAAAAAAAAAACAAAACAAAAAACCAACAACAAAAAACACAAAACAAGGTCCAGAAAACAACGTTATTTTTTGGTAACTCTTCGCAGAGTCATTTCACAACGTCCTGGCAGAGGCAGGGGGAGGAGGCTGGCAGGAGGAAGAGAAGGCGGGAGGGCAGAGGCCCGGCCCAGCCCTCTCGGCTCACCTGTTGACAGGTCCCCCCTCTTCTGTTGCACCCACGCTCCGGGTGTCCGGGCCCGTCTGCGCCCCCACGCGAGCGGCGCGCCCTGGGGGGTCCCTTCAGCGCTCGGAGCCCCTGCGGCCTCATCTGTAAGGCGGAGAAGCTGGTCGGTCAGAGCATACAAAAAGCGCTTAATAAATGCTTAATGCAGGCGCCAATACAACCACCGGCTGGACGGGCGCGCCCGTCTCGCTCTACGCGCCGCGGGCACCGGACCCGACCCGACCCGACCCGACCCGACCCGACCCGCCCGCCGCGCAGGGGCCCTCGCCGCGCGCCCGCGCTCCCCGCCGCGCCCCCGAGATCTGCAGAGCTGATAGGAAGGGCAGGGACAGGAAGCCGGGGCTGAAATCACAGGGGCGGCGGCACTTTCGAGGGGTGACCCGGGACGGCCAGGTGCTCGGCTCCCCAGCCCCGACCAGGGTCCTCCGGGCGCCCCAGGCGGAGACTCCCCTTACCTCCGGCGGGGCGTCCCGCCCGCCGACTCCGAGTCTCGACCCCGCGGGGCCTCGCGAACTCCCAGGTCCCCGCACCCCGGCCCTGACCGCCGGCCTTTAGCCCCGACGCGGCGGGCCCGGCGCTCAGCCAGCGCGGCGTCCGGGCTCTGCCGGGGGTCGGTCCGGGCGCGCCCTGCTGGCCCCGCCCCGGGCCCGCCCACACTACGCCCCGCCCCGCCGGCCCCGCCCACTCCGGCCCCCGCCCACTCCGGCCCCGCCCCCGGCCTTAAAGGCACAGGCTCCAGGTGCGGTCCGGAGGGGCTTCCCCACGAGCCACGCTCCTCCCAGCCCCCTGCTGCAGGTTCTGCTTTCGATGCTGAAGACAACGCAGAGATGACACCGCGTGGGAAGGCCGCAGAAGGTGGAACTGGCGGTGATAGGGGGTTATTTCCAGGGAGGGGTGGAAGGTGGCCTTTGGTGAAGCTGGTGATGGAGGGTCTTTGAGAAGCCCCCGGGGGTCGGCGCTGGCTCACCCCGCTGCTCGTCTGTCCTTCCTGACATGCCTCAGTTTGAGAGACCTCCTAATAGCATCAAGTATTTCCTTCTAGTAGCATCGCTTTTATTTTATTCTTTTTAAAGATTTATTTATTTAGGCATAGGAGAACCAGGGCACAGGCCAGAGGTGTGGGGTGGGGGGGGGTGTGTGAGATGATTCACTGGAAACAGAGTGGGGAGCAGAACAGGCGGATCTACTGAAATACACTGCTGAGGGGAGCAGCAGGCAAAATAGGAGAGGTCTGCTGCGCCATGTGGGTAGCTCCCTGGCTGGGATCAAACTCCTGCTGCAGAGACTGCAGACAGCTTCATAGTGCTGTGCTGAACTCCTTGTGCCACCAGGGAGACCCGATTCTGCTCCCTTCTGCCTGTCTTTCCCCAGCGTAGGGGAGGGCACTGGCTATGACCCATGTAACAGGCTGATGGTCCATCTCCTTCCTCCTGCTCCTGATCATGTCTTCATACACTGCCCTCTCTCCCGGACCTCCTCAGGACGGAGACCCACCTCTGACCTGGCATCCTGGTGCCCAAGGCCTCCCTCACTCCAGCCCTTAAGCACATTTTTCACTTTCTCTAAGACCCCTGCTTCCACCCACTCCTGCCTTCGGCCCAGAAACACCCTGGGACTTACATTCAGTCAACTTATGCTCCTTCTCAGCCCCTTCCTGAAATGCCAGCCCTTCCCTTCCCCTTGACAAGCTCTTGCCCTGGTGCTCAGCCCAGCTCACATGCCACCCTCCTCCCTGCTCCCTAAGTGCCCTTTCCCTCAGAGGTGCCTCTAGCCCACCCCCCACCCCACCCCCACCCCCACCCCGGGCCATGACATTGTGGTCCAGCGCATACATTTGGAATCTAGAGCTTGGGGTTCTTGTGTGACTCAGCCTCAGTTTCCATCCCTGTAAAATGGGGATAACAATGATCCTTTCCTCCTGGGGTCCTAGGGTTAAGCCCTGGGCCTCACACCTGGTGCCATGGATGGCATCGTTGCCATTTTATTCCATTTCCCTACAATGAAGTGACTTAGGACTCACATGCCTGTGTCCTCCAAGACTGGGAGGGCCTCACAGCACTACCCAGACCCAGCTGCTTCCCATCTTCAGGCAGTCAGCGCAGGGGCCAGCCTCCAGCAGCTAGTCTGTGTGTGGAATGACCGAAGTGAGCCAGTCAGCGCTGCCCACATCATGGCTGCTTGGGGAAGTAGCTCCAGAATTGCTGAGTTTGGGGCCAAAATTTCCTTTCTGACTCAAGGTCCCAGCCGGGGTGAGAACTCAAGCCACCGTCCTAAGTTAGCTGTGCAGGCAGACCATACTGGCCTGGGGCAGGGGCGGGAGGGGGGTGCTGTTGGATCTCAGGAGAATTACTGGAGACACAAAGGGGAAACAGATGGGGCCTGTTTGTACCTAAAACAGTCCCTGCTTCACCCCGCTCTTGCATGCATAAAGTCACCCAGACCCAGGTTCAAGTCCCAGCTCTGCCATTTATTTGCTACTTGGCCGTGGGCGAGTAGCCAATAAATCTTTTTGATCCTGGATTTCCTCACTCGGAAAATAAGGATTATAGCAGCACCTTTAAGGAACTCATAGGTCTGTGAATAGGACACACTGAAATTTTGTACCTAAAACCCAAAGCCCACCAACTGGTACTTGTAATTGCTGCATACATGGAAACTGGTGGTGTTCTCACTGTCATTCTCATTATCGCAGAGGAACTTGACAGTTTCTTTCCATGACCAGAGTGCTTTTGCAAGCGTGGTGAATGTTCCTACACGCTGGCCTGTCTGTTAGAAGTGTGGCAAGCTCCAAGCCCACAGAGTGACACATACAAGAAGTGCAAGGATTCTCTGTCTGCCCAGGGAAAGTGGGTCAAGGCAGGGAGCAGAGTGGCTACGGTGGGCAGACTAAGCCAATTTTCCAGAAAAAGGTTAAAACTCAGGAAAATGGTGCTGAGGTTTAAAGGTGGTGAGTGTAACTGCAAATCTAAGAGAAGGCTGGCTATTAAGAGATGCAAGCTTGGGCCTCCCTGGTGGTGCAAGGGGTTAAGACGCAACCTATGAAGCTATCTGCAGCCACTGCAGCACGAGTTCCGTCCCCAGCCAAGGAGCTACCCAAAGGCTCAGCAGACCTCTCCTGTCTTCCCTGCTGCTGCCCTCAGCAGTGTATTTCAATCTGCCTGTTCTACTCCCCATTCTGTGTCTGGTGAATCCTCTCACCCCTTCACACCTCTGGCCTGTACCCCAGTTCTTGTATGCAGAAATAAATAAAAATCTTTTTTAAAAAAGATACAAGCTTTCTGAACTGGGAGGAGGTGAGAGGAGAAAGGGCCAAGACATCTACGTCTTAAGTTTTTTTGTTATTATAAAGACAATAAAACCTCGAGATTATGTTTATTAGGTTGCAACTGGCCGTTGGGAGGGAAATAAACTAGTGCTATCAATTAAAAAAAATCTCATAGAGGGTGAAAATGTTGAATCCTTTCCTAGAAGAGAAGGATTTAACACTTGTATCAGTTGTCTATTGCTGCAAAACAACCATCCCCAAACTTAGAGACCTAACCCAACACATTTTCTTATCTGTCAGGCTGTTTGTGGGTCAAGAATTTCAATTAGGAGCTTTGACCTTGTCCCAGAACAGTATTAACATCTAGTTGGTTCTCTCGGGGAACACAGAGGCTGACTGTGGATGTTGGTCACTAACACTGATTGCTGAAGGTGTTTCTAAGTCATATGCTGAGGGAGACATCAGCAAAGAAATGTGAATACTGAGTTGAATTTTAAACTGATGTGAAATCTTGGCAGAGAACATTGTAACAAATGCCCTGAGAGCAAAACAAAAAATAGATTCCAGGAGGCCTCAGCTGGGCGGCTCTGATGCAGGTTGCTTGGTGGTGGCAGTCCACATGGCTGTGCAGGGAGGACCAGGAGCTGCCTGCACATTTCTCTTCCCCCGTGGAACCTCAGGCCCTCCCCATGTGATCCTTCACGTGGTCTCTGGGCTTCTTCAGAGCAAGCCAGCATTGGGCAATGAGAGGGCTCCCCTGGCAGTTAGGATCCAAGTGGGGGTACCTGTGCAGGGGTTCTCCAGAGCCAGCCAAAAGCGTGATTGCCTTTTATGACTTAGCTGTGGAAGTGACACTGCATCATGTAGTGTCACTTCCACCATAGTGACAAGTCCACCCAGATTGAAGGAGCAGAAACAGACTCTCAGTGGAGGCAAGGTTTTGCCATGACTATGTTTAGAGGATACAGTCCGCCACGGGGCCTTCCCCCAGAGGTGCCCAACTTGCATATTTAGGCCATTTGGTAAGCAGCAGAGGGAGCTGCATTTTGGGGGTAGGAGGAGAAAGGACCCTTAAACTCCATTGGATCGATGGATGACTACAGCATCACACATGGGCTGTCTCTGTCCTCAGCATCTTATGAACAAACCCCAAACCAGGGCCTTCCTGGTGGCCTCAGGGTTAAGTCCCAGTGCTATCACCACAACAACAGCCTGAGTTCGATCCCTGGCCAGGGAGCAACCCACATGGCGCAGCAGACCTCTCCTGTCTCCCCGCTGCTCCCCTCAGCAGTGTACTTCAGTGGCTCTGCCTGTTCTGCTCCCCACTCTGTCTCTGGTGAATCCTCTCACTCTCTGCACCTCTGGCCTACACTATCTAGTTCTTCTATGCATAAATAAATAAATCTTGAAAAAATAATAAAAACAAACATCTAAGTAATAAAAAGAAAGAAATAATAGCTAATTGTTCAAGACTGGAGTGGGAGGCTTGGCTCCTTCAGTAAACCTGTGGGGTAAGGGCTTTATTTCACAGAGGAGGGAAACTGAGGGAGATGGAGTGATCATTCCCGAGGTTACTACTGAGAAGTGGCAGAGATGGGGTTTGCAACCAGGCCTGTGTGACCCTAGAGAAGCCCTTCTGCAAGGGGGGCCGGCGTCCTACCTCTCTCGCAGGTCAGGCCAGAACTCCCCCAGCTCCCAGAATTCAGCGCCCCTATTCTGGTCACGGGGGCAGCTCCAGGACCTACGCAAGCACCTGGGGAAAGCGCGAGCAGAAGTGGTCAAGTGAGGGGAACTTCAAAGAGGAAAGAGCAGGAACCAGATCTTTCTGTCTTAATGGCAGAGGCACCACCCAGAGACTGAGAAGGTTTGGGGACCTGCGTCCCCCTGTAGCCTGCGCCAGTTTCCTTTTGCTCATGCCAGTCCTGGGCAAGCAGTCGCACCCACCCACTAACCCCCGGGGATGGGGTGCTCTCACCCCCCACGGCAGCCCAGGAACCAGCAGTCTGCCGCAGGTGCTTTCTTTCTTTTTTTTTTTTTTTTTTCTATTTGATTAAAGTTTATTTTTTTGCTAAAAAATTCAAAAAAATATTTACTGACCTTGTTAGTGTTTTGATAACATAGGATTCCCCCCGCAGGTACAGTCACCATGGTCTTCCGCCACCAAAAGTTGCCTTTATTTCTGCAGGACAGAATCCCCAAAGCAGAAGGTACATGCACGGCCCGTGTATGTCTAATGTCAACAGACTCTAGCAGATCCCGCCCTTAAAAAGCCTTAGCAAGAAACGCTGCCACCAGCAATGCCACATAGCCAATCTCCTGAACCCCTGCCCCTTGCATTTCCTTCTCCTGCTCACATTCTTTGGCTACTTTCCCATGGGGCCTTTGCCATCATCGTCATTGCCAAAACTGTTTGAGCAAATCCGATGAGATCGGCACACTAGGGTGCTTCCCAGTTAGGGTTCCCTGGTTATTGTGGGTGAGAATTAGGTTTTGGGACCAGCTCCAACCAGACTTGGGTTTGACCTTGAGGAAGTCATCTCTCCCCTTGGACTGTGGTTTCCCATTTTTATTTTTATTTTTTAAAGATTTATTTATTTCTGCATGCAAGAGCTGGGGTGCAGGCCAGAGGTGCAGGGGGGTGGGGTGAGAGGATTCACCAGAGGCAGAGTGGGGAGCAGAACAGGCGGACTCGTTGAAATCCACTGATGAGGGGAGCGGTGGGAGAGCCAGCAGAGGTCTGCTGTGCCATGTGGGTAGCTCCCTGACCGGGGATCGAACTCTTGCTGCAGTGGCTGCAGATAGCTTCATAGTGCTGAGACTTAACCCCTTGCACCACCAGGGAGGCTCCCTTTGGTTTCCCATCTTTAGAACCTCCACGCTATTAAGGATTTTGTGGTTCTCTTAGGCTGGGTGTGAAGATTAAATGAAGAGGGCCTCCCCTGGTGGCGCAGCGGTTGAGCACTGGGCTGCGAAGCTGCCCGCAGCCTCTGCAGCATGGGTTCGATCCCCAGCCGCCGGCAAGGGTTCCACATGGAGCGACAGACCTTTCCTGCTACGCCCGCTGCTCCCCTCAGCAGTGTATTTAGTCAATCCGCCTGTTCTGTTCCCCACTCTGGCTCTGATGAATTCTCTCACCCTCCCGCGCTTCTGACTGTACCCAGTGCTTGTATAAATGAATAAATAAATCTTAAAAAAAAAAAAAGATTAAATGAAGAAATGCAGGTCAGGTGCCTGCTCAGCAGGGGGTGTCAGACACCTTTATCTGGGGGGACTGGTCACATAGGAGCCACACCAATGAACATGGGTTGGGCGTGGGTAACAGGACACAAAGGGGGGGTAAATGGGAGGGTAAATAGCTGCATGCCCACCAGTATGGGGCACACCTGGTGCTGACTGGGACTAGCCTGAGCCGAGCCTGGTAGCGCTCTACCTGGGAGCCCTAGTTTTCCAGGCTTGCTGGCTACCTTGGATGGTGGAACCTCAAAAACAAACTCTGACGGGGACCTGGAAAGGGACCAGGGACCAGGGTAGTCAGAATAGGCCAGGATGCAAAGACATGAGGTCTGTCCCTTTATCTGAGGCTCCTGAGTGAGCTGAGGGCTTCAGGGAGGTGGCACCAGGGAACAGGGAGAGGCTCGCCTTTCTTCCTGACTTGCATCATCTGCCCCTGGGCACCATCCTCTGGACAAGCCCACATGGTGCCAGTGGCTGTTATCCCCCTTTTACTGGGGCTCAGAGGGATGAAGTCACTTTCCCAAGATCACAGAGCAGCAAATAATGGAGCTGGAATTGGAACCTGAGGCTGTCTGCTTCTGGCCATTGCCCTGTTCTCTAGCTGATGAGAATGGTAATTGTCCTTGCTGCCGACTGGTCAGTCCACAGAGGCACCTGGATGGATGGCCTTGACAACACAGTGTGCTTGGAAGTGTCAGTGCTGAGTGGGAACTTTATTGAGTGCACTAAGTTTCAGGTACTGGCCAAGCCTCTTATTTAATCTTCCTGGCAGCCCTGCAAGGTCAAGTCTGCAGGTGAGTACACTGAGGCACAGAATGATGGCATCCTTTTGTGCAGGGAGCGCCAGGGAGTAGGGGAGGGAGTGTGGGCACAGCCCTAATCTCTCCCAGGCTGGGTTCTGTATCTTCTTTCTAAGGGAGGCAGAGGGCAAATGGGCTTGTGGTTGGGGATTGCTGCAATGCACCCCCTGGTGGTAGGCACTGAGGGCAGTGCCCACCGTGCTCTTCTCACATTGCCTAATTGTGTGCAAGTTAGCCAGCCTGCTTCAGCCTCAGTTTCCCCACTTGTCAAGTGGGGGTAGATAGTGGGGAATCACTTGGGTTCTGCCATAGAAAGTGCTCACAGGTTAAGTGAGTAACAAATGAGAGGGATGACCAATATTAATGCCAAATGAGTGATTCCTTGGAGATGGAGCGCATCCTCAGGTCCAGCTCATCAAGGGTATGGGGAGTGGGGGAGAGAGCACCCTTGAAGCTTTAGAAAGTAATTCTGGGACCAACCAAGGACCATCCCATTATGCCACATCCTCTGGCTTCCCGGCTCCTCTCCTGCTCTCACTCGACTGCTTCATTGACCTTCTCTAGCTTCTTCCAACAAAGTCAAGCTCTCCTGTCTCAGAGCCTCTCCCAGGAATACTTTTTCCCTAAAGTTTCCTCGTAGTTGCCTCCTTGCCTCCTTCAAGCTCACTCTACTGTTCCCCACACTATTTCTACTTGAAACTGTCATGATCACTTTTTGGTTGTCACTTGTCTGCTCTCTGTCTCCCTCTGCTGGAGGTGGTGGTGAGCTGCAGGAGGGCCTTGGTGCTGACCAACCTTGTCCACTGCCAGGTCCTGAACAGAGAGCCTGGTGTGGGAGCTGCTCCCTCACTGCCAATTCTTCTCAGAGTTATTGCATCCTCATGATTGCATGGTTATGCTCAGCAGGTTTCCAGAAGGCCCCCCTGGGCCGCCTGCCACCTGCCCCTCTCAGGGGACGCAGTGAGATACACAGTGCACCCCTTTTAAAGGATGCAATGCAGCGATTTCACTTATGCAAAGATCACCACAATCTATTTTTAGAATATTTTAATTTACCCTCAATTTAAGAAATCTTGTCCCCATTAGTAATTTTTCCCATTCCACCCTGGTATTTCAATAAAGTTTTATATGAAAAATTATTCCGGCTCTGCCTTATTTTGAGTAAAATCCAGTCGTTACAGTGGCACCCACAGACTCCGTGTCCCCCTCCCCCGAATCCCCTCTCTGCTCACTGTGGTTACTCTAGCCTCACTGGTCCCTTCCTTGTTCCTAGAACTTCAAGCACATTCTAACCCCGGGGCTTGGTGCTTGCTGTTTCTCTCTGGGAAGTCTTCCCGTAAATCTTTACATGACTCATTCTCTCACTTGTTTTGGTCTCTACTCAGAGGTCACCACTCCTGGCCGCCCCGGGTGGTTAGTCTCTGTGAGATTTTCAGTCCATTTTTCTACCTGACTTTCAGATTTTTCCCCTCAAATTTTGAGTTCTTTATTAGTGAGGTCTTTTAGGATGTATGTGGTAAATACATTCTCTCGGCTTGTCAGTTGCCTTTTGACATTGGGTATAGAGTTTCTGGCATCCGCAAGTGGTGCAGTTAAAAGTATGTCTGGGTTTTGAGACATTGTTAGAAAACCTTTTTCTGTACTCAAGTTATGGAAAATCATCCACATTTCTTGTATGTGTAATTTAATTTTTTACATTTCGATCCTCGTCATTGTGGAGTTTATTTTGTGTATCATAAGATCAAAAAAAGAAAGAAGGAATTTTGGGACAATTGAAAAAAATTGGAATAAAGACCCTTATTGGAAAATAGTATTAAATAAATGGTAAATTTCCCGAGTGTTTAAAGGTATGGTGGCTATGTTGGATAATGTATTTTCTCTTGAGATACACCTGCAGCATTTAGAATTGAAACGTCGCCATTATTCAATGAACTCTCAAATGATCAAGCAAAAATATTTTTATATAGTTGTTAAATGTGAAAAAAATTATTAATTGATTAATTATCAATTAGTACTGGGTATTTGCTAGTGATGGGTATTTACTAGTAATGGGTATATTACTAGCAAGTGATATTGGCAGGCAGGTAGATATTTACTCTGCTGTTCTTGCAACTTCTAGAGGTTAGAGATTTTGAAAACGGAGAAGTCCGGGAACAGGGGGGGCCAGACAGGTTTCGCGAAGGTGGACGGGGCCCTTTAAGGCAGGCCACGCCCCTTGCGCGCCGTGGTCCCGCCCACCCCGGAAAGACTCGGCCTAGGCCCCGCCCCTCCCCAGGGGCCCACCAATGCCCTGTCTGCCCCGGGCCCCGCCCCCGCGTCGTAGAGCGGTCACGTGAGCCCCGGCGGCGGCGCCCGGCTCCGCGCCGTCATGGTGGCCCCGATGTGCGGCTCCCGGGGCGCTCGCCGGGCGCGGGCGCGGGCGCTGGCCCTGGTACTGGCCCTACTGGTCGGGCTATTCCTGAGCGACCTGACGGGCGCGATCCCGGCCCCGGGGAGCCGCGGGGGCCACGACGGGCCGGTGCCCCCCGCCTCCCGCTGCCGCTCGGTGCTCCTGGACCCCGGGACCGGCCAGCTGCGCCTGGTGGACGGCCGGCACCCCGAGGCCGTGGCCTGGGCCAACCTCACCAACGCCATCCACGAGACCGGGTAAGGGTTGGCGCGACCTCGCGCGGGGCCCCCGGCACGGGGTTGTCTGTTGCCGGGCCGGCCTCTCGCCGGTGCAGCGCCCGCTCTCCGGGCTGTGTCCCCGGGGACGCCGGCACCGCACCGGGGCCAGGCTGGGTGGGAGCCGGTGCAGCATCCCTCAGGTCTGGGGCACCCGTCCGTCTCCAGCCAGGGCTGGCCTTACTCCCTGCCGCCAGGGCGCAGTGCCTCCAGCGCATCAGGTCCAGGGCCGGCGGTTGATCCAGTAACTCCTACCCCCAGGGAGGCCAGAGCCCCCACCACCCAGCTCACCAGACGGTGGTCATGGCCCTCCTGTAGACTCCCATGGGTGCCAACCCCCTGCCTTCCTCCAGAGCCAGCGCAGCAGGATTGAACCAGGATTCCCGGCCAGTTTGAAAACAGAGGGTCCCTAAGCCCACATAGACTGGGGTGGTCTGGCTGCTTGGGCTCTGCTCCCTTCCCTCTGCTGGCCCGGTCCAGGGGAAGGCCGCTTGGCCAGGGACTTAGTATGGAGCCAGGTGTGCTGTCCTTGGCATTCATGGTCACACGCCTTGTTGCTGCGCCCCAGGCTGTCATTCTGTTGTGTAATTCTCACCCGGTTACTCTGCTGTCTGGGCTCCCTCATCTGTGGTCTGGATTTTGAGGATGTGTGCTGGCCAAGAGGTTGATGGTGTCACTCCTGATACCATGGCCTGTTCATTCATTCACTCATTCGGTGTACTTGGTCTTGGGGACACAGAACTGAGCAAGGTAGGGGTCCCGTTCAGTGGGGGAGACAGACAAGGCCAGAAAGAAAAGCCAAGTCAGTGTGAATGCAGAAAGTATGCTTCTAGGCCTGGTCCTTGCCTAGGCCCTGGATCTAGAATGTGTTGGGGGATCTTAGAGAGCCCTGTGTCTTCCCACCCCATCCTGGGTTCATCCCAGTGCTTAAACTACACTGCTCCCCCACGCCCCACAGCAGCCACAGTCTTCATCCTACTGCTGCCCCCATCCATTTCGCTGGTGAACATTCATTCCTGTAGGTGTTGGGGAGACACAGACCCTGCGGCTACCCCCATTCTGGTACTTTGTGGCATCGGACAGATGGGAGATTTGGGGAGGGAATTAGTGCAGGTACAGGAGCTTGGTGGAGCTAATCTGGGAAGGCTCCCAGAGAGAGGAGGCCACAGGTGGGCCTGGAGTCTATGGGGGCACTAGAGTTTACTCTGTGACTGGAGTCTGGTGGCCCCACTCTCGGCTGACTGTACCCTACTTCACAGAACTAACAGGAAATGCTTAGTCTTTGCCTGGATGCCAGCAAAGGGAGGAGACCGCGAGGTGGGGGCCTGCATGGAGAGGAACTTTGGCCCAGGAGGTGGCCTCTGGGCAGTGTTCTCAGTCATGGACAACAGGAGTGGAGAGCAGGCTTCCTTGGCTGAGCTGGATGGGTAGTTCTTCCTGGCCCAGCGCCACTGCTGTGTGACCTCGGGCAAATCACTTCAATTTCTGAGCCTGTTTCTTCACCTGAAGGTGGGGCTTGAAGGGAAGTTCATGGCATCGTGGAAAGCACCCTGTCTGTTTACCAAAGGAAGGAAGGAATGAAAGAGGTGTAGGTGTAGGGGAAACTGAGGCCTGGGGCGTGATCCCAGGTCTCCTCCATACTTCTTGCTCTCATCATCCTGGCATCTTTCTGGTCCTCGTTCTCTCCTCTTGTACTCATGTGCCCCTTTCCCTGAGTTTGACAGCACTTGGGGCTGATAGAGTATCAGAATTTCCCATTTTATAAGCAGGGAAATTGAAATCCTCAAAGGCAGACTCTTGAGAACTTGGGGTGAGATGAAAGAAAGACATCTAAGGAGTCCTCCTGGCCCTGGGCCGTGGGTGGTTGCCCCAGTTTTGAAAGGGTAGAGGTCAGAGTTGTGACTCCGCCATGCACCTGGGCCTGGGCCACCTCCTCCTTCTGTTTCCCAGATTTCACCACTGGGAATTTGGAGACAACTTCCACACCCTCATATCTCTCATTCAGTTGCGCTGTATCTGACTTTGGACCCTAATCCCCATGGAGCCTGAAACCAGAGACATTAGGATTTGGTGCCTGGAGATGAGAGAGACCCCCAGAGGCAGGGTCAGCGCCCGCCTGGCTCTGCCTTGGTCCTGGGGAGGTGGAGGCATCCAGCCTGGCCTTTCCCTCTCCTTACCTTAACTAACTACCCACCACCCCCAACCAGCCCTTTGATGTAAATTACTTCCTCTCCCTGTGAGAGGTAAACGCCAGTAAGAGCAAATCAACTTACTCATAAGCCAGAAACAACCCAACAAACCCAAACCCAACGCATTAAATTGGGTGAGACCTAGTTGTTAGAATGAGGAAGGAGCTGGCCACAGAGAAGGGGGGCATCCCAGAGCGGGGGGCATCCCAGAACGGAGGGCATCCAGGGCACACCAAAGCGGGTGGTGGCCCCCTGCCAGTCTCACGTGAATGGCCTTTCCCAAGTGCTGAGACTGGACTAGACCTGGGGTGGACTCAGACACGAGCCCCCCGACATAAGGTCACAGTGGCACCTGTGGGTTTTGCAGGAAAATAAAGAAGTTTGGGATCCATTGCTGCCAACTTTTATTTTTGTCAAACAAGTGCATTAAAAACAAAACAATATTTATCAACCTCCATCCTTCTGGTCTCATCAGGGATCAGCTGTTTTAGTGTCAAACAGGCAGAACCACAGCCAGGCCTGTCACGAGCAGCCCTTAGAGCATGTAGCTGGAGAAACACTCTCTTGTTGGTGATTTTCTTCTGGCCAGGGAAGGGGCAAGAGTCTCTCTCTTGGTCTGCACAGCATCCGGGGGTTCTTGGGGCCACTTGCCAGTGAGCCGTCCCATTTTACAGATGAGCAGGCTGAGGCTGGGGCCAAGGAAGTGCGAGGGAGGCCAGTGCCAGGTTTCCTGTCCAAAGGACAGATCCTCCTCTAACGTTTGCTAACTACAGGTGGCTGTGGGCGTTGAGGATGGGGACCAGCTGGCAAAGCTCGGAGAAATTATTTGGTGACCACTTAGGGCCTCAGGTAACAGGGGGATCCTCAGAGATCTGCCTTGGGGTCTCCAGCACTGAAGTCTGGTCAAGAATGGGTTCTGGATTTCTCCTCCCTGGGATTTCTGAGGACTCAGGATAAATGAATAAAACCCACCTAAGCCACATCACCCCAGTTGCCCTTCGGGGTGCAGGGGAGCTCTCTTGAACAAAGACAGTGACTATTTCCTCTGTATTTGCAGTGCTGCAGCCTGGGGGGAGGGCACCGTCACTTCCCCTATTAGTTAGAAAAGTAACTAACTTTTCATGGTGAAAATTCCAGCAGCTTAGAAAGTGAGATGGGATGTGGAAGGTACCCCCCCCTTCTTTCTTTCCATATATAACCATCTGTTACTTTTTCTTCCAGAAGGTTCTATGCATGAATAGACAAACCATACATCCATACATATGTACACGTATTGGGGTGTGTATGTCATGCTCTTATATATGGGGTTATCCTGTTCCCCTTTTTTTTTAAGCTTTGTTTCTGCTGCTTCATCAGCACAAGGCCTTGCACCACAGCGTTCTAGAAACCCCACATGCCTGGGCTATTTGAGCATCACACCCCTGGTGATGGATGTTTCGGGAGGGTCTGGTTTTCCTTGGCTTTGGTGAGAAAGGTGGCTGTGTTCAAGGACCCCCTGAGGCTGTGTGAGCCCCCTAACTGCTGTGTGTCCCCAGGGTCTCAGCTCTCCCCCAGGGAGGGCAGCACTTTGCCTGGTGCCTCCTGAGGAAGCCACTGGCCTCTCAGCTGTGATCAGGGCTTGATCTGAAGAGCTTTTTTTGGTTTTATGCGGTTATGCGGGTCTCCCTGGACCCCTGCGACTGTTTATACTGAGGGAATGTGCATCCTGCGCCTTGCTGGAAACTTCCTCCTGCCCCCACCCTCTCCCCAGACTCCCTCCCCAGACTCCCAATCAGGCAAATATTTGGAGGTGGGCTCTGTGTATATCTCACGGAAGAGGAGCCTTTGGCCCAGAGAGGCGAGGCCGTTTGCCCTGAGGTAGCGCTGAGCAGAGAAAGATGGGGGAGCCAAGCAAAGCCTGAAGGAGTGCAAGCCCGGACACCCTTTGTCCTGTTCTCTTGACATTTAAGATCTTACTGTGGTCTCTGTGCTTTCTGTCCTCATCTGATTATACCTGAGTCACTGGTCTTAAATTCTTGGCTCTCGTCTTCCTTTATAAGACCTAACACTACCCCACCACCACCCGCCAAGAAAACACCACAAAACCTAGTTGAATTAGAGGCCCAGAGCACAGGCTGTGGAATCTTTGGAATCTTAGTTCCAGCTCTGCCCTGGACTTGCTGTGTGTGACCTCGGGTAAGTGGCCTGACCTCCGCGAGCCTCTCTTCCCACATCTGTAAAGTGGGGGAGAATAAAAACCTTGGGGTCTTTGGGAGGCTTTAGAGAGGGAGGTAAACAAGTGACACTTAGCACAGTGCCTGGGGGCTGTTTTTACCCGCCAGAGCACGCCTGCCTCTCGCAGCCCATAGCTCCATCTTCATGGCCCCAAGGTTCTTTGCTTCAGAACACAGAGAATTCGGGTTTCCCTCTTTTATGTTCCCTGTTCTCCCCTCCAAACAAGCTCCTACTTAAACTTCAAGATCAGAGAAGCTGTCACCACCTCTGTGAAGCCTTCCTAGATTTTGCTCAGTGGCAGCAGGAGTATACCTCCTCAGGGCATCCCCTTGGCATTTGATTTCTTATCATAACGCTTATCCTGATGTATCCTCATCGGTTTACATGTCCCCCCAACTCCCATTAATTCCATGAATATCACTTATCCTTGTATACCCTCAGTGTCTGGCACCCAGAGGCGCTCGGAGAGGCTTGCTTGCCAAAAGCATTGGGTGTGGGTGTTTTGAGTATTTTCCTCTCCACAGTCTCCTCCCAGGCAGAGCTGAGCTATTCCTGTCCTGGAGCTGCTGGGTAACTTTTTCACCAACTTCCCGAGAGACTTTCGGGCTGGGCATGGCTCTCCCTCGACCTCAAGCCTCTTCAAGGTCTCATTACTGTCTTCCTGTTGCCCTCGTTTTCTTTATAGAAATTCCCTTAAAAAATGCTTTCCTCTGGGTTACAGAAGTTGCCTGGGGAATATTTTTATATCCTTTTAAATCCAGACCACAATGGGAAAGATTGAGAGCTTGCGCAAAAACCGCGACTTCGATAGACAAAACCCAAAGAAAAATCAATCAGAAACTAGCGATGTTTCCAATATTGGCAACAAGCAAAGGCTAATATGTGGACACAGAGTTTCACCAGCCTATAAGAAAAGATAAAAAGAAAACCCGGGAGAGGACGATGAGTAAAGGCCATGGAGCAAAGAACTATAAGTGGTCGATGAAAATTAGAAAATCTAGCTTCAATCGAGCACGACAATGAAAACAGCACGGTGGCATCTCTCGGTCGTCACCTTAGCGGAGATGAAGTCGATAGGAGTCGCGTTAAGCGAGGCGGTGGGCAGACAGGGCTTTGTGCATTGTGGAAAGTCAGTGCATGCCCCGGGCAGTCTCGGTCTGGCAGAAATACCGAGTCTGGGGTGTTGCCAAAAGAATCGGCAGATCCCTGCCTCCTAGCAAGCTGTTCGAGTGACCCAGATGCATGTGGGGGTACGAGGGGTGCTGCTCTAGAGGAAGAGTGGGCATCAGACTGCCTAGAATCAAACCCAGGTGCTGCCCTCTTCTGGCTCTGTGAGCTTGGCAAGCGAGTCAGCTCGTGCCCAGGGCTGCGCTGTGTAACAAACCAGCCCCAGGTCCAGCGGCTTAAAACGACAACCAAACGGCCTTGTGGTTTGTGGATCTGGGGGGTCTGGGGGTGGCTGGGGCAGCTCTGCTCCAGGCTGCAGGTCTCTCCTGCTCCTGGGACCCACGTTCTCGTGACAACAGCAGGGGCTCATCTTGTGAGTGACTCACAGTCACTTCCACCCACGCCCCAGCAAGTCCTATGACCTGGCTCAAGTCAAGGGGGCAGGGAACGACACTTGAACCGCTGGGATGGAGGCTCTGAGCTTCCATTTCCTCTTCTTCTGTGTGTAGGAGAAGTTAGGGGCCTGCCTTGTAGGATTGTGGGGTTGGCATGAGGGTGAGATGAGTTTGTGAGTAGGTGGGAAGTGGCTGGAACAGGGCCTGGCCCAGAGGATACCCTCACCGGACATTAGCTGGCATTGTTGGGGGACGGGAATACAGGGTAGAACAACTTTGGGGGAGGATGTTTGTCAGTACCTGTTAGAATTAGAAGCCGTGTGCCCTGTGACCTGGCTGAGCCTGACGGAGTGCAGAGACAGACAGCGCACATTCCATGAACACACAGCAGGTCCTTGCTGAGTTGTTTTTATGCTTGAGACCTGGAGAAAGCCATGCGCTGAGCCGAGCCCTGGCTTCAACTGCTAGTCCCTGTACTGACTGAACACCCTGTCCCTCCGTTCTAGGTGGGCCTTTCTGGAACTGCACACCGATGGCCGCTACAATGACAGCCTGCAAGCCTATGCTGCAGGTGTGGTGGAGGCTGCCGTGACCGAGGAGGTAAGGCCAGCAGGAGGGAAACAGGCTTCCTGGGCCCCCACCCCACGGACTTGCTCCTCAGGGAGCTTGGGAGGGTCCTGAGATAGGTGCAGAGTGGGGTTCCTGTTCCCAGCCCCCATCTGGTTGGGGAGCAGAAACTCACATGCATTTTTTAAAAGTTTACGCTCGGGAGGCCTCCCTGATGGCCTAGGGGTTGAGTCTCAGTGCTTTCACCGCTAAGGCCTGAGTTCGATCCCCAGCCAGGGAGTGACCCACATGGCGCAGCAGACCTCTCCTGTCTCCCTGCTGCTCCCCTCAGCAGTGTATTTCAGTAGATCCCCCGGTTCTGCTCCCCACTCTGTCTCTGGTGAATCCTTTCACCCCCCGCACCTCTGGCCTACACCCCAGTTCTTCTATGCAAAAAAAAAAATTTGCACTAGGTACTATTTGATGCATTTTAAAAATGTGTGACGTATTCCTAGTGACGAAGCACAGTGATGAAATGAACACCCAAACCACAGCCTACAGTGTTTCCGATACACTGAATCCCCCACCTCCAGGGGCACCCACCACCCTAAATATGGTGCTTTCTTTCATTCACTCACTCAGTGAATTTTTAATAGACTCACCTGCCATACAATTCACCATTTTAAAATGTACAGCTCAGTGGTTTTTTAGGATACTCATAAGGTGCTGCAACCATCACCCCCCCATCTAATTCTAAAACATTCTTAGCGCCCCAGACAGAAACCTGCCAGCAGTCACCTCCTTTGTCTCCTCCCCTCCCCTCCCCCCAGCCCCTGGTAACCATTAATGTACTTTCTGTCTCTATGTGTTTGCTTATTTCTGACACTTCTGTAAATGGAGACCCACCATGGTGGCCTTTGGTGACGGCTGTGGGTGGCCATGGCTCGTGCACAAGACCCACCCATAACTTCTCTCCTGCGAGGATGTCAGCGGGTGGCTTTGGGGTTCTGGGCCAGGCCTGGGTGTACTTGGCTGGGCCCACTGGCGCTTTTGCAGTCAGCTGGCCGGTCGGCTGGGCCAGGCTGGCCTCGGAGGGTCTCATTCATATGTCCAGTGTCAGCTGTCCATTAGCTGGGGTGACAGGGACGCCTGGGCTGAGGCTCATGGTCTCTCAGCCGGCTTGTAGTAGGCCCTCAGGGCAGCGGGGGTGCAGAGGCCTCTCGAGGGCTGCTTGAACTGGCACAGCAAGGACACTGGGACATAGTAGGTGCTCAAATAAGTATTAGTTTGACTGACTGATTGACTGGCTACTCACATAGATGGGGGCCCCCAGTGCAGAGCCAGGGGTACCCTGGGACAGACTTGGAAGGCTAAAGGTTCTCAGAGGAGGGGTGGAAGCTGGCTGGGAAGGACACTGGGGAGGGGAGCCAGCGGGAGCAAGGTGCTGTTTGGAGACCTGGAAGGGGGTGAGGACTCTGAGCCTGGGGTGGGCCTAGAGACCCCTGGGTCCTCAGGGAGGCAGGAGGCCTGGCCCACCCCACCCCTACCTTCGCCCACCTTGCTGCCCTGCAGCTCATCTACATGCACTGGATGAACACGGTGGTGAATTACTGCGGCCCATTCGAGTACGAAGTCGGCTACTGTGAGAAGCTCAAGAGCTTCCTGGAGACCAACCTGGAGTGGATGCAGGCGGAGATGGAGTCGAAGAAGAACTCCGCTTACTGGCACCAGGTGGGCGCGGCCGCCACGCGCAGTGGGAGTGGGGGCAGGGCTGCCGGGGCACCTGCCTCTGTGCCGGGGCTCTCCCAGCTGGCCCTCCCGCCTGGCCCCCGCTCCTCTCAGCCAGCCCTCTGTGTCCAGCGTCTGTCTGTCATGGTGTCCATCCCTCGCGCACCTGCCACTCACTGTCTGTCCAGCTTCCGCCTGTCCTTCCGGCCTTCCGCCCCAGCCTCTGTCCATCAGCCGCTCTGCCTTCCTGCTGCCGAAGAATCACTGAGGACGTGTAGTTAATTGTCAGCTCGCTGTTGTACTTGCACACAGGCATGTGGCCTGATTGTTTCCATCAGATGCAGTGAAAACAGTGCTCGGAAAGAGAGGGAGGGAAACGGGAGAATTAAAACACTCCGGGAAGGTTGGGCGCAGTGAGTGTTGTGTTTTCCTTCCTCGGGTGAGCTGCTGGGGGCTCCCCACTGAGAGAGTTCCCGGCAGGGTGCTCTCTGCCTTTTGGTTGCTCTTTAGTCATCAGTGAAGTTACCGATTTCTGAATTTCCCGAAATAGCTCGAGTTTACTGTGAAGTACATGCCATAGACCACCTCTGGAAATTGGCTTTTAGTGTCTGTTAGCATGTTCACCCAGCCTAGGCCAAGTTTACCCCACTTCCCGCAGTAGAATTTCCCACTGTCCACGCACCCATCTACTCACACCCTCACGGGAGTAGGTTCTTCCTCCCACCCACCTGCTCGCCCAGCCATTCACCCATCTTACCCTCCACTCATGCATCCGTACATCCATTCATCCATCATCTGCCCGCCTACCCATCCATCCATCCATCAACCATCATCTACTCTTCTGCCCATCCATCCATCCATCCATCATCCATCCATCCATCCATCCATCCATCCATCCACCCACATATACATCCCTCCATCCCTCCATCTATATGGATCCATCTGTCTGTCCATCCGTCTGTCTAGTTTGTCAGCCTGTTCATCCACCCACCCACAAATCTTTGACTCTTTCTTCTCGTTCACCCATCTGTCACTCACCTGTACATCTTAGCCTGGTTGTCAGTCCTTCCACCCACCCATCCTGTTGGTATGCCCATTTGGGTGCCTGTCCATTGCTTGCCTATCTGTCTACCCTCTGTTCTTCCTCCTGTCCCCAGTCCAACCGTTTATCTCTCTGGCCATCCTGTTTGCTACATTTCCTGCCTTCCTCCTGCTGTCCACGCACCTCTCAGCCTGTTCCTCTGTTGATTGAGCACATCTGCTGTCTCCTTAGAGACTTGGATCTCCCAGTTCTCTTGGGACGAGGTCCCTGTTCTTGAATGTGCCCTGCACATGCTCCCTCCCCAGCATCATTTGCTGCTGGCCTCTTGTGCTATGCTCCAACTTCCCTGGCCTCCTAGTACGAGATGTGTCACGTCTTATCTCAGGGTTATGACCGTGCTGTTCCCTTGGCCTGGAACACCGTTCCTATTCCCCTTGTGCCCGCTGACCCACCACCCCTTACCTCAGCGTCCTGAATTTCTTTGCCGCTTAGTGAGGCATTCAATCTGTCTTCAGCTAGATTCCAGCCCAGGAGGATAAGGCAAAGACCACATCTGCTGTGGTTCCTGCCATATCTTTAGTGCCTAGCACTGGGCTGTACCGAGTAGGTGCTTTATAAGTAAAGGTGTCCAGTTTTTGTAAATGAATGAATGAAAGAATCTATCTTCCTGCCCATCCCACTGACTAGACACTTGTTCGTCCCTCCAGTCTCCATCCCATCTACATAATTGCTTCTCCCACTGTCCTTCTGCCTGTCCATCCATCCATCTATCCATTCATCCATCTTGTGTAGTGTGGCAGGCTTGGGCCACAGCTCCGTGGGGAACATGGGGATGATATTTCCAGGTTACAGAACAATCACAGTGATAATGGGGAGAAGTCAACTGTAGGAGACAGGTGCCCTGAAACAGGAAGCTGTCAGCAGTGGGTCAGGAAAGGATGGGAGGCTTCCTGGAGAAGGTGGCTTTGAGCTGGGTCATCAGAGGTCAGCAGAGGTGGGGACACTCATCTAAAGGCAGGGAGGTGTTTGGCATGGAGGGGTGGGAACTGAATAAGGGGGTGGTCAGGGCTGGCTGGAGCCTGGAGGGTGGACACGGGCCTCTCCCGCTCTGTCTGGACCCCAGGCTGGAGCTCCTTCCATTGCAGGAGCAGGTGTGAGCCTGGAGAGAGGCCTCACCCTCCCTCTGCCCCCGCCCTCTGTCCCCTCCCCTAGGTGCGGCTGACCCTCCTGCAGCTGAAAGGCCTAGAGGACAGCTATGAAGGCAGTGTGGCCTTTCCAACTGGGCAGTTCACCATCAAACCCTTGGGGTTCCTGTAAGTGCCACGCCAGTGTGGACAGGGCAGGGGAAGGGCCATGCGCCTCCTAGGCAGACATAACTGGGCCCAGCACTGGTTCTGCCCCTTCCTGGCCATGTGGCCTAGACTGGTCAGCGAGCTCCCAGGGCCTGTGCTCCCTCTTCTGGGGAGTGGGCATGGCATGGCACCCACGGCCTCAGTGGTAACCCCCCGCCCCGGCCCCCTCAGCCTGTTACAGATCTCTGGGGACCTGGAAGACTTAGAGCCAGCCCTGAATAAGACCAGGACCAAGCACGTCCTGGGCTCGGGCTCCTGCTCTGCCCTCATCAAGCTGCTGCCAGGCCAAAGCGACCTCCTTGTGGCCCATAACACCTGGAACTCCTACCAGCACATGCTGCGCATCATCAAAAAGTACCAGTTCTACTTCCGGGAAGGCCCCCAAGGTGGGTGGGTGTGTGTGTCTGTGTGTGAGTGTGAGGGGCACACGGGGCCTTGGCCTCATAAATACTGGGGTCACTGTAGAGCCATTCCAAGAGTCTCTCTGATTTTCCTGTTTCACAAGGGGTATCAGTAAGCTGTGGCTGCATAACAAATCACCCCACATTTAAGACAACAAGATCGTTAAATACAACTTTTTTTTTGCTTACATGGCTGCTCAGCTGGGCTCACTGTGCTTCTGAGCGGGCTGACCTTGCATGGCCTCACTTGCCCATCTTTGTTGTCAGCTGGGGTGAGGAGGCAGCTGTGCTTATAAGGCCTTTCATCCTCTTGTAGGCTAGCATGGGCCTGCACATGTATCTCTGGGCAGGGAAGTGTGGAAGGCCTCTTGAGGGCTGGTTGAAACTGGCACACTTCTCTGTTGCCCAGAGCAAGTCATGTGACCAGCTCAGATTCCAGAGGTAGGGAAATAGGCCCCCTAGAAGGAGCTGCAGAGTCAGTTGCATGTGATATGGGCTTGGGAGAATTGCAGCCATGTTTGCAAATAGTCAGCCATGCAGGGAATGCATACATTCATTCTTGTCAAATGTGAACATCTGGCAGTGAGGCCCACCCCGCCACCTGTGTCCCCAGTGTCAGCCCCAGAGGTAGCTACTGCCAGATGTTTGCCTTGGCTCCTTGGCCAAACTCAAAAACCTGGTGTCCCTAGGAGGTGGCGAGAGGGGGAGGAAATGCACACCCTCACTCGTTGCTAGTGCGGGTAGGAATTGGCGTGGCCACTGGGGAGAGAACCCAGCGGCATCTAATGAAATTCCAAAGCTGTCACTCCCTTGATCCAGTGATTCTCTGATGCAGGATTGTCCTTAGAGAAACATCTCCATGTCTGCACCATGTCAACTGCCCGAGTGGTTTGGAAACAACTAGCGCTCGTTGACTGAGATGTGAATAAACTTCTAAGTTGACATCTCTACAGAAAAGTGTGCGCTCGTAAGGGGTTTTTGCACATCGGACACGCCTGTGTGCAAGTTTCCAATTGGAGGGCGGGATGTGGCCAACCCCTAGACCCCCAGGCTGGAGCTCCTCCCATTGCAGGAGCAGGTGAGCCTGGAGAGAGGCCTCACCTTTCAGAAGCTTCCACCAGAATCTTCTCCCCTGTCCCTTCTCTGGTGCCACCCCCACCCTGGAAGAGTCTCTATCCTGACTTGGAACAGTGAGATGAGCTCTGCCTGACTTTGAACGTTAGGTGATTGGAAACCCAAAGCAAGGCTTCAGATGTTACCTCCACTCTGCGTACTGTTGCGAGATCCAGCCATGCTGTCGTGTGACCACAACCTCATGCTCACTGCGGTGTACCCATTAACATTTTCACATCTTAAAAAAAGACCCCGGCATGAGTGACATGTCGTGTACCATAGAAAATTGGAAAATATGGTTGAAAACCTTTTTTTTTCTAGCCTTTAAAAAAATGTGCCTCCATTTTGCCATTGGTTTTAATTTCTGCTGCTTCTTGTTGCCACAAATTTCAGCAATACTTTTAGAGGAAGAAATACGTCTGCCAGATACCCTCCCTGCAAATTCCAGATCCTTCCATAGAGGAAAGTGCTGTTGCCACTTTGGTTTATATCCATCTGGATCTGGGGGGAGGTGTTTATATGTGTATATATGTGGTCTTGCTTAAAACCCATAGGCTTTATAAGAAAAGTTTTAGATTTGCAGGTAAATGGAGTAAACAGTGCAGAGTTTGGCCCAGGAGCCAAGGCAAACATCTGGCAGCAGCTACTTCTGGGGCTGACACTGGGGCACAGGTGGTGGGGTGGGCCTCGCTGCCAGGTGTTCACTGATGGACCAGCTTTGGCATATTATTAGCAACTGAAGGTGCTGGTTTGAGTTTGAGTTTGTTCTGTGTGGCAGAATTCAGTTGATTTTGACACAGTATCATACAGATTAGCCTCACTGCCCTACAAAGTCTGCTCTCTGGGTTTTTAAAAAAACATAAATAAGATGATTCCCTGCAAATTGTTTCCAGTTTGCACCTTTTGCCCCACTGTTGGCCTTGGGAGAGTTTTCAACATTGCCATAACGGATCCACTTTTTAACAGCTGTGTGTTAAACCTCAGTCCCCAGTTGAAGATTTGGGACACATCCAGGTCTTTGCTGTTTGAAGCAGCAAAGCAAGTGGGCCCAGAGAGGCTTCCTAGTGCAGATGCTAGGTTAAAGGATGGGCATAATTAAATTTTCAGTCTCTAGATAGATACAGCTAAATTGCCTCCAAATTGGGCCGATTTATGCCTCCACCATCAGCCTATGAAGGTGGTGACTCCCCCTCCCCCAACTTTGCCAGCACTGGGTATTATGGTTCATTTCAATTTTCCCATCCTGGTGGGATGGGATAACATACCAAACTAAGTTCATTTTTGTGCCTGGAACTCCCTGTACCTGAAGTACATCCCTGAGAAGCACTGGGCTGGTTATATGACTTTGTAGGCCTACTGTGCATCCACTGTTGTGCTAGAAGCTATTTCTGTGATCTGGTAGCTAAAACCCTCACCACTGGCCAGCAGATACGTGGCTGAGCTGGGATTCTGCCCAGGTTTCCTCCTCCCTTCGTATGGAATATTATGCAGCCATAATGAAGGAAGTCCTGGCATGCATGGACATTGAGGACATTATGCTAAGTGAAATAAGCCAGATGCGGAAAGACAGATAACACCTGATCCCATTTGTATGCGGAACCTAAAAGCAACAAACTCAGAAACTGAGTAGATCATGGATGGAAGGGCCATGTGGGGACTGGGAGAGGTTGGTGAAAGGGAACAAAGTTTCAACTAGAAGATGATTAGGTTCTGGGGTGAGATAGTTAGTAATACTGCACTGTGGACCTGAAATGAGTTGGGGAAGCAGGACTTAGTGTTCTCACCAACATGGTGCCGTGAGGGGCTGGCGTGTCGGCCAGCCTGGCTGTGGTCCGTTCTGTCATCCCAGAGCTCACCTTAAATCTGGACAGTTTAGTCAACTAGATCGCAATAAAAGGGAGAGGAGAAGCAACCCCAACGTAGGGCCTGTGCTTTTAGGGCCCTAGCTGTCACCTTCGGAATGATGTTTTTTACAACTCTTTGCAATCAAAAAAGGGGGAACTGCATTGCTCCGAGCTCATACACGCACACACACACACACACAGACACACACGTGTGCGTGTGTATCAAATGGCCTACTTTGCAAATGTCAGAAGGGACAGAGTGGGGCTCCCTATGAGCCCTGCTGCTCTGCACCCGGGTTGGGGTGCAGGGCTCCTGTGGAGTTGTGGAACCAGCACCCTCACCCCCGCTCCTCTCCCTGACAGAGCCCTCTCCGCTGGTGCCCGGCAATGAGCTTGTCTTCTCGTCCTACCCCGGTACCATCTTCTCCTGTGACGACTTCTACATCCTTGGCAGCAGGCTGGTGAGTCGTGTTGTCCTGTCCCCGTCTCTTGTCCCCGTCCCCAGGGCCGCTTCCCACCCAGCAGCTCAGGGCCAGCAGGATGTACCCCCTTGACCAGAACACAAGAATGGGGTACCCTTCCAACGCTGTGGTCCCTCTGACCGCTTGTTAATGTGGGTTCCCAGCCCCGTGTGGGGCCCCCGCGTCCTGCGGCTGGCATGGGACTCTGCATTGTAACGCAGCTGCTCAGAAATCACCGGTCTTGGGGCCCTTGTGAAATCCCCTTGACCTCAGCGACCCCATCTGGTTTTTATGTATTGAGGATAAGCTGCCTCCCTCTCCCCCCACCTGGCCCTGCTCTTTCTCACACTGCCTTCCCTCTCCCTGTCCACACACCCTCTAACCTGGCCAGGTTTTCAGAATAAATGTTGTTTACAATGTGTTGTTTTTACCGGCTTTCCTGGCTGGGGCCCAAACTCGTTTAGAAATCTGTCCCTGGCACCCCTCACCAAGGCAGCCAGCCTGCGATCGCCAGGGCAACACGGTGGAGGAGAAAAAACATCACTTAAAAAAAGCCTCTCAGATGCAGAAGATGCCAGTTCCCTGGGGGAGGGGAGGGGGGACGGAGTTTCTTTCTTTCTTAGGACTTACCCCCCTCTAGATGTGGAAAGAGGCTTGAGAGGGTCAGGTGGAACATGAGGGGTCCCCCTCGCTGCAGTCAGGGTGAAGCCGGGGGAAGGACAAGCTGAAATGGTTTAATCCACTTACCTGCAAAGTCTCCAGGCGGGTCATGATCCCCTCATCTGGGTCTTTAATGTTTTTGTGCCACACACGCCATCCCCCTGGCAGTCTGGGGTGCTGTGAACCCCTTCTCAATAATGTCTTTTAAATGCATAAACCAAAGCACGCAGATTATAAAGGAAACCAATTCTGCTGAAACGTGTTCATCGAAATAGAAATCAACACATCGAGGAGGAAAATCTGGCAGCAGGTGTGCTAACCGCCCTCATTTAGAGTAACGGGGAGCACAAAGGATTATCTAGGGGACCTGCAATCCTGAGCTATGGAGGGGAAGGCCCCTGTTCCGTTGGTGACAGTCGGTGCTGGCACTGGGCTGTCTCCCTGTCGGCAGTGGGAGGAAATGCTCAATTTCAACTTGACGTTAGTGAAAATGGAGAGGTGTTTTCCCAGCCACGTCTGCCAGCTCCCTGGACACAGCCTAAGAACCCCCCTCACCCCCCAGAGAGGAGCTGCCACCAGGCTGCCAGTGTGAGGCCCGGCCGTGGCCTTGGATGCTAAGAGCAGCTGTGAGGGCCAGGGAGAGAGGGCCGAGGGGATGCCGCTGAGAGGCTGCTTTGCAGCTTCTTCTCAACCATCACACATGGCTCCTGCTGTCTTTTAGCCTTTTTCCGGCCTTGAATACTGAGGAAAGGAGCCTGCTAACTCTCTGGTGGAGGGGACCAGCCCTGATTTAAGATCTGGAAGCGCAGGGGTCGAATCCTGGGGTCCACCCACTTACTGTGATGTTGGCAAGTTTCCTAGCGTCCTCTAGCCTCGGTTTACCTTTCAGCGAGAAGGCGACAGGGTTGCGTTTCTCCCAGGCGGGCTGCAATTCGTTGAGGTGGTGGTTGGCCAGGCTGATAGCTGCAGGCCACCCAGCTTTCCCTGTGAAACTGCAGGGAAGTGTAGACATGTGTGTTTTCTTTCTCTGTTTTAGTTTATTTTTTGAAGATTTATTTATTTATTTATGCATACACGAACTGGGATAGAGGCCAGAGGTATAGGGGCCGGGGGGTGAGAGGATTCACCAGAGACAGAGTGGGGAACAGAACAGGCAGATTGACTGAAATACACTGCTGAAGGGAGCAGTGGGCGAGACAGGAGAGGTCTCTCCACCATGTGGGTAGCTCCCTGACCGGGGATCAAACTCATGCCGTAGTGGCTGGCAATAGCTTGACAGCACTGAGATTTAATCCCTGCGCCACCAGGGAGGCCCTCTTTCTCTGAGGAAAGAGCTCACCAATGTGAGGGGTCCAAAGGGGCAGCACCTGGGTGCTCTTGGTGGGGGGGGGGGCAAAGTTAGAGACATGATTGTGAGCTCCCCTCAGTTCTGATCCATGAACCAGAGGGGAACATGCACCTGAACTGGTATGTGAGGTTGTGAACAACTGTTAGCCATTTGACCTCTGAACCAGGACTGATGCAGTACTGCCACTGGGTGACGGCGTGCCCAGCTGTAAGTCAGGTGGCCCTTCAGCTCAGCGACCCCTTGGCTCTCCCGCAGGTAACACTGGAGACCACCATTGGCAACAGGAACTCGGCCCTCTGGAAGTACGTGCAGCCCAGAGACTGTGTGCTGGAGTGGGTGCGCAACCTCGTGGCCAACCGCCTGGCCTCGGACGGGGCCTCCTGGGCAGACATCTTCAAGAACTATAACAGTGGCACGTGAGTGGGCTCCTGGCACTGTGGCTTCCTTGCCCAAGAACTGGACCAAACCCCGTCCAACACCCAGACCCCAGGGAACCTGACTGGTCCAGAGGCCACTCCCCCCACAGCCTCTGCAGATCCCCCTCATGGGTCCTCATGAGTTGGAAGGAGTCCTCCAGTCCCCTTGTTTTACACAAGGGGAAACGGAGACTAAGGGACAAAGGGATATGCCTTCCCGCCCCCACCCCCTCCTCCTCTCAGGGAAATGCCCCCAGGGGAAAGACAGAGAACTTCAAACTGGAGCGCCCTGGGGAGCACTGATCAGGAGGTGGACATGGCAGGGATCTGGATATTGTATCTTGGAATGTCAGGCAGAAGAAATGACTTTTATTTCTAGGGAGCCATAGACTACTCAGGAGCAAAGAGCATGAAGGGAAAAGGGTTTGCGAATGTGAGGTCAAGCTGCAGTGTCAGAATGATAGTCGGGTGGCTGACACCCATAGGTCACCCCTGCGCCAGGATTCCTGGCCATGTGGGGCTTGCGTGGTGGCGTGGTCAGTCCCCCCATTTGGCCCGGCAGGTACAACAACCAGTGGATGATCGTGGACTACAAGGCATTCGTGCCCGGCGGGCCCAGTCCTGGGAGCAGGGTGCTGACCATCTTGGAGCAGCTCCCGTGAGTACCCGGGAGAGGGGCTGGTGCACCAGGCAGAGGAACCACCTAGGCAGAGGCCAGGAGGCTGCTGAAACGGGAGGGGAGGGAGGGGAAAGCTAAGGCAGGCGGCACTGGAAGGGAAGGCAGCCTCGGACTGGGGCTACAGAGACAGGACCTCATCGACGCCATCCTCAGGCAATGGGGAGCCATCGGGGTCCTTGAGCAGGGCAGTGCCCCCAGGAGCCTCTCTCTCACCGCTCCTGCCCCCATCTCTCCTCTCGGCGCCAGGGGCATGGTGGTGGTGGCCGACAAGACCTCGGAGCTCTACCAGAAGACCTACTGGGCCAGCTACAACGTCCCGTATGTCCCCCCACCATCCCTGCCCATTTATGTCCCCCTAAGCTTTCTGCTGGTGAGGGGTCCTTCCCAGGTGATCCTTTAAACCTGCAGAGCAAAGAAACCCACCCCCTCTTCAGCCAAAGAGTTTGGGAACCAGTTGTGGGGCTCATGTCCGCTCTGTATCACCTCCCGGTCTACACCCGCGTCTGGGTAGCAGGCCGGATGGCCCAGCCCAGTGCTGACACCCAAGGCTCTCCAGGTGGATCGACTTTAGGTGGCTTGTCTCAGCTGAGCCCCGGTTGTGGTGACCACGCTCCTCTGTCTCACCAAGGAGGCCCCCGAGGGCCCAGCGTCCCGGGGTCCCATGAATGCTCACGAGTCTGGATTTGAACCACCTCGGACCTGAGCCCAAGCTTGCCCCCTGCCGGCCTGGCTGGTGGGACTGTTAGTGCTCACGTGCTGGAGACCCCCCAGGCCAGGGTTTGGCCAGGTGAGGGGGGCAGGGTGGGGAGTGACCGTTCTGGTCCCGCAGGTCCTTCGAGTCTGTGTTCAACGCCAGCGGGCTGCCGGCCCTGGTGGCTCGCTTCGGGAACTGGTTCTCCTACGACGAGAATCCCCGGGCCCAGATTTTCCAGCGGAACCACTCGATGGTGCACGACATGGAATCCATGCTCCAGCTTCTGAGGTGCGTGCCCCCCAATTGGCCCCTCACAGCCGGCCTGGCGGTCCTGTGGCCGACCTTGCTGACGGGTGAGGGCACTGCCACTGGGGGCCGGTACCAGAGAAGCCGGCACAAGATAGGTACCCCACCGCCCCCGGGGCACCCCGTCTGTGGGGAGGCAGAGCGCCACCGCACGCAGAGCGAGAGGTGTAACGGGCGGGGTCTGAGGCCCAGGACGGGGCCCCGGGGGAGGGATGCCCGTGCAGGGCTCCAAATGCTGAGCATGGCACGTGGGTGGCGGGGGGTGAGGGAACCCCAGGAAGAGCAGCAGCGTGAGCCAAGGCTGGGCCGTGGAAAGTCGGGTAGGGGGCTGCCGCCCCTGTAGCGGCCCCTCCGCGGCCTCCCCTTCCTTCCCAGCGGGTAACGTTCCCGACCTCCCCGTCCAGGTACAACGACTTCCTCCACGACCCCCTGTCACTGTGCAAGGACTGCAGGCCCCAGCCCAACGGGGAGAACGCCATCTCCGCCCGCTCCGACCTCAACCCGGCCAACGGCTCCTACCCCTTCCAGGCCCTGAAGCAGCGCTCCCATGGAGGCATCGACACCAAGGTGCCGCCTCTGCCGCGCAGGGCCGTGGGGGGGCCGTGGGGGGGGGCGGGCCCCCTGCTTGCTGGCAGAGGGGTGAAGGCTGGGCCTAAGCGGGAGGCTGGCATCAGAACTGGGCGGGGGTGGGCCTCAGGGCCCCCGGGGCTGGTGCTCAAGGACCTCTCCCTCCCGGCCTCCAGGTGACCAACATGGCCCTGTCCAAGCTCTTGGGCATGCTGGCGGTCAGCGGCCCCACGTGGGACCAGGTGCCCCCGTTCCAGTGGAGCACCTCGCCCTTCAGCGAGCTGCTGCACATGGGCCAGCCCGACCTCTGGAAGTTCTCGCCCATACGAGTCTGGTGGGACTGAGGCGCCGCCTCTCCTCTGCTGCCTTCTGCCCCTGCTGTGCCCAGCAGGCCACTCCTGCCCCGCCCCCCCGTGGGCTGTGCCCTGCTGTACCCAACCTGCCCCCTGGGTCTGCCAGGGTCGTCTTCCTGGGGCTGGCTCCCAGGGTGGGATACAGAGCCCGAGGGTGCAGGTGAACTCGTTCTCCCCTGCGAGCGGGTGGTGCCTTCCCTCTCCTCTGTCTTCCCGGGTCTGCCTGTCTCTCCTCTCTGGGCTTCTCTCTCCCACCCTGGAGCCCCCGCCTCAGGCGGCCCCTCCTGAAGCTTTGGGAAGGGCCCTGGAGTCAGGTTCTGGGCCCCCAGTGGGACAGGACGGGACTGTTCTGGTCCTTTCCTTCCAGGGTCACTCCTGTCGGTGACCCTGGATCTCCTGCGGGGCCTCGGCCCCTGCGACTTGGGCATTACTTCCAGGCACTCCTCCTGGCCCCGGCTGCAGCCCTCTCCTTCTTTGGGAGGGAACCCCCAGTCCCCCCTTCTGGGCAGCTTCCTCGGGGACAGAAACTTGAAAACAAACAAAAACCAAAGTTTCTGGCAACTTGTGTTGGGAGGCCTGAACTCTCTGGGGACTGGCGCTGCCGCCAGCCCCCATGCTCCAGCTCATGCCCCTCCGCCCGCCAACCTGGGCCTGCCCTGGGCTCAGGCTGGTGCCCACAGCTCCCCTGCTCTAGAACAGTCGCAGGCTGTGCTGCCATTAAAGGAGAGAGGCTGAGACCCATGTGCTGTGCTGTTTGGGGCAGTGAGGGAGACTGGGGCAGCGCTAGCTCTCTCAGGCTGGGGTTCTATACTCCCACCGCTGTATCTTCCTGTCCATCCTTCTGTCTGCCCATCTATGCATTGATGTCTCTGCCAACCCTCACTCATTGTATAATTATTGTCCATCCACCCACCCACCCATCTGTCTGTCCACCCATCCACCCACCCATCCATCCACCCACCCACCCACCCACCCATCCATCCACCCATCCATCCACCCATCCACCCACCCATCCATCCACCCACCCATCCATCCATCCATCCACCCATCCATCCACCCATCCACCCACCCATCCATCCACCCACCCATCATCCATCCTCTCATCTACCCAGATGTGTACTGAGCCCCCTCCTACTTTATCTGAGTCCTCTTCTAAGACCCAGTGGCTTCCCAGTGGCTTCTTCTGTGGGGTACAGATCACCACAAAACAGAACCCCTGTCCCTGCCTGATCTCAGTCTGCACTGGAGACAGGGCCCACCCAATCCTACACATGTGGGGAGACGATCGCATCCAGCCTGAAGTCAGAGAGCCAGTCCCCTCTCCACCACTTACAGGCTCTAGGAGTTAACCTCGCTGAGCTGCCATCACCTGTCAGATGGGGTAACGATGCTCGTGGCACTTCCCTGGGAGGGTGTGGTGAGGGACTGCTGTGGTGACGGCTTTAACCAAGTCCACCTGGGTCAAATACCCAGTATTTGTTGAGCACTTAGTACACACCAAGGGTTCTAAGGTCCTAGGGGTACGTTATAACAGAAGGTACCAATCCCCCCAAACCCTACCTTGTGAAGTTTACACTGGGGAGATAGTAAACAACATAAATGTGCAGTGTGAGATGCTGTAGGAAATAAAGCCAGGTCTGGGGCTGGAGCTAGGCTTGCTGCTTCTCTGCACCACAGCTTTCCGGTCTCAGCCATCTGGGAGCCAAGGATTTGTGGTTTTAAAACACAGCCTGGCTGTATTTCTGGCTCCCTAAAGAGTATTTTCATTGTGTGGGTTTTGTGATGCTCAAGGCAAACCTTGTGAGGTGGGAGAGGCCGAGGGTTACTGCTGAGGACATGGGGTCAGAGTAGGAAGTGACGTGTCCAAAGTCTCAAGACTTTGCGGCAAGACAGGGTCCAGCCCTCCTTGCCCATCTCCTGCCGATGGCGTGAGCCCTGGAGCAGTGGCCTCACATCTGTGCTGGTCACCAAGTGTTTGCAGCCACTCCTGGGGCTGGCAGGGGTGGGCGGGGCAGTGTTCCATGGGGCCCATTCAGCAGATGAGCAAGTGAAGGCTCAGGGCAGAGAACCCCCAGTGTCACCGCAGGAAGGGACACCTCTAGTCTGTTTCCTAGAGAGATTCCGCCCCCTCCTGCTTTCCAGGAGCTACCCGGGTGTCATGTAGCTAGGGTGACTGAATAGAGTTTGGAGGTCACCTGGATGGTCCCTCACTGGGGCTGCCACAGAGCCAGCAAAGGCAGGACCCACTTTTGCAGCCGGAAAGGTCGCTTCCCTTGGCTCCTGGACCCTGGGAGTTTCCCACAATCCTCAGCTTAAAGATGGCGGCTGCAGGCTCATCCGTGGGGTCTGCCCTCCCCTGCAGGAAAAGGGTCTGGCCAGCTGGTCAAGCCCACTCGGCCCATGAGGCCCTGGCTACTCTAGTGGGCAGAGCGGCCTGCTTCACCTAGTGCAGGCTCAGTCCCGCGGCAGCAGTCCTGCCCTGGGTTTTCCACTCTCTGCCCGAAATCTCAGCTGCTGCCCTCCGTTAGGCTGGGCGGGGTGGAGAGGCTCCGTGAGCCTGTGAGCCACTGTGCTGTCCTGAGGGGTTCAGGTGGCCTCAGACTTCACTTCGAACTTGGGGATCCAAGAAGTACCCCGGGGGCTGCTGTTTGTGGGGAGGTCCTGAGTGGTGGGGGGCGAGGGGACGCGCCTTCCTGTGCGCAGCTCCTCCCCTGTTATTCGCCAGCTCCAGAACACTCTTGCCTTGGGAGAGAGGGTTTTGACACTGACTTCAAGTCCACCACTTCCCTGTCCCCGAGTTGGGGACACCCCGGGGATGGGGCTCACTGCTCTGCTCCCTGCAGTTCTGATAAAGTCACTTTTCAGGAAGGAGCTTCCTAGCGGAGTGAGACCCGCCTCAGTGGAGCAGTCCTGGCCCCTTGGAAGTGCTTCCCTCCCCGGCTTCCCGTCTCGCTGGGGTCCGGCCCTCTCCGTGGGCCCCAGGACTCCCAGGGTGGGGGTGCTCCCTGTTAAGGCTTGGCTGAGAGCAGGCATGATGAAGGAGGGGCCGGAGGACAGCGATGGTGGAAAAACTCCAGGGGTCTTCGTTTCATAAATATATATTTTTCTTTGTCAATGAAAAAGCTGGCGCATTAGAAAAACGAGTGAGGGTGGGATTGAAAGATGGTTCCTCCACCCTGGACCAGGGTGCCGTCCCCTGGCCTGGGAGAAAGCCTGGGGTGGGGACAACTGGCTTCCAGGAGCTGGGTCCTGCTGTCATGAGGCTCCCCCACCCCCGTTCTGGGAGCCTGCTTTGTTACCCGTGGGCAGTTGCCGCCCAGCACCGGTGACAGGACGGCCACAGAGCCACCACGCAGGGGCCAGGGAGGATCAGTTCACAGCCTGGCTGGCTGCTGACCCAGCAGCCCCACCGTGGGGTGCTCGGCCCCCCAGGGGGCTCGCGAGAAGGAGAAGGCCCGGACCACAGGCTCACAACCAGACACAGAATAATATTTACAAGGCGCTGGATAAAACTCCAGCCCTTCCAGGGGTCTCCCCGGCAGAGAGGAGGGTCCTCACTGGGTCACCCCGTTCTTCATGCCCAGCTGTTCCTTGAGGGCCTGCAGCTGGGCCAGGCTGATGTTGCTGCCCCCGCAGACAATGACCACGAGGGAGGACAGCGGGGTGCGGAGCTTGCCCTCGCCTTGCAGCTTCTGGACCACGCGGCTGTAGACGGCGGCCAGGGCTGCCCCGCAGGCTGGCTCCACCAGGATCTTCTCGTCATCTGTAGGAGGAGAGGGGTGTTGAGGGCGGGGACCCGATTCCACAGGTGCAAGGGACCTGCCGGGCCTGTGGTAGAGCTTGGGGGGGGGGTCACAAGTCATAGCTCTCAGCCCAGGCCACAGGCTCAGGTCCTGGGCCCAGCCTCCCATCATTACCCCAGATCACCGCCGTCCCTGCGTGAGGGTTAGGCTTCATCATCAGTGCTAATAAAATGCTAATGCAATGATGGTAATCGCCTGAGCACAGTGTTGGGAAGATCCTGAGGTATCATTTGAGCAAGAGTGCCTTGGTGGGTTAGTCAGTCTGGGTACAGGAGAATGAAGTGGGAGCAATAAATCCTACTCTGTGTGTGTGTGTGTGTGTGTGTGTGTATGGATGTGTGTGCACCTGTGCACACCACCCCTGTCTTTCGCTGAGCCCAGAAGTCGCTTAATTTGACCTCTGAATCCAATGCTGAGGCCCATACTTTTTCCTTTTTTTTACCCTGGCTACCAGGAAGCTCTGAAGCAACATTTTAGATAGTTATTCCCCTCGGGCTAATTTCTCCATGTGCGGCTTTCGCGTTTCTGTTGTTACCAAACACTGAATTATCATGAGTGGGCATGAGGGAGGCAGGAAGTGGACACAGACCATGAGGAGATTTGTGGCACATGGAACCCCTTGGCACATCAGGTGGACACCTCGTTCCTGAACCTGTACTGGGGCCGGGGGAGGACTTAGCACATACCTACAAACTTCTCAATGGCAGCCACAGCCTCCTGGTCCGAGACAATTTCAGAGAAAATGGGATGTTCCTGAAACAGCTTCAGGGCCTGAGCCCCCACGGTCTTCACGCCCAGTGCCTTGGCAACACTGGAGGTCATGGGATGGGGCGGGGGACAGGAATGGGGAACAGGAGAGAAGAAAAGGCCGAGAGGGGTGGGGACGAGGAGAAAAGGTGGGTGTGAGATGGTGGCAGCATTAGGGTCCATGGGCAGGGAACGGGGTGCACCCTCTGCAGCTGTGAAACATTGGAAAGTCCCAGGGGCTCCCCACAGACTGCATGAATGGTGGCAAATAGCCCCATTTTCTGTTCAACCTCCAGGAGCAAATGCCTAAAAGACCCCCTTAGGGGCCTCCCAGCCTTTGCTCCAGGTTATCACCTCCACCTTCTTCACCCTCACGCAAGTTAGCACCGCTCTGCCTGCCCAAGTCCTGCCCTGTCCAAGGCTCAGGATTAAGGCCGCCACCTCCAGGAAGTTCTCCAGGAGGAACAGTCAGCCCCATGAAGAATTCTCAATTCTCAATCTCCCTCTCCCGTAACACATGGTGACTACTTTTCGAGAAAGCACTAAGCAAGCGCCTGCCGAGCCCTTCACAAACGTGATTTAGTTCTCGTAATCTTTGCTGGTAATCGGTTCAATTCTCTAGAAGGGGAAACCAGCAAAAAAGCATAGTCACTTGCCCAGGGTCATGTGCCTGGGTCTGACGCAGGACCTGAGTGACTCCAGGGCCTGCGCTTGGCACGCTCAGTTCTCCCCAGACCTCCCATGGGAGCTCCAGTCCTGTGCCTGGCTCATCTCACACACAAGCATCTCAGGCCTGGGCCACCTTAGCCCTTAGCCCAATGTGCAGCTCAGGCTAGGTGATGCTCAGCATTATGTCTTCCCTCTCAATGCTGTGGGCTCGGAGGCTAACACAGTAACTCCGGGGTGCTGGGTGCAGGATTCTAGAAGCTCTCACCTGGATTTCAGTGTTGCAGGCTACCCTCTCTGTGGCAGAGACTTTACCTATTATCTGTTCTAGCTGTGCACACGGATCCCTGACAGGAAGACATTTCCCAGCCTCCCTTGCAACAGGGTGGGGTCATGTGACTCAGTTCTGGCCAGCAGGAGGTAAGAGGAAGTTTTGTGCCTGTCTTTAAAGGCAGGAGGCAGAACTTCTGTCCTTGCCTCCTCCTTCCTGCCAGGTGGAGTGTGGGTGTGATAGTCGGCACTTAAGCAGCTCTTTTGGGTCAAGTCTACATGAAAGGATGCAGGAGAATGAACTTGAGGAATCTGAGCTTCTGGCTTCAGGAGCTGACCCTTGACTGCCTCCTAGTAATATACATTCATGGGAGGACAACAACGTTCAGTCTTGTTTAAGTCGCCGTTATCTTCGATTCCTATATAGGTGACTGAGTCCAAGCCTACTTGAGCGTTTGCTGTCAAAGGCTGGGGCTTGAGAGCAGGAGCTGCTTATTTCCCATTCCCTTCCCCGGGCCAGCCAGAGTCGTGTGCATGATGGGTCCTCATTAAAGGGCTGGCAGATGAGTGAGGTGTGTGAACCCTGCCCCGAGGGTCCCCATGATTCACGTTGAACTTCTCATGGGCAAAAGCAAGACATTCACGTTTGAGTCGGTCCCACCCACTGGCTGCGTGACTCTGAGCAAGTAGCAAGGACTCCTTCTGCCCACACACAAAAGGGGGCTGATGTGGGCTCTTTCTCAGCACCCAGGGGGCTCCTCACACCTCGCCACACCCACAGAGGCACCCAGACACTCACCTGGTGATCTGGGGCAGGGTGACCAGCTTGCCGGCCGTGGTGGCAGCGTGGAAGCTGTGGGCGCCAATGGTCTCCATGGCGATGACCGGCACGTCCCCCCAGCCCACTTCCTGCAGCCCCTGAACCACCCCGCACAGCATGCCCCCGCCACCCACGGACAACGCAATGGCCCCCGGCTTGGCGCTCAGAGTCTCCTTCAGCTCTTTCACCATGGACGTGTGGCCTTCCCTGGAGGGGGACAGGGAAGAGGCGGGTCAGGGCTGGGCTTCCCGGAGGGACCTTGGGCCCTGTGCATCGCCCTGGGCAGCTGAGGGGCTTGGGACTAGACCCTCCTCCCTGACTTCACCCGCTGCTGGCATCCGCCTCTCTACCCGGGGGCTTTCTCTGACAGGAGATGCCCCTCAGCCAGAGCACCCCATGGCAGCGAAGAGTGACGGCATTTGGCGACAGCCTCCCCAGATTGACTCCGGTGGGTGAGCTGGTGCGCGCCCCATGGGACCCCCACGTGATAAATGCCCACCGCAGCAACCTGCTGCCTTCCTCCTCGTCTCACACTCTCTCCCCTGGGGAATCACCTCCTGCTTTCCCTGGAGTCTTCGTCTCAGGGGCCGCAGACACTGTGGTCTCAGCTCAGGTGCTGCTGGCTCGGGACCAGGCAGGACGGGCCCGGTGCACATACGCAGTTGTGCACATGTGTGTGCATGAGGCTCTGCATCATGGCAGGTGTGCGCCGCCCCACCACGCGACCCCCCCCTACCCTGGGCTCACCTACCAGATGAGGGGGTCATCAAAGGGAGGGATGTAGACCCAGCCCGGGTTGTTCTTCGCCAGCGCCTTGGCCAGCTCAAAAGCCTCGTCCAGGGTCTGCAAGAACACAGGGGGGCGGTGGTGGGGGGCAGGCGCTGGGGACCCTGCCCTGCCACCAGGTGCGCTCCATGGCCCTGGCCGGGCTGGCACTCACCTCACCCACCACCTTGACCATGGCGCCCTCGTTCTTGAGCCGCTCGATGGTGAGGGCAGGTGTGGTGCTGGGCACGACGATGGTGGCGGGGATGCCCAGCTTCCTGGCGGCGTAGGCGGCCGCCATGCCTGCGTTGCCCGCTGCCGGGGAGAGGGTGGAGAGGCTTTCAGAGTGGGAGGGCCTGGGAGCCCGGTCGGGACTGTTCGCCCCCCACCTCTGGGTCTGAAACCTCCCTGGGACGTGGTTAACTTCCCCTGTCCACCTTGGGGCGTCGCTCATTGCTGGGGAAACCAGGGCCCAGGGTGGTGGAGCGCTCGGCCTGGGGACGCACAGCTGGGGACCGCAGGAGGTGTGCGGGCGCCTACCTGAGGAGCAGACGAAGTGCTCGCAGCCTTGTTCAGCCCACTGTGGAGACAAGTTGGGTGGGGGTCAGCCCCACCCCCAGTTTCTCCCTGGGTTCTTCCCACCCAGAATACCCCCCAGTGATTCTGCCTTCGGCTGACCTTGCCTTCCTCCCCACGGAATTAGCCCTGCCCTGGCCCCTCAGCACACCTCCTCCCCAAGGGCCCTGGCTCGGGAGAAGCGAGGAGAAGTCAGAGGCGGGCAGCAGAGGTTCTGGGACCCGCAATGAGGGGGCCCTCCTCGCCTGGAGGAAGCTAGGGTGGGTGCCCAGGCGTGGTGGGTGTCAGCAGGTGTGACCTGGAGCACCTAGGATTTGACACAGAGCGGCCCTCCCTGTTGAGGAAAGAGACCCCCCCTCGCCTGAGGGGGCAGGCTGTACCGTCCTGCACAGGTGTCCGATGCCCCGGATCTTGAAGGAGCCGGAAGGCTGGGAGCTGTCCATCTTGAGGTAGACGCTGGTGCCCGCCACTTTGGACAGGGACATGCTGTCCCGGAGCGGGGTCTTCACGTGCAGGGGCTCCCTGGAGGTCATGGCTGCAAGCAAACCCACCGGGTCACTCGGGAGTCTGGGGTGACCCCTCCTCCCCCGGAGGCTGGGGAAAGGTGATGGCGCCCCGGAGCCTGGGCGCAAACCTCAACCCGGCCACATGACGTCAGCCACGCCTTCTCCACTCAGCCTCAGATTCCTCACCTGAAAAATGGGGATAAACATTGCCCCAGCCTCCAAGAACACCCACCCCCATGCTGGGAGGCTGGGAATAGCGGGGATAGCGTTCGGACCTTGCAGCTTTCGAAAAGCATGAGGTGGCGGTGGATTTGCCTGGACTGATTCAGGGGAGCTGCGGGGTGAATAAGTGGGTAAGGCGGGATCAGACAGCCGTGGACACACACACACACACACACACACACACACATGCTTTCGGGGCTGGAGCATTTCAGGAAACACAGGAGGATTGTGGTCAGGGTGGGGGTCTCTGGGGAGAGCCGTCACCGGAGCCCCTTGCTCCAGTGCTGGAGTGTTTTGCTGTGCGCGCGCGTTACTCAGTTAAGTGCTATTTTCAAGGAACCCTTGGAACGCCCTGCACCCACCATTATTTATTATTTTATTTTTCAATCATAATTCTAGCACTTGTTGTTTTCACATTATTTATTATTGTTTTAATAATAATGAATATATTTAATAATATAAAGTGATTACCATGTGCAGGGCACAGTTTTAAGCTTTATAGATATTAATTCATTTAACCCCAGGAGGTGCCATGGTCACACCAGCCTGCTGATGAGGAAACTGTGTTTTCCAGGGCGGCCCCTGCGCTCGTCCGTCGAATGCGCCTCTTATAGCTGGACACGATGCTCGCCTGGGCTAAGGGGGGCGTCTGTCTCCTCCCCTGGCACCCTGGGGCCTGTGGCTGTGGTGGAGGTGACACTGTGTCTTCCAAGCTCCTGTGTGCTGGTCAATGTTTAAAGATGGACTCTCCAGGAAAATAAAGCCCTGATTTGTGGGGTGAGCGCTTTTATGATGCACTTGCCCAGGTCGATTGCAAGTTACCCCCGTGATATCACTGACCGTGTTGCTGGGAAGAGATGGCCAGGGCTGGTGTGAGTGACTCTGGCACCTGGCTCTCCAGATGGGCTCATAAAAGGCTGTGCAGGGCCTCTCCCGTGGCGCAGCGGTTGAGCGCTGGGTTGCGAAGCTGCCCGCAGCCTCTGCAGCGCCGGTTCGATCCCCGGCAGCTCCCCGGCCACCGGAGGAGGGTCCCACATGGCGCGCAGACCTCTCCTGCCACCCGTTGCTCCCCTCAGCAGTGTACCTTGGTCCTTCTGCCTGCTCTGCTCCCCGCTCTGGCTCTGGTGAATTCTCTCACCCTCCTGCGCTTCTGACTGTACCCAATGCTTGTATTAATAAATAAATAAATCTTAAAAAAAAAAAAAAAGGCTGTGCAGCCGCTACCTGACTCTCTCTCTTGGGGGCCCCCTCTCAAAGCCCAGTGTCCGTGATGGGGGTGAGTGCAGAGGTCACATGGGAGGGGTCCTGCCTGACAGCTGACGGCCAGCATCATGAACTAGGGGACATGAACTAGCTGCATGTGAGGGACCCCAAGTGAGAACCCCCTCACTGAGCCCTATTGAGGCCCAGAACTGCACAAAAAAGCAGTAAAAGCACTGCTGCGTGGTGGGGTAGTTAGTGGCACAGAGTTGGGACTGAAATAGCAAAATGACTTGCCCAAGGTCACACAGCAGTAGGGGTGGGCAGTTTAGTGCCAGAGCCCAGGACTTTCCTGAACACATGGTGTGGCTCAGGCTACCCCTTCTGCATGGGCTACGGGTGATTAAGAAGTCAAGGTGGCCTGGAGTTCAGCCACACACATGCACACGCACACAAGCCCCCCGCCTCCTCCCCCTGCTGAGACTTGTCCCCTCCAAGGTGCTGTCCTCTGGCGGCACCCCCATATCTGTCTGAGTGAACTGTTGGATCCTGAAGCTTAGCCCCCCCGATAACAGCACCCTGATTCTGGATATTAAAGGCCCTCAGGGAACTCGAGGTTGAGGTGGGGAGGTGTGACCAACAACTGCTTCAGGTGGATTCGGGAAGCCCCACCCACACCTGTCACAGGTGGCACTGGCTTCCTTAGGTGAGGGGGTAGGGATCCTCCAGGGACATCAGACTTTGCTCTGTCCACTGCTGTGCCCCAGGAAATGCATCTGGAAGCCACACCGGGCTAACATTCCCACCCTGCTCAACAGAAGGTGAGACTTCCGAAAACGAGGCTGTACAGGCACAGAGGGGGAAGGGGCCCTGGAAGCTGCCATCTGCCATGAGTTTCCCTGTGGTCAGAAGTCACTCCCACCCTCGCCCCGGCCCTGACTCCTAGAGCTCAGTCATTATCTATCGACATTGAAATACCCGGGCTGAAATGCCCTGTCTCATCTCACCCATGCAATGAAATTCTATTATCCCCCATTTTATAGATGAGAAAACTGAGGCACAGAGCTCCATGAATCCCAGTCTGATTTCAAAGTACAGGCTCTTTCTGGTTCTCTCTCTTCCTCTGGGAAGCCCTGGATGTCTGAGACACCCTTGTCTTGGGGAGACACTGGGGATGGGCGCTTACCTGCCACGGGGTGAAGCTGGGCTGCTGGACAGAGCAAGCGAGTGAGCGAGGGAGGGGTAGAGTGGAGCCGGGCTGGATGGACAGACCGGGAGGTGGTCCCCAGACAAGTGGAGGGCAGGTGGACAGGTAGACTGTCTTCTGAACTGTCCCTCGGGCTCCTGGGTCCGGAGCTTTATTCCCAAGGCGGCTCCAGGCAGCCAATGGAGCCCCAGAGCCGGCCACACCCCCGCCAAGCCCCACCCCCTGGCCTGAGGCCAGCACGGGGCTCCCAGGAGCTGCTGGGCAAGCTGGCTGGGCTTCTCCTGCCGTCAGCTTCCTCCCGCCCTCCCGTGCCCTCGCCCCACCGCCCAGTCTCCATCCTCAGTGTCTCCACTTGCAAGCAGGGCCAATGCCCGCTTCTTACAGTCTCTAGCTCCTGCTTGGCGTATTGGAGACACGCAAGAACATCAGCCCTGCGGGCGGGGGGGGGGGGCAGTGGGCACTTGCGTTATCCTGAGAAAAGCACATCTGAACTCAGTGGTCTGACCCCCAAACCTGCAACCCAAGCACTTCTTTATTGTCTTCCTCTTTCATCCTCCTGCGCCTTTTTTGCATAAAGGGGCAAGTGGCTTCGTTGGTAAGAACCTGGGGACCAGAGTTCAAGCCCTGGCTCTGTCGTTCCCTAGCTGTGTGGCCCTGGGCAAGCCACTTGACCTTGAGCTCTGTTTGCTCATCATTACAATGGGCATGATAATGGCACCTTCCGCCTCAGATTAGAGGAGATGATTTGTCTGCATGAAGGGAGTGGGAAGTGAATGAGTGTCCAGTAAGAGCTGGAGCCCTCATCAGCACCATCAGCACCACCACCGTCGTCACCTCCGCCATTACCTCTGCCACCTTCACCGTTAATGAACTGGAGCGTCTTCTACTTGAACTCTCTCTTTGCCCCACACCTGGCCTCCTGCCTGGCCCTGGCTGTGTGCAGGGGTCTGTCTGTCCACAGGGGCAGTGGGTACACATGAGCTATACACACACACACACACACACACACACACACACAGAGGCCTGGCTGTCTCTCCCCTTCAACAAAGCTCTCTTGTCTGGCTGGCCAGGACGCGAATACTGATGAGAGCGCAGGCAGCAAGGGCACAGTCTGCACAGAGACCTTCTCTGGGGGACAAGTTGTCCCTGAGCCGGCCCCTCTGACCGTCCACAGACACTCCCAGACCCCTCTCCAGGGGCACACAGGGTGGCGGAGCAGAGGTAATGCAGGTGCAGTGTGCAATGCACACGTATACACACCCCCTCCTGTGCACTTGGTCACCTACACTGGCACTCACATTACCCAGACATCTGCTGGTGTCTGAGCTCATGTCTAGTGTTTCTAACCTGGGGGTTCACTTAACCCTCCAACAGCCAGGTGAGTGAGCACTCTGTGTGCCCTGAGGTGAGGAAACAGGCAGGGCGAGCAAAACTGCCCCAGACCACCCGTGGCAGTGATGGCGGATCTGAGCCCCCCACCGGACGCCTCTCTCTGGTTTCCTTGTCTCAACAAGAGCAGATCATGGTTGTGATGTGAAAAACATCAAATTGAGAAAATCAATCATAGGCAAACCAGAAAGAGGAGAAAGAACAGCAGACACATCCCCTCTGGTGACGTCCTGTCTGGATTTATCCTCTTAAAATAACTGGATTGAGATGTAATTCGCATGCAATACTATTCTGTCATTGACAGAGTTTTAGAACGTTTCCATCACCCCAAAAGAAACCCCACACCCTTTAATCGTGATTCCCCAATCCACCTTCCCCCGAGACCCTGGGGCCGCCGAGCTGCTTTCTGTCCTGTAGCCTTGCCTGTCCCGGAGATGCCCCGCTGCTGCATCGGTTTCTCTCCTCTTTCTGCCTGAATAGTACTCCATTGTGTGGATGGACCCCATGATGTCATACATTCATCAGCCGATGGACATTCACTGTCTGGCACATCTTTATTTTTAAATATATACAAAGTATGCGTGGATGTGGGTAAAGGTGAAGTTCTGCGTCCCAGCACGTGGGTGGGAACTCCAGATCCTAAGTCAGTAGGGAGTTTGCTCACCCTGGGGAGTAAACGGAGCAGAAGCAGGGAGAGGGGGTGGTGTGATGGGGCCCTTCTGGTCATCAGCTGTGCAAGGGTCTTGGTTGGGGGAGCTGGCAGCCATTCCCAGGGGACCCCCCAGGGGCTCAACGTCTGTGACTCCCGCATCTAAGGCGTGCCCCTTTCTACCTAGGAAGTGAGTTTCTATCCCGACAGGCCCCGGTTTAATGCAACTTTTGCCATCGACTTGCTGTGTGATGTTGGACAAGCACTTAACCTCTCTGTGCCTTAATTTCTTTAACTGGTAGTATTGAGTAGTATCCCCCTCTTAGATGGCTATGGCCATTTTTATCTTCCGGTGCTCAA